AGTTAGTTGTAAGTTCAGTGGTCGAGGTACGCAGAGCTGCTCCAGCTTTCAGAATCCTGCATGAAAAAGGCAGAAAGCAAATGTAGGTATAATAGTAGCAAGCTGACGTAAAGAGCCTGTCTTTCAATACAATAATTCTATCCACTGCATGGACAGACCTGGTGCTTCATTCACCTCTGTTTCTTGCTTTCTCAGAAAACCTACTTCCTCCTTCTGCCATGTAGCTCATGACATACATTTTCTTTACGCCTTTTCAGCCGTGGTCGACTTTCGCCCCTCCTGTTTGATTGGCAATTGCAGTCAACCTGGGGAATACTGACCCTCGATTGTGAATGAGAAAAGTGTCGCTATTGGTGTATTGTTGTTACTCGTGAGGTTGGAAGTATGCAATCAAATGGTCACTAGATCTGAAGATTGTGTCGTTATTTGCGAGTTGTTTTGTAAACCCGAGGTACATTATTCACAAGGTGGATTGTATATGCTATGGGATGTAGAATAACTAACCAAACAAGAATGGTGTAACAATGATTTGAGTCCATATCCAATTGGATGAACCTAGAGTGCATGATCCATTCCAGAAAGGCGATTTCAGTGAGTCTTGAATTATCAGCAGCATCATACTTCCATTGAGCTATTTTTTCTTTTTCGAAACGACCCTCTCTTTTCAATTCGAACGAAGGTCAACATACGATTACGGCAGGCATGCACGCACTGATCTTCACTGTATACATGTGCATGTATACTGTACTGTAGTCTGTACAGTCAACTAGTCATGTTCCACTTGGCTTCCATAGGTGCAACTTGGCTTACGGTAAGTGTCACTACAAGTGCATAGTAGCCCCCCTCCGGGAGTGCGCGTGAACAGGAACTGTGAACTGGTAAAAGAATCATTCGACACCTTCGTTCGTTTCGATGGAGAAGGTTCATTTGGCAAATTGAGGCCTTCGTTTCACCCCTAGCCCCAGGAGCGAAATTTTCACTCCTTGGCTGCCTGTTTGAGCCGTCCTTGTGGAAGGGTTGATTTATGCATGCCTGCATATAGACCTTATTCAATAAACGTCACAATCACGTGAACCGGGGTCCCAGGAACCAGGGAGCGGCAAGAGACCTGCACTCAGTGCACAGAGGACTCGGCGTGGGAACATAGGAGTAGAAAAATACCGGTATTTTACTACTCCCTTGTACGAACTGGGCCTTTCTTGCCACTGGTTTCACGTAAAGCGTGCCCCAGCTTACGACAAATCCCTGGAGGCGAGTCCAAAAATCATGTTATCGAATAAGGTCTATAGAATTGTTGATCTAGACGTTTGGGTTTAACAGAGCAAGCCTGTGATTAAGAGCTGCACAGAACACAGATCACGTAGAACTACCCAATATGGGGTCAAAACTGACACGTTTTGGGTACTTTGGTCTCATGTCGTCTCCCCAGGTGCTATGAATCCCTGATGCACATGTATCTACATATACAATGTAACCGTAACTCTACCAATGTTGCGGACGATGACCCCCCCCCCCCCCCCCGGCATACAGAAAGTTGCTATGTCCTGGCCCTCATACAGCATTGGGGAGGCACTGAATCACTTTTGCAAAAAGGACTAGTGGAAAGTGGCACTACAAATTTTCTATTCCCAGAAAAGTGGCGTTCCAGCCGAGTTTATCTTTTAATTTCTCGGTTTTCTCGGTTGGGATTTCATACCTGACAACCATCCCGATTTGGCCGGGACCGTCCCGACATCGAGGGCGGTAATAGGCACCCAAAAGTGCATTAGTTCCATGCCTCACCGCGAGCTACATTTGTATACATTTTCATGCCTAGGTATGTCATTCGATCTCAGGTTTGCAAAGACTGGCAGGTATGGGATTTGTAGTGTGACCAGTTCTGCCTATTGGCACCTGCTGCGCAGAAGTGTCATTCCTACATCTTGGCTGCAAACATACCCCCCCCCCCCCCCCACACACACCACCAACAATGTTGGATCCTATTTACAGGACCTCACTCTATATGAAAGTGTAGCAGAGGCACTGCCAAAGTATAAAAACAACATTTGAAATGCAAGCTCCATGGGTGCATGCATGGAGAGCATGGGGAAGAGACGGAGAGGGTGAAAGCGAAGGAAATTTGTTCCGAAATCAAGAGAATCCGAGGAACCCTTGCTGCATTCTTCAGTACGATAACGTCAGTGGGTGCATCTCAGATGTGTTGTGTGCCCAGACATACAAGTAGCACTAACCTGAGCATGAGAGCTGCTTGTCATCATCGTGGTCAGGAAAACGAAAGGACGAACGTAGAAGATTGCTGACCATGATGAACAACAGTGCATATCCAGACGACAGACGGCTTGCAAGAATCAGTCTGGTGCATCTTCAGGAATCTTCTTTCCTAATCGCATTCAGCAGTCAGCTTCGAGGTCAAGAACGCGATGATATTTTCAGAAGGAATAATTTTCAATTTTTTTTAAATTTTGGAGAAGAAGCTTCCTTTCTAAAAAAAAGCGTTCCTTGCTTTCACGCAAGGACCCCTTGCCGGACATGTCGTCGACAGCACAGTGTCGGCAGATCCACGTAACGTTTGTAGGCTGCAGACCCGGCAGACGTTTTGATCAGCCCGGCCTGGTGGTGAGATTTTGGACCCGGGAGTACTAAAAACTGCTCGCATCCCAGGGTGCTCAGTTTCGCTCTATCCGATCGAGTAAGGCTTCCAGAAAGGCCCTCAGGTGCGCGGCCTGCGGTGCCATAATATACCTCAAAAAAATGCGAGCGGAACCTCCGCTTTCGCGGATCCGCTTTGGCGGAACCTGCATGGTGATGGCTTTGGAGTTGGGTGTGCTACTTCTGCACTGAGTTCTGGTGTTGTTTGGTTGCCGTTTGGTATTCAGTTTTCATATTGTTCTTCTTTGCCAATGAACTGTACGTTCTGGAGATCTCGCAAACAATATTGCATCGTCATGAGTGGATAATGGGTGAGGGAATCCGTCTCCCAACTCATTGGCCCCGATCGCGGACGATCTCCAACTCTCTCCAAGCAATACGTCCACCAGAGTATGCAACACTACGACTGCAACCAGGGAGTAGTAGAGTACTCTGCCACACCCTCACTGCAACTGCAGGCATCCACGCAGTCGCTGGGTCGATGATGGATCATGGAGGAGGCAACGACACCCTGCTATAAAACTATTTGAATTTGATATTGATGTAAACTAAACTAATATTCAAATACACCCGTGCTGGGCCGCAGTGAATGTGCCCCAAATCCACGAGTGTACTTGACAGGAGACATTCAGCAGCCTGTCAGCGATCCACGATAGCTCTACTTGTACGAGCGAAGGTCGCTTCAACTCGGACAAGAAGGAGGCAACGACACCCTGCTATACAACTATTCGAATTTGATATTGATGTAAACCAAACTAGTAATATTCAAATAGACCTGTACTGGGCCGCAGTGAACATGGTGAATGCGTCCCAAATCCACGAGTGTACTTGACAGGAGACATTCAGCAGCCTGTCAGCGATCCACGATAGCTCTACTTGTACAAGCGAAGGTCGCTTCAACTCGGACAAGAACATCTAAAATTTCATAGGACATGCTGCATTTGCATTCCCTCCGCCAAAGCGGAGCGTTGAGGAGCACAGTAGTCTACATCGAGGTATATTATGCTCGGCAGGCCGCGAAAGAGAGCCCGTTACCTGGACCCCTACTCGCGCGGGTAGAGCGAAACTGAGCACCCTGGGATGCGAGCAGCTTTTTAGTACTCCCGGGTCCAAAATCTCACCACCAGGCCGGGATGATCAAAACGTCTGCCGGGTCTGCAGCCTACAAACGTGGATCTGCCGACACTGTGCTGTCGACGACATGTCTGGCAAGGCACCTCCTTGCGTGAAAGCAAGGAACGCTTTTTTTTTTAGAAAGGAAGCTTCTTCTCCAAAATTTAAAATTTTTGAAAATTATTCCTTCTGAAAATATCATCGCGTTCTTGACCTCGAAGCTGACTGCTGAATGCGATTAGGAAAGAAGATTCCTGAAGATACACCAGACTGATTCTGGCAAGCCGTCTGTCGTCTAGATATGCAGTTGTTCGTCATGCATGGTCAGCAATCTTCCTCGTTCGTCCTTTCGTTTTCCTGACCACGATGATGACAAGCAGCTCTCATGCTCAGGTTAGTGCTGTACTTGTATGTCTGGGCACACAACACATCTGAGATTCACCCACTGACGTTATCGAACTGAAGAATGCAGCAAGGGTTCCTCGGATTCTCTTGATTTCGGAACAAATTTCCTTCACTTTCACCCTCTCAGTCTCTTCCCCATGCCCTCCATGCATGCACAATGCAGCTTGCATTTCTCATACTTTGGCAGTGCCTCTGCTACACTTTCATATAGAGTGAGGTCCTGTAAATAGGATCGAACATTGTTGGTGGTGGTGTGTGTGTGTGGGGGGGGGGGGGGGGGGGGGGTACGTTTGCAGCCAGGATGTAGGAATGACACTTCTGCACAGCAGGTGGCAATAGTCAAAACTGGTCACTCTACAAATCCCATACCTGCCAACCTTTGCAAACCTGAGATCCAATGACATACCTAGGCATGAAAATGTATACAAAAGAAGCTCGCGGTGAGGCATGGAACTAGTGCACTTTTGGGTGCCTATTACCGCCCTCGATATCGGGACGGTCCCGGCCAAATCGGGATGGTTGTTAGGTATGAAATCCCAACCGAGAAAACCATTTAATTAAAAGATAAACTCGGCCAGGACATAGCGACTTTCTGTTTTTCGAATGACGTCACACGCCCCCACGCGGCGCAGCTGCTGGCGTGTTGAGTGGCAAAAGATGAGATCGAGTGAGATCGAGATTGAACGCCAAATACAATTTTATTTATTTTGTTGACGGCTTGTCGTCTTTCTTTGCTATCCACTCAGTCCACACTGGCCATTTTCGCTTTACGCTTGATCTTCAGGTTTATCTTTAGCGCTTTGTTTGTGTAACCGATATTGATCAAGGTCGAAATGGGGAAGAGCTGCTCGGCTGTTGGCTGTACGAGACGATTCAAAAAGGGCGACAAAGGTTGGACAAGATTGCCCTCTGAAGAAAGTGAACCTGAGCGCAGGGAAAAGTGGATAACTGCTCTGCGAAGGGAGAACTGGACACCAGGAAAGCACAGCTGGTTATGTGGAGCGCATTTTATCGGCGGGGCGAAGAGTGATGAGCCTTTGTCACCAGACTATGTGCCACGTGTGTTTACGTTTGTACGGTCCCCAGTCAAGAGGAAAATGCAGGAGGAGTTGGAGGCTTACCACCGGCGTGCAAAGCGGACTCGTTTGTTTGCTGATCAAAGCGCTACAAAGGCTGTGGAATCGACTGCAGCAACTCCTACTCCTGATCCTGCTGAATCCGCGTCCACTTCAAAATCTTGCCAAACAGATCTCACCATGGGCAAGCTTCACGATTTGGAGAGTGAAAAGGAGCAGTTGAAGGCATCAGTAGCGAAACTGCAGGCCCGAGTGACGGAGTTGGAGCTGGAGAACGCCACCTTGAAGCTGAAGCAGCCGTCTTATGGGTACACTGAAGATAATTTCAAAAATGACCCTGCCAAAGTCCATTACTACACTGGCCTGCCTGATGTGAAAATCCTGTCAACTGTCTTCTCTTATGTGTCAAAGCCTCTCTCTGCCCATGGTCATAGCAAGTTGTCCCTCTTCCAACAATTCATCCTCGTGCTCATGAAACTTAGACTGAACCTCGCGCATCAGGACTTGGCTTACCGCTTTGGCATCAGTCCGGCCACTGTCACAAAGATATTTGAGAAGTGGATTCAAGTGATGTTCGTCCGGCTACGCCCACTTATCCGCTGGCCAAACCATGGTGACCTGGAGAAGACCATGCCGAGGAGCTTCCGCGGACAGTTCGGTCGCTGCGTCTGCATAATCGACTGTTTCGAGGTATTTATGGAGAGGCCACGTAATCTTATGGCTAGAGCTCTCACCTTTTCACATTACAAATCCCACAACACTGTCAAGTTTTTGGTTGCTGTCACACCCCAAGGCTCCATATCCTTCATCTCCAAGGCTTGGGGCGGACGAACACCTGACAAGCATTTGACGGAGAACTGTGGCCTATTGAAGCTCCTCAATCCGGGAGATCAAGTCATGGCGGATCGTGGATTTACTATCGAAGACAGCGTTGGCATGTACTGTGCCAAACTAGTCATCCCTTCCTTCACCAGGGGGAAGAAGCAGCTGAGAAGGCAGGAGCTCGAGCAGTCACGCCAAATCGCGAATGTGCGTATCCACGTTGAGAGGGTGATCGGCCTGCTTCGGCAGAAGTATACCATCTTGCAGTCAACCCTGCCTATCACCCTATTGAAGCATGATACGGATGAGAAGGAGTCCATGATTGATCGTATTGTTAGTGTGTGCTGTGCTTTGTGCAATTGCTGCAAATCTGTTGTGCCGCTCAACTGAGCACTGTGATAGTAGTTTGTAGATGATTGTGATTTGCTGCAACGGGTTTATGCATTGTGGTACTCTGCTCATTATACACGTTGCCGTTATTATCTTGGTCATGAAACTCATCATGCCACCATGGTCCTGCAATGTCAGCTCTGCTTGCCATATCAACGAGTGTCAGTTATTTTGCCTATGTCTGGTGGCACCCTGTTTCAATGTCCATTGGATGCCTGAACTGGCCGGCTATGCGCTGAACTGTGAATGTATTGTTTTATTTTTTTAATAGCATCAAATGGAAAATAGCTGTACACCATGATTAATGAAACTGTCTTTGTGTTCGGCAATGTGAACTTCAATATTTGCATATAAACTAACACTATCGGCACCCAGACAAGTTGAACTTGTTCGGTTGTGGATGAGCTTTGGGTGTAAATCCACTTCAATGCTGGGGTTCCATTCCCTTTCCCAGGAGTCAAACTCAGCCAAATTGGGAGTTTAGTGTATCTCTCTTGTTGCCGCAATTGCCTTTCACAGGCACAACAAAGTCTGAGTGGTGGTCCAATGGCTTTCACTATGGAGAGGATCTTGGTTTAAAAGAAGACACTGGTTCACACAATAATTATACAGAATGTGATTGATGAGGTACAACAGTGTAATCGCTACTGACATACGATTTGAATACCTCAAAATTAGAAAACTAGTTTATGCCATACTCCATACACAAGATATCCAGCGACGTCATGCGTATACAATGTAACTGTACAAGTTGCAGGATGACGGCATCGTCAGGGGTAGACTTGAGCAACGTACATACCATACGGCAGACTGTGAAATGAAGAACAGGCATGACCAGTGAATGCTGCACAATACCTCAGTATCAGTATTCCTGAAAGGTAGGACCTGTTAATAATTACCACTCGAGAGAAGACTGTAAACTCATCTTGTTATCAGCAAACTGAAATACATTACAAATACATTATAAAAGTAGAAAGGAAAAGGACATATGGAAACGAGTTAAGAGTAACTCTCCACCACTGTATGTCCTTTTCCTTTCTACTTTTATTATTGGCTCAATACCCGAGTTTCAAAATACATTATAGCAAAGGAAAAGGAGCGAGAACACGCCAAGCTACTTGCATGGGAGAAAAGGCTAACTCACTCCACGAACTACAAAACAAATCTCATCCTTTCACACGCAGTGAAGGAGCTTACAAAAGTGAAAGGCAAGTGCATATGGCTGCACACACAGCCTACGCTAGCTGCAGCGCTGGTACACCGGAACTATTATCATAAAGAGCCAGCCAGCATGAATCAAAGCAATCGACTGTCGCGACACCAGTGCAGACAAAGTGATGCGTACACAATACAGACAAGGGGACAAGTCCAGCCAGATACAGTTACTTGAGCAGAGAGAAGCACCAACACAATCTTCAGGATGCATGCACATAATTCTAACAGGACCACTCCTCAAGCTTTCGACTTCTTCTGGCGAGCTGCCTTGCGGCATTCAGGACAATGCCAGCTCTTACCGGGCTTCTTCTTGAGGCCTAGGCACTTCACATGGAAGAAACGGCGAGTGCAATCAGTATTAGCACACTTCGCTACATCACCGGCCTCTTTCCCGTCACAGTAACAACCACCCGGCGATGACAATGTAGTCTGTGGCAGACCCACTGTGGCTGATGCGCCCGCTGCTGCTGGTGGTCCGTCAGGTAAGCTATCAAAGTTCTTTGAATACCATTTAGCGGCTAGTTCCGGTAGAACTCCAAGTTTGTAGAAATCTACAACTGCCTCCAAGGCTTTAGCCATAAACGGCGCATCAGGAAGTATGCGCTCCACGTGCAGCTCTTCCTTGTTCCAGACTATGAAGTCACAGTGTCTGGCAGCGCAGACCTTCAGCTGGAGCTGGACCTGATAGTAGTAGGCATGGTCGTGCTTTAGGCGAAGCTGTGGCAGCAACCCGGAGGAAGACGGGTCCTTCTCCAAGCAGAATTTGCTCTCGTCAGCAGCATCAGCGAATGCCTTGTCCCGGCATGAATAGGGACACTTGATCTCAAGCACACCGGCCCCACAGCATGCACAACTGACAAAGCCATCTGGGCTTGCCCCAAGATACGGGAAGTCAGGAGACAGGCAAAGACCGCACTCAGTCACAGACAGCTCCTTGTGAACAGCCCCCTGCTTCCTTACATACAGCTCACGCGCACTGGCCTCATGCTCACAGCCCCATTTAGTGGCTGAAGTTGTGAACGCTTGCGCCTCCGGATAACAAATGGCTTTGATGAGCGACACGGATGGATTGCTGGGATTGGTGCGCGTAGCAGCTTTGAAGCGGGATGCTGTTACCCTGCCAGCACGGTAGCGAAACCACTGCTTGGAGGTAGCCTGGTCCTTTGTGAGCCTCTCCACAGCCTTTGCCTCCTCCGCAGTCACAGTTATTGCGCTGAACACTTTTTCACAGTGCTGCAGCACATCGGCAAAGTTGGCTGTCAACAGTGCGTCATTGTAGAGCTCGTCTACCAGGTATGGTGGGCAGCCGTCCTGATCCTTTGGAGCGTACCGGTCAGAGAAGGCAGGCATAGTGCTCAGCACCGCACAAGAGCCGGCGGAATCCAGAGAGGCACATAGGGCATCAACTTCCTCAGCTGTGGGATTGTCAAACGGAGCAGGCTTGCTCTTGGCGGAACTGCTGGTAGCTCTTGGTTGTTTATTCTTATCCTTCCTTGGGTCGGGCACAGCAAGATCAATGTCAATGACCCTAGCATACTCCACAGTTTTCATGCTTGGGGCAATCCACTGACAAGGCAGGGAGGTACATGCAGGCTCTACTGCCATGGACGTACGGACAGACAAGCTCATGAGCAAAGCTGCGATGTGCGAGCACGCTTCGCCCAGGCCAGCCATGCAATTACAATGCGCACAAATCACGATTCCGTCCTTCTCCGCGGCTACCCAAGGCCTCAGATTATCTGCAGACACAGTCTGCGAATGCCTGACCGAAGCTGTCACGAAAAATTTCGTGCTGTCAGCATTTGCAGGAAACGACAGGACGTCTCCAACCCAGCCAGATTTTACGAAATTATAAGCATCCAGACTTTTGTAGGCTTTCAAGGACTCTTTGGTGTACGGACTAGGAGTATTTACAAGATAGTTATAAACATCAGGCCACTCGATACTCGGGAAAAACTCCACGGCAGAATTTTTGGAGAGGACGTACGGATCGGACACATTTGAAACAATTCGGTCAAGCTTCTCGCGATACCGCTTCTTGGCTACTTCGTCCAGCTCACCGTAGATTTTTCCAAATTCTCTAGGCTCCATTTCAGCAGTCATAACAAGCAGGTACCCTCTCAAGAACGCACAAACAAGCACGAATCTGATCGTCAAATCAGCAAAGAAATACTGGAATAGTGCAAACTCAAACCAAAAAGTGCAGCTGTCACCAGGTCACGGTCTTTTTGCCACTCAAGGTCACCTGAGCCCACGCGGGACCGGCACGTGACCACTTTTCGAAAAACCTCTATACCTCCTACATCATACATGTATGTGTGACCGCTGCATCGTGTGGTCCGCCAAAGCGGCTGCGGTAGTTCCGCTTTCCGCCTCCGCAAAAGCGGTGCAAGCTTTTCATGTGTGACCGCGGCCTTAGGGTGACGTAGTGCACGAACTGCGCTGTTTCAGATCTGATATGCACAGTTGCACTCTGGTTTATGTACTCTTGCCTTGGTACTACTGTAGTACTTCAGCATAGCACTGCAGATTTCAGCGGGATTCACAGAAGCTTTTTTGCGATGCGACACGCGATGATCGATGCGACAGACGCGAAACCGGGAAAACCCCAAATCGCAGCCATGTCGCACCCCCACGCAACTGCCGCAACTGGGCCATGGCGCCATCGCAGTACAGGCCATCGCAGAATTCTAGAAGTTGAGCTTGGCTGCGATGCGATGCGATGCGACAAGCGATTTGGTGTACGATTTTGACCTTTTCTACAGCAAAGTTGTACAAAGGTGCAAGAGTTGCCTATAAATTTTTACAAGTTGTGTCAAACCGCGCGAATATCATGGTGACGTACCCAAATCAGCAAAACTTTGTCGCATCGCTGACTTCTTCTGTGAATGGTATTTCTGTCGGGAGTTCGCACGGCTGTTTTTTTGTTTTTTATTACTATTACTTCAAGTATTAGTCTCTGAAGGGTCTTCTGATACTAGCAATGGAAATGCAGATGTAATGTGGAAATTTTAGTCTCGAATGCTTCAGTTGTCTCGCGTCACCCGTGCTCGTTGGTCCGAGCTTGTTGATCGCTACTCGTCCAGTAAGCAGACCAATGGATGACCTTCCAGAAAGTCCGAGTGTGCCACAATACGATAACACTCTCCGGAAAGAAATCCGACAGGACTACCGAGCGTTGCAAAGCGACGTACACCGCCACAGACATGAGCTGGTGCAGTCGGGCAACGTTGGCCTTATTCGCGTGCTCGACAAGGCTGGCGGACTTTTCACGGACGTAGAAGCGCCGCTCGAGGCAGTGCTCGACTCCAAAATCCTGAGATCGGTTGCCTCGATGGGCGTGGAGCAGGCGAGGAACGTGAATGCCAGTCGCATAGTGTTTAACCTTCAGGACATGGCCAAGAAATGTGTGGGTGTGATGAATGGAGCTTTGCGAAATCTGGACACTGACGATGACTCCGATGCCAATCGGTACCGGCTGGCCAAGCTGGACTGGTCGAAGCTGGCGGATGTGTGCGCTCCTTGCCTAGTTCGCCGTACGCCTTCTGCTACGTTTATGTATGGTCCTTTGACAATACAGGCCAAAGAACGCAGACAAGGCCAAAAACGTCCTGCTGACAAGACCAATGAGAAAGTCATGCCAACACAAGTTGAATCTGCGAACCAGCATCATGAGGAAACCACAGAAGAAGTAGAGAGAGTTGCCAGAGTGTTGAAAGACGTGTTCGAACGCAATCCGAGCTATGAGGCGATACCTTACTTTGACTTTGTGCTGAATCCCGATTCATTCTCACAATCCGTGGAAAATATCTTCCACACAGCATTTCTTGTGAAGGACAATATAGCCTTCATCAAGTTTAGTGATCAGTTCAATGAGCCCTATATTGGCCTGACGACGCGCGAGGATGCAAATTCCCAGGCTGGTATCCGTAGGCAATTTATCGTGGAGCTGGATATGCAGCTGTGGACGAACCTTGTTGAAGTCTATGAGATCATTGAGCCTTGTATACCGACCAGGTCCGGCGGTCCCGACACTTAGTGCGAATCATTGCCTTTGGACTGACTATCTCTATGATACTTACTTCAGTACATGTACCTGGACTGAGTAGTCTGACAACCAAGGCGCCTATGATCCATGCCGTGACTACCGTGACAATGGCTACCGGTCAGCAAGCCTATTATACCAGTAGTGCATCTAGACGATCAGCATGCCGATGAGAAAGCCACCCAGTGTGCATCTAGACGATCAGCATGCCGAGGAGAAAGCCACCTGTGCATCTACAAAACACGCACTGGTAAGTTACTGTGTGTCACCATGCAAAGAAAGTACGGCTTTTCATTTTGCAAGACACAGTGATATAGATGCAGATAAAGGCTGGCAACGAGAGGTAGCAGTCAAGCAGCTTTCCAGTATCATGATAGGCTTTGAAAAAGTCATGTTTCTCTTCCAGAAGGAAACACGGTTGCTCACTAGTGACTACCAAGTTGAAGTACCAACGTTCAACATATTATCCTGATGCTTCCCTAGACACAATGATCAGTGCATCTGGATACTCAGGTACTGCTCAGGTACATGTACTAAGTCTAAAGTAAATGTTGTTCACCAAACTCTGCCTATAACTATAGTACACGCCACATGGTAGTGTAAGCATTCCAGTCAGGAACGATGCTGAGCTTGTGCTGTAGCATCATTTGCCAATGCCTTTGCTGTACACTCTCAGTCATCCAAGCCTTGCTATTACCAACATCACGCACATGCACACGGACACACACACGGACACACACACACGGACACACACACGGACACACACACACACACACACACACACACACACGGGCAAGCCCACTTTGGCACAGCTGCTTCAGTACTCCAGCCGATCACGCCGGCCACAGAGAGAGAGAAAGAGAGAGAGAGAGAGAGAGAGAGAGAGAGAGAGAGAGAGAGAGAGAGAGAAGAGAGAAGAGAGAAGAGAGAGAGAGAGAGGCTGTTTTGTGTGCAGAGTATTTATTACCCTTTCATGTGGCTTTATGGTAGCATGTACCAACAAGACCTGCAATATGACTCTGTAGCCGACAGCCAAATCATGCGCTCATTTGCCAGTCACTAAGTCTCTGCTTGTAGCCGCGGTTTGCATACCTCAGCAGTAAATCTCCCAGAGTTATTTGAGCCTGGTAAAGTCGTGGCTATTCCTCATTTTTGACGCGTCCAATACAATTATGCACCACATGGCACACTAGGGAACGTAGACAGCCACGGGTACAACCATATTGAGTTGATGCATACACTCACTGCAGATATTCACCAACGCCATCCCGGGTCTCGTCCAATATTTGTTTACAACGTAATTTTTTATCATGCCATCTGCCGTATGCACATTTTTAGGAGGATGTTCATTGTTGTAGTATAAGTGGTAGATCTACTAGTATTGCCCGTCTAGGATCTAACAGGCAGTTTCTCTCGCTGCTTGCCGTATGCACAATTATATAGCTGGCACATGGTAGTATCTCCTACAGTGCGGATGTGCGAGCTCTACTTTTTATTGTTTACCACGTGCATGTTCACTATGGGACTATGTGTGCATGTATCATTTTGTTTGAATTATAATCTCCAATGGACGCTATCCTTATTTTCCAAGACAGCCGTGCCATGCGCCTGTATGCGTGCTAGGTGCTCAGTTAATTTGATTGTGTCTGGGTGTCATTCTGGCTACACACTACTACACGTGACAGCTTCACTGAGTGAGTGTGCACAGGAGTATGGAGGGTATGGGCCCAAGTGAATGGCTACATTTTCATGAGTCGGACTACTTACTTAGAGTGTGACGCTCACTTGTGCACAGTTTTGGCTAACATTCCTCTCTACATTTGTAGCTCTCCCTGTGTTAGGTACACATGTACATGTAGGGGCATTTTTGACTGGAGCGATTGATGCATATGCTTTGAGCCGTTAAAAAAATAATTAAAAATGCCTTGTTGTTCACTCAGACTTCGTCATTGGCTAGTCTGCTGTTGAGAAGCGTACTGACTCCGTACTTGGTCAACATAGGAAATAAAACCTCGTAAAAGACCTCGGTCTTTTACTCGGCTTTTATTTTCCTATTGACCTTGTACTCGTACTCGTTAGTAAGTCTTGTAAGCATGACTTTGTAGCATTGGACCTACTTACATGCATGTCTTTGTAAAAATATTGTATTTGTAGGCTACGATTCGAGTGCACTAGTGTTGTGTAGTCCTACCATCCACATACTGGCACATACACTAGCACAATTTTGATGGGAAGACGGACTGGTGATGACTCTAGTCTATGAGTATGACTCGAGTATGACACTATGCTGTCCCCGGGGAAAATTGCGGAAAAAAATCGCAAAAAAACGCGGCATAATATGGCATAATTTGCGGTGAATTTGCGGTAAATATGCGGTGAATATTATTGATATCATCTCGCGGCGGCAAGTTTTCAGTGAATATGTAGTGAAATCAATCAGTTACAAGTCTCTGGTGTAAGCGCTGTTCATATTTGAGTACAAAGCCGCCACGTTGCTGACCGAACAGTGCACTGTGTGTACGTGTAGTGCAACAGAAAAGTTCAAAAAAACGCGGGAAAATCGCGGAAAACGCGGTCTTTTAAAAAATCGCAAAAAACGCGGAAAAAAACGCGGCCGCGGAATCGCAATTTTCCCCGGGGACAGACTATGACTAGTATGAGTACAGTCTGACTCAGTGACTGTGTTGCTTCGCGAAGACAGACAGACATCGCGTGGTCACTGAGTGGGTCGGTTATCATCAGATCATGGTTGTGCAGCAGTTCTGCGGTGAGCATGCACAGGCACAATAAATAATCATTGGTTCAGTCAGTCGCCATGGTAGGGCTATACGGCTAGCCTACAACAACTGTAGTGTAGCCGTGTAGGCTAGACTACAACTACAGATTAGTTACAACTACCTAGTCCTAGGCTATGCAGTATGCGCGCGATAGCGATCGTTCGAAAAAGAAAATGCGCCTGAACCTTCTTGAAGTATTTTTGTTGTTACATGGACCAGTGTAGCATTGTAGTTTTCGAGTTTCTAGGTTTCTCTGAAATTCTCTCACTCAGGTACTAAGACAGTGCTACAACTAGCTCAGTAGCTGTAGTCAAGAACTTGAAGACCAAGATTGCAAGAAACGGCTGAGCAGCCAACGGTGGCAGAAGTACAAGTAGATCGCGGTATCTAGTCTATTGGGAACAGGTTGTTATCCAGTGAAATCCATTGGCAGTGCGTGACATGGACCACCGACCAGAGAGACCGGCAGCAAGTCAGAGGAAGAAGAAGAGTCGAGAACGTGCATTCTACGAACCACCCGAGGAAGGCGTGCAGTCCAGTATCATCGCCGACGCTCGTCGCGAGGTGGCTAGACCCATTCATACTCATCGACCATTCACGCCAGCGCAGAGGAACCTCTTCGCACGCCGCTCTGCCTCGGGAAAGGCTAGACCTCCTTCGTCTGTCAGGTAGGTAATTCACAGAACTAAACGAAAATATACACGATCTACAATGGTGTACACGTACACGGTACAGCACATAATCAAAAGTCGTTGACCGTGATGACCGTGTTGACCGTGTTGACCGTGTTGACCGTGTTGACCGTGTTGACCGTGTTGACCTTTAGTACAATGTAGATCTACTACTAGTAACACTACACTACAGTCATGTGGGATTGGATGAATTAGATGTAGACAAGGTGATCACTATTGTCAATATTAATTTTATCAGCATACAAAGGTAAATTGCAAGGAAGTCCAAAAAGATTTGTTCCGACTGGATGCACTTTCTTGCCACGTACGTGCCTCTTTTCCCACGGGCATGACTGACTGCCGTGTAAATCACCCCTAGCATCTACAAGGAGCTGCCATCCCGGAGGAGCGGGATATTAAGCTGCTCGGTGTCACCTTTGATACCCAGCTGTCCTTCTCAACCCACCTCCACTCCATTGCAACTAAGGCTGCCCAACGGCTCCACTTCCTTGCCAAGGTAGCCCCCTCCTAGACGCCAGAGGTCGCACAACCGTGTACGAGGGGTTTGTCCGCCCTCTCATGGAGTACTGCTCCTTGGTGTGGAATGGCTCCAGTACATCCTGCTTGGACAAGATTCAGCACAGGGTGCTGATATTCACCGGCCCGGAAGTTTGGCTTCCCAGTCTGCAGCATCGCAGAATGGTTGCATCCCTGTCGTACCTCTTCAAGCTTGCCTATCTTCCCCCGGCGAATCCGTGAAAGACCATTTTACCAGCCCCAGCCGACCCATGCCCTCCGTGCAGACCATCGACCAGGCTGGCCAATGGGTTCCCTGATTGTGCCATCCCAACGTGGAACAGCCTGCCAGGACAAGTCTCGCAATCCGCACCGCACCAACGGCAGCTGCAGTCATTCTAGGAAAGGTGCCATAGGTACCTGCTGCGTCTTGACTGGCAGAGAGCAACTGACGCTCTTTGATTTTCCTAGTTTCCCACATTCGCTATAACCAACTCATTGCCACTCATTCGCACAGGGGCTCTTGTCTGTATGAAAGTGTCATGTGAGATTACACGCCAATGACTTCCTTAGCTTAAGTTCTGATTGACCCCCATTTCCCCTATCCAACATTATCTTTTAATCTTTACCCTTTCTGCAGTGGATGTGTAGGCGCACCACTTCCGTATACATGTCTTGCTCTTGTCTTGTTTTCCCTCTCTCTTATGTCCTTCCCCATTTTTTGGCGCGCTTTGTCTGTGCAGACGCTGAGACCACCAATGTCGGCTGATCAGCATGGCCCCGCCATCACTTTCCGCATTTATTCGGGAGCATAGTGGACTTACCGGTAGTAAAAGCAAACAAAACAAAAAACAAAACAAAAAAACAAAACAAAAAACAAAACAAAAAACAAAACAAAAAACAATCCTTAGTAGTGAATAGTGATGATGGGTGATTCGAACCAGTGCCTACAGTGTTGTCAAGACGACCATGGTTTTCATGACATGACATTGAGAAGTCGGGCGATAGTTATTTAATGCTGTGCAATTTTCTACCCTGCTTGCAGCATTGCCTCAGAACTGCTACCGGATGAAGTGGAGCCACGCAGAGGCTTTCTCCCACCACTCGACATAGCTCAGTCGATAACAGGATGTGCAAAACCACCATCCCGCCAAGGTCTACCAAGGGTGAGTTAAGCATCCAAAGAGAATTTGTGGTTCTACCTGCACATGATTGAAGTCCAACACCAGTGTTACTTGGTCCTGTGCGTGCACACACACACACACACACACACACACACACACACACACACACACACACACACACACACACACACACACACACACACACACACACACACATACACACACATACATACACACACAGAGGCACATATACCCACCCATACACACACACACACACACACACACACGCGCACACACGCACACACACACGCACATGAATGCAAGTTTTTGATTGCAGTTACAACCAAACATCCACCTATTATAATGTATCTTACATGTTTGTCTCTGTTTGACTGGAGAACCAAGGCTACTTAGAACTATAAAACTGGAATGTTATGGGGTCATAGTCAGAGGCGTGAGCATTTATGGGAGGGTTGGGTGGAAGCCTGGGGAGGGGGGGGGGGGGGTGTAAGAACCCTGTCACCAAGTTGGTAGAAGCGTATTGCATATGGTCAGCATCGTGTGCGTACTCTGGTGTTCTCATCTGCCTAGGTATCGTCAGCAACGCCACAGAACTCATTTGCTGATCTCCAGACAGTCGGCGCTGTGACACCGGAAGAGTTGACAGGCGCTGCCAACCGAGTGGCGCACGGTGGTGGTGGAGGTCCTCAGCCGCAGGCGCCATCAGGCCCCAAACCAGCCCACACCGCAAGGAGGTATCCTCGGTCATCATCAAGCCGATCGCGTCCAGCTTCGGGGGCAGTGGCCGATAGCTTACTACGTGACCCCAGGCCCTCTCCTGAGCCAGCTAATTCAAAACCGGCCCATCAGAAAGTGCACGGTGCAATGAGCAAACAAGGCATTGGCAATCACACAGATGAGCAGCTAGCTGCTAGTCAAACACTAGATAGAGTACAACAGGACTGTGAAAGCCCTAAGACATCAGCGAAGCAAGATGCTTCAATCATGCCAGACCCGACACCGCCGCAAAAGATTGAGCGTACACCCGGTAAGCAAGAGCAGTCAGATAGCGAAGCTGTCCAAGCAGTGAAGGACACAGGCAAGCCTGAGGCAAGAGACGCTCGGGGCATTACTGCTGCCGAAGCTCCCAGTGAACAACCGCCATCAAACGGCAAGAGCAAATGCACAATGGAAGAGCAGGCGGAGAGTCAGCAGTGGCTAGATGCGCAGAGAGTACTGCAAGATATCGACGCCGCACGGAAAGAGCGCGCTGTGAACTTGGACAAAGTGTGTGATCTGACACGTGCCCTGTATGGCAGACTGCGTGAAATCATCACATCTGGAAAAGTACCAGAAGAAGAAACACTCAGGAACCGCAAGAAAGTTCTCTCGACGGGATTCCGCCTGTTGCCACTGAAGCACGCCCAAACAAGCGTCCAAGTAGCGAAGATCGCCTTTGAAGTAAGTGCGCTTTACACACCATGTACCATGTAACTGTTATACGTCCATTGCAAGAGAAGCACGCAAATCTGCAAATGCACTGGATTTGTACGAACGAATATTCTCTCATAGCAACGGTAGGGGACAAGATCTGAATGAAACAGATCCAGACTAGCGCAAGATAACTGCCTAATCCACACAACTGGCGAAGCCATGTGAATCGACCCCCAATGCACCCCTGGTCTACACCACACAGAGCACATCGGAATAGGACGGGAAAGACAGTTACCTATGCACACCCTACACTTGCACGCGCGCACACACACACACACACACACACACACACACACACACACACACACACACACACTACTACTACTACTACTACTACTACTATCAATCAGCTACCCCTTGGGGTCATGCCGCCCTCCACTCCGAGAACTGAGCGCAAGGTGAGGGGCAGTGGCGCAAACAAAACAGGAAGTACAGCAAAATGAATTGAAAAAAAAGGAAATCAAAACAAGCTGCCATATTGATGGAAAGGGACTCACAAACAGAGGAAGGAAATATCACAAACCAGATGAACAGTCTGCTGTAGGTCCACTATAATATGCAACGACTGAAAAAAGGAACAAAATTAATGTGAACATGATGTTCTGTTCAACAATAACGTCTGTACGCGTACTGCTTCGGCCTTCATGAACCAGGAAAGCACAATCTTGAGCTGGAGGGTGGGAACCGAACGTCCCACAAGGGCTCCACAAGACGTACTTTCACGAAACGACGAGGAGTATGCGCAGCAAGATAACATCACTACACCATCGCCGCACGACGACTGGCCACTCAGGTCCAAACAACACGACAAATTCACAATTCCAGCTATCACCGCGCAGGAATAAATTGTTGCGAGTGTCACCTGTATCCTTTCTCATCCAGGAATCCACTTGTTTTGCCGAGCGCCACTGCATTGTTTCAGGCTGGGGATTGATCCGAGGGCTCGCCACGCCACTGCGGAGGATGTGGCAAGGCCGCAAGAAGACGGTGACGGCAACAAATTACCCGCCCTGGTCGTCAGCTCACTGAATGTCCTTCCGCGCGAGCGAAACCGGCTGCAAGGCATGAAAAGCCTACTGCCAGTCAATACCCAGGGACGACCCTGACCAGAAGGCCAAGGCCGCCCCGTGGAGGAAGCCAACCACACACACACACACACACACACACACACACACACACACACACACACACACACACACACACACACACACACACACACACACACACACACACACACACACACACACACACACACACACACACACACACACACACACACACACACACACACACACACACACACACACACACACACACACACACACACACACACACACACACACACACACACACACACACACACACACACACACACACACACACACACACACACACACACACACACACACACACACACACACACACACACACACACACACACACACACACACACACACACACACACACACACACACACACACACACACACACACACACACACACACACACACACACACACACACACACACACACACACACACACACACACACACACACACACACACACACACACACACACACACACACACACACACACACACACACACACACACACACACACACACACACACACACACACACACACACACACACACACACACACACACACACACACACACACACACACACACACACACACACACACACACACACACACACACACACACACACACACACACACACACACACACACACACACACACACACACACACACACACACACACACACACACACACACACACACACACACACACACACACACACACACACACACACACACACACACACACACACACACACACACACACACACACACACACACACACACACACACACACACACACACACACACACACACACACACACACACACACACACACACACACACACACACACACACACACACACACACACACACACACACACACACACACACACACACACACACACACACACACACACACACACACACACACACACACACACACACACACACACACACACACACACACACACACACACACACACACACACACACACACACACACACACACACACACACACACACACACACACACACACACACACACACACACACACACACACACACACACACACACACACACACACCTTTGACCTTGACCTTTGACGCCCATCGCCGGAGGCGATGATAGCAATGCTACGGCAGAAGCCATAGCAACTTGTGCTGGGATTACATGCACCATTCAACAGCTTGCAAGGCTGAAGAATTGACCGTCACTATTCAGCCTGGTCTACACCATACAGCTATTTGGAGTGACATTTTCTGGCCAGTGAATCCCTATTTTTGGTCTTTTCATTTTTTTTTTCCCGCACACATCACACCACATACTCCGGCATGCACTGGCTGTTGGTATCCACCCAGGAGAATGAAAGAAAAGTCAGGAAGAGTCTGAGAAAGAGAAGAAAGACGTGTGTGACCATAATCGTCGGGAATCGAACCCGCAATCTATCGATTGGAAATCGCTGCACATACCACTGCACCATATGGGACACACACACACACACACACACACACACACACACACACACACACACACACACACACACCTGTCCTGTCCTGTCCTGTAGAGCCACTGCCACAGGGGTCACGTGGGCCCCGGAGGGGCATCAGAGAGGAAGATGGAGCACGCAGCCTGATGACGCCGGAGATGGTGCGGCAAACGGAACCGGCGAGAACACACGCATACATGGCTTAACGAATTACGCTGCTGGGCAGTCGGGCGCGGGCCAGTCCTCGAGCACCGGTGACGACCGCGGCCTTGCACAGACCGAAAGCAGCGGGCACACACAGCACAGTGCGCAGCACAGCAGGCATCCACACACACACACACACACACACACACACACACACACACACACACACACACACACACACACACACACACACACACACACACACACACACACACACACATACACACACCTGGCCTGGTGTACAGCTGCCAAATGCTTGGCCACGCCGCCCCCGAGACAGGGGAGAGTACTCAAGTAGAAGAGAGAGAGTTCGAGAGAAGTCAGCACTGCCACTAGGAAGCCGCTCCGCCACTCCCTAAACAGTTGCTGTTTGGATGGCTTGACGCTCCCTGACCAGCTCAGGGACCTCGTCTTCGGTGGAAGGACAGAATACAGTCAGACATGAAACTGTGCCAAATTGATGAATGGTTTACTCTGGCCCAGGATCGTCAGCATTGGAGAGATGCGTACCGCACTCGTGTGCAGCGTCCTGCCCCGGTACTGCTCTCTTGCTTGGTATGTAAACAGACATTCAAGAGTAAATCTGGACTCGGACGACACACACACACACACACACATACACACGAGCACACACACACACACACACGCACACACGCACATACACACACACACGCACATACACGCACACACACACACACACACACACACACACACACACACACACACACACACACGGGCGCACGCACACACACGCACACACATACGGGGGTAATGCTAGGCTCAAGTGAGATCAAGTATGGCCGGGGTCTTCCCTCGTTTGCCCGCATCAACGCCATGGTTCCAGTATGGAATCTCTGTAAAGAAAGAAAAATCGTGGAATTCAAGATAATGACTGTTTTGTCACTTTTGTGTATGCGTTCGTGTGTTTATGCATTCAGCTTCGTGTGTCTGGTGCAAACCTGAGAAACCTGGTCAAGACAATCTTCTCAGTAGCACACACACCAGGCAATGATGCTGTCTTTGCTGATGAGCAGCTTCTTGGTAGGTGTTCAGACCGGTATGAATGTACAGATCATCGTCATGGAATTGTCCATCTACGCACATACCGTCAGTGAAGTGCACGGCCAGTAAATGTGCACTCTAAGTAAAGAAGCCACACATATTCCGGTTAACGTCAGTACCAGGTTCTCAGGTTCCAATCAAATGGTCATGGTTTGCATTCATAGTGGCTCACGGTTTGCATGGAACTCGCGCAAAGGTGCAGCAGGTGTGTACAAGTATGACCGGTTCCAATCTTTAGTATCACGCTTGGACGACAAACAGACATCAAATGAAATCCGGACTTAGAGAATTGAAAATGTTGACCATCATACCACTTCTTCCATGTACAACTGAGCTGTGTGCCCCCTCTCCCTGTTGTATCTGCTCAGGTCATCTGAAAAGGACATTGCTGGCCTCGACGTCGGATGGTGTAACATCTGATTCTGCCGTGTACGCAGGTGGAGTTCTGAAGCTGGCATCAAACAACACAGTTGTTGCGGAGCTCGTTGGAACAGAGGAGTTTGTGCTGCAGATGTCACGCTTTCTGCGCACATCAATGCAGTCGGTAAGCAGTGCACACAAGTGATAATGCTACACCTGTATGAACACTGTCCTTTGTGCGCCTCTCTTGAGAGCCGTGCATTCTACTTTCTGCTACTGTGGCAATACACTGAAAGGTACCACACCAGCATGCTATGAACCTCTGGCATTGGGATACCCTGACACGATGCTTACCGTCGAAGTCAGCCTCTGCTTGCCATGTAAAGAATCTTCTCCGTCATTGTGTACGATGGCCTCTTTCCACGTCCTCTGAGACATGTCGGATTGATCGTAGCGTCTTTGTGTGTGTGTGTGTGTGGATTCGCTGGTGCATGCGGACAAATCTGTTCAGTTGACAACGCCTGCCCTGAAGGCAAAGCTCTCCGAGAAAGACATCATGGACATGGGATCCAGACACGTGCAGGTTCGTGCAATCAAGCACTTTACTGACTCCTTGGGGTTGTCATGACACCCTGTTTATTATACTGGTATAGAGGCTAAGATGCACGTTATTTCTGACGTGACGTGCAATTTCACGTCAAATTTGGCGTAAAACTCCAAATTTCGAGGTGAGCTGCAGGTCACTCACGTTGTTATCCAACGCTCAAGCCAAGTACCGCGAGCTGAACTTTCGCGTCACGTCAGAAATAACGTGCACCTTGACCTCTCTAATATCAGAGTCATAAATTGTCCAACAGTAACATTGTTCTATTTCAAAGAAGTACTGGCATAGCAGCAGTCTGGCCCATTGTCTGTATTGCAGATTCTGTACGTATACTTATGGTTGGCTGCCCTGGGCTGTGAGACCGCCGACCGGTTATGTAATCCAGGTGCCCGTGACAACTGTTTGTACTCCAAAAGGGTTGGGGAGGGGGAGGGGGGAGAATTTACACTGAAAATCAAGGTTTTTTCAATTATGATCGGCCACAAAGACCGAGACCACATCTAGCAAGGGAGGTTTCTGAGCAATGTTCATACATACCTGAAAACTGTGTATGACTGGGATGATTAGTGCCTTTAACAGCATTTTTTTTATTTTCGGATATTTTCAAATCTTTGGTGTTAGAAACTAACCGCTTATGTAGTGCGGCATGTAGTGTGACACTGAGTGTCCTGTTAGATCCACAATCCTTGTACTTGCGCTGTATTGGTGTCTCGCTCAGATGACTGGCATCCTGAGAAACCTTGCAGAGCACCGGGAGATTCACACGTTCTTCCTGAAGCATCACATCAGCAAGCTTCTCTTCCCATTCCTGTCCTGCATGCCACAAGAGAAGGAACTCATCTTCAACATTGTCCGCGTATACAGGTAGGTGCACTGAACCTCCCAGTTGTGAACCTCTGTTACTCACATTGTGTGCTTGTTTGAAATTGTGTTTAACGGTATGTAGCATTATAATTATACTAGCACTTCGAAGTGGCAACCAAACGTTCTGGCAAGATTGCTAGTTCAGTGACTAGTTCTGCCAGTAGCTGGTGTCCATCTGATGCAGTAGTAAGGCATCAGATGGACTAATTGTGGCTGCCGAGTGCCTCCCCATAGTTATGAGTATTTGTGGATATGTGCATAGACTGTGATATTGTGAAGCAACGTAAAAGGAATGGTGGGAATCATTTTGCCGAACGGCACAGTGATGACAACCAGGGTTAATCTCTGGTGATGACTTCGGTTCTCTATCTTTTTTTTGCTTTGCTGTGTGGATTGCCACAGTTACCTGACTCAGGATGCCAGGTTTCAAGAGGTACTGGCGGCTGAGGGTGGATCTTCTACCCAGTTCCTACAACTCATTCAGCGATGTCTGGCAGCTGCACCCAAGCTGGACGTAAGCCATTTGTTATCGTCTTGCACTGCTCTCATCACCCCCACACACCCCCTCTCATGCACGTGCAATTTTTCCGGTCATACCCAAATTATTGTTCCAGTCGTACCCAAATTTGTGCAGTGTTGCACAGTGTTGCACTGTGCTGCGATGACAGTTCATTGTCCTGCATGCGGTGAAGCTGTTAGCACACATTGCATCTTCACATGCCTGCTGCTTGTACAGACGGACCTGCTGATCCGCCTCTGGTTTATCATCGGCAATCTGGAAGAGGGAGATGATGCATTCCGCGCCACTGTCGTGCCCGACAAGGACGCAGTGGACGGCTTGGTTGCGCTGGTGTCCCACACTGCTGACATTTTTTCTGCCACGCCACTGGTATGTGCGCACGCATTGTTCCATAGGAGTGAAAGGTCCCCTCAGTGAGATTTGAGCACTGTCATCTAAGGGCCTGATAGCAGATGTTTTTTGAAGTACTGCATCAACTGCACACTAAGTCCACACTTAAATTATTCAAATGCTACGACATGTTGTGACTTGCACTACACAGCGACAGCTCTTACAATCATTAGCCACAGGACACAAGTGTGTACTGTGTATACACACAGACAGAAGGACAAACAATTGCGATTTTGTAACTCAGAGTTTCATGAATTGAATCAACAGACGAAAGGTGTGTATGCGCATCTTTAGAAGTACTCCATGCCATTTTCATCCATGGCAGATCTGCTAACTGGTAACGTTGAACACTGACAGATGTAGCAAGGCATGCTCTAAAGCATGTGCTTTACTGTACTGTATTATATGTGTACATAGTCCAGGCTGTGTTCATAGCTTTTCACGGATGCTGGTACAGACTGGCTCACAGTATATTATTAGAGCCGGACGGTGCTTCTGCCGGAGGCTGTGCTCCTGCTAAGAAAAGCACGGGATGCTACTAACTACAAAGACCTATTTGTAGTACTGTAACGGCTACTATTAATTTTGCTGAAATATTGCGTTTGCTTTTGCTGCGAAATGGCAGGCGGGAGAAAGCGGACTCACTGATGAAGGTCAAGATATACTCAGCAAAGTGAGTGATTGGATGGCATGGTAATATCTTCATGCACACACTGTAGACAGAATGCATCGGTACGCGGTGGCAAGTTATTTGTTGTGAATCAAAGCTTCATGCCAATAGGGGGTCATCAGACAACTTGCTCCATCCAAACCACATTGTGAGAATAGGTCCGCGCGTTGTGCGTCAAGCACTCCTGCAGCAACAGTGCCTACATAGATGTGTACGTGTGTGCACGCGCGCGCGCGCGCACGTGTGTGTGTGTGTGTGCACGCATGCGCATGTACATGTGTGCGTGTGTTTTTGTGTGTGTGTGTGTGTGAATCTTCTTGCACTGATTCTTGAGAAGTTAATCCTATAGTTCTGCTTACTGTTTTCCATAATTATTGTCACCGCTTATCGCAACCGTGCAAAACGTAGACTTCCTGAGCCGTGCACACATAGTGATGTCACTATGATCACCATGTACGGTACATGTGTGTGATGGTTTGGGGTTGTGAGTAGTGCCTCCTCCCTACTGCTGCATGTGTTGTACGCTTGGGATAAGTGACAGCAACTCTGGACGGCCGAATAGTGCTTCTTTCAGGGGGTTTTCTTCACTTCTAACATGGAGAGACAATTTCTCCAAGTCCTTGAGCAGAAGGACAAACATATTGTAGTAGTGCAAAGCACGGGGGCAATGTGCGTGCGATATTCTTTCCGGTACACTGCAGACCTGCAAGTGAAGTTCAGTTGCAGTCCTGTTGTGACTGACTGGCTGATTAGTATGAGATCAAGAACATCTCAGCTGGATCATGTTTTATGCTCCTCATGTTTTGAACTTCTCTGCCAACTCCGTTATAAAATAAATTAAATAATGTGGTCAGTTGTACTGCATGCTGCGTGTGACTCTAGGCCATCCGAGTCCTGGTCAACCTCTGCCCAAGCCAATCTGTTGGGCCTATGCTTGTGTCTAACAATGCCCTGTTTCAACTGATCGTCAGAATGTTTGGTAAGATGAGTTTCAAAGCCGATGATTGCTATCATCGAAGCTCTTACTGTAACTCTGCTCGTGCCCGTTGACATTCTATTGCAAGCACATCAACTATCACAGATGCCTCTGCAGTGTGTAGTAACAACTTATACTAACAATGTGTGTTTGTTTTCTGAAAGGAATTGCTTCTTGTTAGCAAGAGAGTTTTTATAATATAAGATGCACTATCAAAGCTTGCATTAGCATCCAGAGAAAATTTAGGTTGTACCATGCCAGCTCATGTAGTGTTGTCTGCCAGGAGCACAGCACTGAGTAATAAGTACAATCAGTCATGTAGCTACTGAGCAAAGCCTACTATTGGATTCATTGCCTTGTTTGTGATATGAGTGCACACAACATTCTATTCCTTGCCTTAGTACCAGCGGTCATCTTATTGATTCCGGTGATTGTGTTGTGTGTGTGTGTGTGCGTGTGTGTGACCTGGCCTGGCCTTGCGGCATGACTAGAACACAAGCACATATCCAACAGCCCTGGCGTGATGAAGGTTGTGATGGCCTTGCTGGGCAATCTGTCGTTCTACGTGGTCACCACCAGTGTTCTACTGCGGGAGCAGAACAAGGTCTTGCAGTGTAAGTTACTTGATGCATCCCGGCCAGCCACGTACATGTATACTATAGAGGTTGTGCGATTACGTCATCAGTTGAGATGCTTTAGCAAAGTCGCGGCACAACAATGCACGAGCGACTCACTAGCAAATGTAGCAACTCACTAGCAAATGTCCGTGTGTGTACAATTGTAAGTGGCAAATGTCCGTGTGTATACAATTGTAAGTGCATTCTTTGACTGCGATGCACGTAACAGTGTTTGCCTTAGTACCAGCGGTCACGTTATTGATTCCGGTGTTTGTGTGATGTGTGTGTGTGTGTGTGTGTGTGCACGTGTATGTGTGTGTGTGTGTGTGTGTGTGTGTGTGTGTGTGTGTGTGTGCACGTGTGTGTGTGTGTGTGTGTGTGTGTGTGTGTGTGTGTGTGTGTGTGTGTGTGTGTGTGTGTGTGTGTGTGCGTGTGTGTGATTCAAACATCAGTGATTGCACCGTACATCTCACTGGAGAATGTGGACATTGGAAGAGTCGCAGCACATGTCCTGAGTAATCTGACACGATCGAAGGAAGGCCGTGTGTTTGTAGAGCAGAATGGACGTGAGTAAACCCAACATTGAACTGAAGTGGAAACTATTCAACTGTTCATGATTGCTTCCTTTGTTTCATTCTGAGAAACCCGATTGTCACTTCACGTTTCAGACGTGTGCCCCATACGCCTTCAAACTAATAACACCAGACTTGGATCTGTGTTTGTTTGTTTTATGCTTTCTTTTATTTAACAATACTTTGAAAGCAAATTGATGCTTATCTAGGGAGCGTTGTGTAGTGAAAAAGGGGTGTAAAGGTGGGGTTTAAAATTGTTTGACTTGACTATCTGTGCTTTGCTCTGTCTAGTTCTAGACACGGTAATCTCAGTGCTGGCAGATGCTTCTGATGCTGACATGGTCTACTACTTGCTGGGATCCCTGGTCAATCTCAGTAGCGAGGTGTCACTGCGTTCTCAGCTCCGGTCAGCCAAGACCATTACTTGGTATGATGTGATACACAGATGTGATGTGATGATGTCCCATGAATACCACTGCTACACTGGCAAGGCTACTTCTGTTCACTGTAATTTGACTTCACAGATACTAGGTCTGAACTTGTACATGAGTGTGTTATTGATCAGGCTAGTTATTCCTTCAGAACACAACAACACCAAAACTCTCAGCCGAAATAACCCTTCAATGTATAGTGCACTGGTTGAAAGGCAGAAATTTGGAAACCAGCTCACAGTGTGTGTATGTGTATGTATGTATGTGTGTGTGTGTGTGTGTGTGTGTGTGTGTGTGTGTGTGTGTGTGTGTGTGTGTGTGTGTGTGTGTGTGTGTGTGTGTGTGTGTTGCACAATGCACTGTTGACAGGCTGATCAATGCGGTAAAGTACTATGGGCCGTCTGATTGGGAGATTGCCTCGATCAGTTGCCAAGTTCTGTGGAACTGCTGGTAAGCCACATGTGCGAGATGGGCTTTTGCAGTTTAGAAGAAAAGAGGCTATACCACTTATATTAGTATGGAGGTTACAAAATTGGTGTTCGCACTCCAATGAACGTCGAATTCAATGACGAAATTCGTTTCATGATTACCAAACAGAACTCCTACTGCAAAGTACTTTCATGACGTTGACAGATTGGACATGGGTACAGACAGTACAGCGTAGTACTGAAGTAAATTCATGACTCCTGACACAAATCCGCGGTTCGTGTTTCGACTGCTTTTCCGAACGAAAAGTGCGAAAGTTCGCAATCCAGTTCGCAAAATCGAAAAGCGTTCGCAGATTAGAACACGAAATTCGTGATGCTAAACCTCCATAGTATCATGTTAATGGTACCTCTCCAGTATGTACATGTCGGCTGCTGTGGTCCTATGCAAAGCGCACACAATGCATTGACTGTTGTTTATGTATGTACGTGGGAGTGGTCCATGCGGTCCTAGAGAATACTGCAGGCCTTTACTTGATACCTGACGTCGGCGTGATTGTGTTCTCTTTGCACTTGCCTGTCACAGCAACGAAATACAGGAGAGCGAGGACAAGCAGCATGCACTGGGACAGAAGAGTGCAATGCACATCGTATCAGTACTTGAAACCTACACGGGTAAGTATGTACACTCGGACACACTAAGAATCTTACAGGATGCCCACAGCACTTGAATGACCTGTAACTTACTTACATTGAGGGAGAGATTGTTGTCTATCCATTTGACACTGGGCAGTGAAAAAAGGTGAAACACTTCCTGTTCGGTTAGCATGACTGCTGATTTATATGGTGGAATCTTCCTACTTGGTATGCTTGGTACTGCAGGCATGACAGCCATAGGAAAATATCAGCTCTTGCAACTGTCCTTGTTTCTGTGTGTCCCTGTCTTGCTCAAGATTCTTGTCCCTTTCCTGAGGATTTGGATGACTGTGATGCTGATGAGAAAGAGCGGTTGGAAGAAGCGTGGAAGACGCACTTTGTACCAGTAGCTCACATGCTGCTGCCATTGGTACAGTCTCATATCAGCTGCTGGGAACCGCTGAAGGAAGAAGACGATGCTGATGCCCGAGATGATTCACATTGACTTGCTAGCCACGGTGGTGTGCAGTACAGTTGAACAGTTCTGATAATACCAGCATGTGAGGTACACCACAGCTATACAGTGGCAAAGCAGTGGACTACACCACAGCTATACAGTGGCAAAACTGTGGACTACACCACAGCTATACAGTGGCAAAGCAGTGGACTACATCCCCTCAATATGGTGCTAAGCAGCTATACGTAACACCAATTCCAGAGCAATGGAGGATAGATAAGAAGCGACCTGCGCAGTGCTGAGCCTAGCCGAGAGCGGAACACTACTTGTTCTACGCAGGCGTGCAGTTTTTGTTAATGCTGTGTTGACGCCTGGACTGCCCTGTGCCTTGGCGCTGAGTGACTGTGCTAGCAAAGAACAACCAACCGTTGGCTTTCGGCTGCAATAGAACGTAGCATGCTCACTGCAGATGCCGTGCACTTGTGCTGCCATTGTTATCTACAATCTTGACCCGCTAAGAAACACGTACGCTTACATTCTACTTCCGGTAGACATTACTTTTCTATGTTGCTGTATTCTGCAACTGCTTGGTGTTGCATTTTCTTAGTTATTCTAATGGAAAGTATGATGCGTATGGTGTTGTTGACCGCCGTGCTTGGACCAGACCATGCACAGAAGAATCACATTATTTGGAGGCTCGAAAATATCGCCACATCAACATAGCCACATCTAAACAAGCAGAACTGATGTGCGGGCAGTTCAAGTACAGCAGCAATATTCATAAGACCTGATCATACCCGTCATGGGAGTGATCTCAGTGAATTTTACACTGGGCTCTTGGCCTCCCACTCAAGCTTTTTTTTTTTTTTTTTTTTTTAAATTTTTCAAATAATCTCAGCTGTCCAGAATAACTTACAGTGAACAACAAACAGTAAAAAATAAAAAAATAAAAAACACTAGAACCTAATTTTATAGCTTCAGTTTCTTCCTACAATGTTGTCGGGTAAAGTCCCTACAATTTCTAGAAACTCAATCATATGACCCCATTCAATGGTGCTAAAAATTAGGAATACACTGCTTGAACCTACTTTGAGATATGGAAAACTAAACAGATCCTAGCGAAAATAGCTGACGAAAATACTTTCAAAATAGCTCAACCCTACCTGCATGTACGCACAAAACCACATACTCCAAACACACTGTCTGTGTACATGTGCACTATCCTGCACAACATGCTGTATTTCGTACAAGATAGTGGCAGGGACTTGTATGCTTCTACCCTGTAGTTTGGCCTTCAAACATGTAGTTGCTGCATATTCCACTAAAACACCTACGGTAACTGTTGCATTTTAAGAATGTGCACATGGACCAATAAACATATCCAGTTCTGACGTACATACACATCATCTCCGCCATTAAAATTCATCCTTGGGGTATGCGTGGCGTGTTTGTAAACAAGTTTGGCAGAGTGCTGTAACCCAGGCGACGACGTGGGTTGCATTGACTGTTCGTCAGCGTGTAATGCCACGATGGTGTTGAGAGTGCAGGCATAGAACATGATATGCCTTAGTATACTGCACCTGTATGCATTGCAGACAGGTACAGCTTATGGAGCAACAAGACCACAGCAGGGGCCATGTGGACACGTGTAGTCGAGTGTTGACACTAAGACCGTAGTCTCAAGGTGCCTTGTCACTAGTGTATATATTAGAACACAGTACTAACGTTAATACAACTTGTGATACATGTACTAATACGCTTCACTGGCTGTACTGTCAGTGAAGTGGATTGTTTATCACAGTATCGTGGACGCTACCATGGTTACTGGCAGTAGCTCAACATGCCCATCTGATTTGCACATTGATGTACAATGTTGTTTGGTAACAATAGCGAGGGAAGTCGAGTCAACAGCAAAAAAAGGACCAGATGCAGCACTGCTGTGATACCAGGCTGTCTCCCGCCAGCACTAGTAGGTCAGCTGTCTTGCTAGGGGAGTCGATGGTGCAGAGGAGCTAGAGCGCAAGCCCTGCAATCGTGTGCGCCGCAGCAACTGTGGCGTGCTGTGCTGCACAGACTTCGGCACTCGGTGTCGCTGACAGTCGCTCACAATGTCACTGACAGACGACGCAAGCGTCTTGCCACATGCGTCCGATAGGTCCATTGCACGTACAGGTGGAATGGATGCAATCCTGCTGCTCTGCCAGCCCCGTTGACAATTCTAGTCAAACCAACGTCAGTGGAAAGCCGAACAACAAGACTAGTATCACATGTACTGTATTTACAGGCTGGCATACATAAGCCTTATAAGGTACAGTCAGATGTGAACATTTGTCATCCTGCTCTGCACTATCTCTGCAGTTGTTGCCGCGGTCAGGCCAGTGAAATCATGTGATCACGTGATTGCCCGTATAAGAGGCTTTAAAGGTACTATACTTGACCAATACATATTTAAATACATATTTAGGTTCTCAATCTGCGCACAGAACTGTTTCGTCCTTTGTGGACTCATCAGCGCAGCACAGAGGAAATGAGGCCGAACCTGATAGCAATGAAATACTTCAGTATATATTTTCCAAAGCCAGATTTAAACCAGGCCATATTTAGGTTCCCAAGTCAAACACATGATTGTAGTGCTTGTTTAATCATCAAACTTACCTTTGCCAGCCCAAAGCTACCACCACCATCCGGATAGCAGCAGCTATGATCATCGCAACCACTACGCTGACCAGCGCGTTTTGATGACGGTGACCACTTGTATGAAGACCGTAGTGAGGAACGAGGGAAACTGACGCTGCAAACAGAACAAAGCAGGTGGAAATTGATCCTGCTCCAGCTGCAAAGGACCTGCATCAGAGCTTGACAAGCGTGATCATATCACAAAGAATCCTGGTGAATTACTTGTAACCTGGCAGATTTCTCTACAGGCAATCAAACCTACATTGCTAGACCGAATAAAACCAGCACCAGAATAAAGTGTGCAGATATCTGCAAAAAACTGCCTACTTTGTGGAGCACGTACACTTGAACATACTTCAAGTAAAATGATTTGCAGGTTTGATAGCAGTCAGATGTCATAGGTCGCACCAACAGTAGGATCGACACAATACTGTGACAATAGCAAAAAAATTGCACTGGGACTTCAAACTACAGCAAAGCCTGCATGTAGCCAGCAGCACTGCGATGAGAGACAACCTGCTGAATAAGAGCAGTCATCACTTCAGAACCTAAGCCACCTATCTACACACTATAACTTGTGTAAATGATTTTGTGCACCATGGCGTGTTCTCTACACATAATTATCATGTCTTTGATTCAAGATAGAGACAACTGAGGTGGCAACACTTCTTGCTTTGCCATAACAGAAACAAACTGAAGAGTGCTGGAAAAACCTGGTACAAATCTGCAATATATTTTTGTGTAAGAACTTACCGAACATAGGCATGGGGGTTAGATGATGCAGTACACGTACGCTGGGATTTACTGCACAAAGTACATGTCCGCAAGTCGCCATGGTGTAATGGCTCTGGCAACAGCCGTTCTCCTAGCCGATAACTTCCAGCCACTGCATATATATTTAGATAAAAAAACAACAACAACAAAAACTTTAAAAAGGAAGACATGCAGCTAACATGCACATTAACACAATGAATTCAGGAGAGGGAGGGGGGGAAGTGGGGCATTACTCCAAGATTTCAAGATAGGTGCACTCCCCTCCCCCCCCCCCCCCCCCACACACATATTGTGGACAAAATGGAGCAAGTTATTAGCCTTATGTACATTGTACAGATGTACAACATCCCATGTGCACTCGGGTGCTCATTGCGTGTGCTATAAATGGGCATTTGACCAATTTAGCCCAATAGTCAATGGCAGAAAGTCGCTTTTCCAGCTTCATCACTTTGGACAGAGCTAATGACTAGCTAGATTTTCGCCCAAGAAAAGTTGTTACATGAAATGCCTGCTGCGTACGTTTCGCAGTGGAAATAGTAGTAAATACGACAGGGTCCTGCACGTTCAACACCCAACCGGGTCTGCGGGATTCTACGGCTATGGGATTTTGTACATCTGCACAATGTGCACAAGGCTTTTTGCTGCGACTCAGAGTATAACGCCAAAAAAAGCTACCAGTAAACAATACAATTCTCCGTGTGAATGAACTCCATCAAGCCATGTAACCTGGTCAATTTCGTTTGGTTTACTAGACAATAATTTACTGGAATGCATTTTGTTTTGCCGGTAAACATCACACACTGCAATGCCAGATGATGGGTACTCACTGTCGAGCTGGTAAGGAGTTGATCCTGCATGAGCCGGGTCTGATTTGATTGTGTGGTCTTGTTTTGTCTTGGCTTTGCTCTTAGCAACCGTTGGATGGGAACATGCAGCAGACGAGGCGCTGCACACATCAACAGACACAACTTCCCAACATAAGTGGTAGCATTGGGTTGATCGTTAGCCAGCATACACAGGTAAAAAGTAAACAACTTAATGGCAAGCAATAACGGAGAGATCCAATCACAACTAGCTAGCCATTACTCAACAGTGACACCATCATAATCGTTCTCACCGTGCAGCAAAGCACTCCTCGTGGTTAGCGTGACGGAAATCGTTTAGTTTCGAGTAGAACTCTTCATCCTTCTTTACAGCCGTTGCAGGATCTTGGGAGGGCATGTCAGAGGAACTGGCTGCCATTTCTCGCTCGATGCGACTGGTGATCCAATCATATCCTAAAGGTGTACTGGAGGTCGGCCTCTGCCCAAGGCTCCACGACAAAGACGAGGACACATGCCGATGACCAGAACGCCTGCCTGGAGACGTGGTATCAGTTGCCTGCAGCAACAATGAAACAATCATGACTATGGTTACACTTCAGCCGGTACAGGCAGTCTCTGTCCCATGGGCTGAGGAAGTTGATGTGAAACGCACACAATCGTCCACAGAGCATTGCCCCGGCTGAAGCAGCTCTAGCACGGAATCAGTATAACTCATTGTATTCCGAGGCTCTACCATTGTACCACTTGCTTGTGTCACTTCTGAACATACCATAAAAAAGATAAACTGCGCACTTATATTCTTTATATACACATAAAGGCTTGTCTTGTGTATCGAATATGAGTGCGCGGTTTATCCTGTTTATTGCTATAAAAGAAAGAAAAAACACGATAATACATGCAGTCCTTGCTAGAGCACTGATCGCTCACGTAACATTTTTGTTCTCCATCTCTTTGCAAACATTCACACTTGGACCAAGAACAGTAATTATACTAGTACATGTAAATGAATGCGCTCTAGCTCCTGCACTGAGGCATCATAATTATGACATCCATTTGTAGCCTGGCCTCAGTGGGCCAGGCAGCAGACAAGGAGAATCATCAGATCAAACTCACAAGTAGGTCACAGTTCAGTTGTAGATCAGATGTAGACTCAGAATCAGAGAGAGGAAGAGCATGAACTGATGTGTGACCGCCCTACTTATACCTGGCCAGAGTGCTCTCTGTCCAATCAGGAGCTATGCATGTGACTACCATGACTACAGGTGTGGTGCAACTGCACCAACTAGGAATGCAGTGAGGGTACAATCAAGAGTGCATAAACAAGTGTATGCAACTGTGGTTATGGGTCAGTGCGCGGCGCGCTGCCTTCATTACGTAACTTGCCTTCATCACGCTCTGAAAGCATGCATTCAAACTCACAATTTCTCGTACGAGCCCATCTGTTTTTGCTCGATTCGTTCCAGTACCTACGCAATCTCTAAATTCTGGCGCTTGAACTCCAGTTCCGTACGAAAGTTCATTTCAAACCAGAGGAAAAGTGCGGTGTTTGATTTTCCGCAGTGCGCGGACTGCAGCTGAATGATGTAATGAAGGCAGCGCGCCGCGCATCTGGCCCATAGAAAAGAGATCACAGTTGCATACTCTTGTTTAGGCCATCATTTTTTATAGCTATGTTTCGCGTCGTCCGCACGCATACGTTTTGACTTTTTTCGGAAAAAAATAAAAAAATCGAACATGCACAGTGAGTGTACGATCGTGCGAGTCATCAGTGTGGACTGGTTGCGATACGGCGAAGATGGGATTCATAAATGGCCTCTAGGCCAGCGTTGGTAAATCGTTTGTTCGGCATCTGGGAGCAATATTCTATGAGCTTACACCAGACCGCATTGATCGCCTCAAGCTGAGAGGATGCGTTGTTCCGGAGCTCTTTGCACCGCTGCTGAAGTCTCAGTACAATAATCCAGCGAAGCATGGGCACCAACGGTTGCCTCCTCTGTCCAAAGTGAATATTTACTCATGCTGATAACCCAGATGTTGTGCTTCGATGTACGTTTTTTCTCTCGAATGTACACCATGCACGAGCTATTGTGCTATGTACAGTGCATACACCTCTGATGGGCCTTTTTTATTATTTTGCAACTTTTTATTTTTTTCCACCTCTCGCATATGATTCTGGAAGTTGAACTGACGCGAAACATAGATATAAAAAATGATGGCCTTATGGACTCTTGGTACAATGAATGAGGCATGCCCAAATATGTAATATGCACTGTGTTACACATTAATTTTGTTTGATCTGAGCCTCAGAAATATTTTCATTACGCTACTAGTATACGGCCAAGCAGAGTGGCGATTATCTCCATGTATAATGATGTACATGTACCTTGGATTGATAAGCGGGACGAGCATTGGACGGGGATGAGAGCAACTCCTCAGCTGTTCTTTTGGGTACTGCTTCCGCCATCCTAAATTCCAGAACGGCAGAAGACACCGTACATGGGCTACTGCACTGTGAAACTAATACTTATCACTCGAGCTACTGCTGAGCGAAGAGTTGTCTTGGACCACGAATGTGAGCAGTATTTACCATCGACTCAGTGCCAAAAGACTGAGTTGACTCAAGACTACTGTGTTTCTAAATTTTGAGTATTTCCCCCAGATCATAGTGCCAGATGGCTTTACTTGTTTCTGTTTGAAGCCACGCTCCTGAGGCCTGATCTACCTGATCTACTGCTGTTGTGCGTGCTCTATCGCATGGTGCATATTCAAAATTTCAAAAACGACCTCCAAACCCTGCACATACATTGTGCACATACTAGTATGTGGCGGCGCCGTGGCCCGTGCGGCCGTGCCCCGTGGGCCATGCGCTACACGTGCCAAAAACAGACACGTGCAACATGGCCACGTGACGCGAGTCGGGAAAGCTCAAATAATTCGAACTCGACTATCAAGAATGGGATTTTGAAACAGAAGAAGGGACTTTTCTATTTTTAAAAGCTTTGATGATATCCCCATCGACATCAGGATTGGAAGTGACCTTGGAGAGTTGGCCTGTACGACCCTAATTCAGCTCTTGACAGGCTGGTTTTGGTCGGGAGAATGGCTCGTCTCTATAGAAGCATTTCCCCGTTTCTTCCTCCTGACTGGGCAAAGCAACTTCCAGTTGATTCAATTCCAAAGACCGCAGTTTCCGTAGGTATACAAGAGTGACTGTTGATCTTGTATAATTGTTCATAAAATACATGTAAAGTCAAGTATGCTCGCTTATGAATATTATGAACAGTACTATGGTCTCTGTTGGCCATACTCATATTGTATTGTATCACAGGACTCGCCTCTCTTTTCGCAACCAGCCTCAGTTGGTCTTGGTTATAATAATTCATCACATCTAGCTAGAAATGAAGAAGAAAGTGTCTAATCATAGCTCAGCATGTAAGGAATAAAAAAATGTTGGGCTTTCCCCAAAAGTATGTTGTCTATTATCAAGCATGCTCGGGACGTCATTTTTTAACGGTCAAACTGCCTAATAGGCGATTCAGACTACGGCCAAATGTGACCACATTTCTACGACTCAGATAGATCTGATCAGGGATTGTGCATAAAATTTTGAAACACGACTGCATCACCATGGAAATTCAAGTTCAGACGTGATTTTGGCCGTAGTCTGAATCGCCTATAACCCCAAATGCAGTGAGATTCCCAAGTGATGGCAAGCGGAGATGATGGGCTGATTATGCCCGCTGCGGGAAAGCTGGCTATTGCCAGTATTGGTCATAGCCTGTGAGCGGTATGCATGTAATGGTGGTGTACAATGGGATCCCTTACATAACACTGTAGGCGTATCCATTTCACTGTAGCGGGCTGCATATGGACATGGCCCTATGCAGCTATTTTTTTAATTTTAATTTTTTCCATTCCTCCACTAATGAATATTTTTACGTAATCAAGTGGTGTGCTTCACTGTCCAAAGAGTGCTCAATACCCATGTAGGGCAGAGCCTTGTGTAATGAATATTTTATCATCTTTTCTCTCTTTTTTTCTTCGTTTTAGCTTGCTCAACTGCCGACTCCTATTCATGAGTGGTCTCGGTTTCCAGGTGTACCTGATGGCTTTTCTGTTGGCATCAAGAGGGATGATATGACACATAGCACATTATCCGGCAACAAGGTAAAAAAAGGCTGCGCTTTGTGCAGCTTAGACCATCATTGGGCAATACCGTTCTCATTTGAGCTCCATGCGGTCGCACCTCTGACTGCAAAAAAAGCATGACGCAGTGAACCAGTCAGTGAACCAAGTATACAGTCCAGCCATACTGGCCAAATAAAAATATTAAGTCATGTGACCAAAATCCTCTACTGTTTCATGTTGTGTAGGTGCGAAAGCTGGAGTTTCTTCTTGCTGATGCTATCCAGCAAGGCTGTACATCTGTCATCACATGTGGTTCCATTCAGACCAACCATGGTAGAGCAACAGCTGTAGCAGCCAGGGAGCTTGGTCTGGATCCATATTTAGTTGTCCGTTCTCGACCAGCAGATGTGGTAAGAAATTGGTGAATGACTAGCTTAACTTGTTGCCATGTTGCGCAGCTACCTGTATTCACAAGTACATTGTGCTGTAAAAGCCATTATTCTAACGAGGCGCATATATAACGATTTCCCAAAATTGACTAGTTTACGTGTACCAAAGGTAACGATTTTCACTCATTCTCAACGCTCAATAGGACAGTATATGTATCGATTTCTGTATAACGATTTCTATTTTAACGACAGATTTCTCCTCGTTAACTCGTTAGTGTTAGCACTTCGTTATATATATGGCTTTTACAGTAGTCTCTTTTAGATCTTCCCCCCAATGTGTACTGTACGGGGAATTCTACGTCTCTTGGCTGCCCATTGTGGACCAGAAGACGCAGTGAATGCACTGTAGAATGGCATTTCAAAGCAGTGCTATGGCCATGTAAGCCGATGTTTGCACCATGCTATTATTCAGGTGAGACTTCTATTCAAGCCGCAATTTTATATGTAGCCAATGCTCAAAAGCATGGTCATGTGCTAACATGCTCTTCCCATTCGTGTGCTTGACCCCAGTTCATGCTTGTATGTTACAAGACTCCATTAGGACCATGGTCAGGAGCAGTCATCTATTTTTTTGGCGATTGCACTAAACAAGAAGATGTGACTGCCCATGGTGTATCTCTATCCTGGTGCAGTGTGTTTGCACTCTGCTGTTTTCACTGCTCAGGAACAAACGGACAACTATCCGTGCGCTGGAAATGTTTTACTCGACAGGATGGTTGGTGCTGGCATCATATTTGCGCCGTATGGGAGTCAAAAAGAGAGCTTAGCTCCCCGTATGAAGACACTTGCCGATGAGTTGTGAGTTTTCTTATTTCTACTAGACCTGTCATGCCAATATGCTTCTATGTTCTGCTCTACTGACTGATGGCTCTCATTGTCTTCTCTCCTAGGTTTCTATTCCACAGAAGAACAAGCTTATGCACACCAATGCCTTGTTCCAACTCTACCCTGGTAGTGGTACAAATAATTTTACCTTCTGTCATGGCCCTTTTGTTGCATGCGTTTCACTGTTGTTTGTGATAAGGCTTGCACAGGGACAGAAAGCCTACGTCATACCAGTCGGTGGATCTAATCAAGTTGGCATGTGGGGATACATCGTGGCCTTCCAAGAAATGATGCAGCAGGTTAGTTTATCGGCAAGTTTGTGTGAAATGGGGAAAGCAGTAGCTTTCAGCCTTTGATTCAGTGATTCTACAGAGCCAGGTGCTGTTGTGCAGTAGGAACTGCTGGAATTCTTGTGGTCAGAACTGTATGCTTGGGCATGGGGAAAAGTTTCACAGTTTACATGCGATTCAGTTAGACTGAGTATTCCGCATCCTCAGGAACACCACCACCCTCTAGGATCAAGGCGCAGATGCAGCTCCTAAAGCGGTTCCACGAAAATCGGGCCAAAATCGCCCTTCCGTCTTCCGCCGCGAATATTTAATCCCGTAGTTATGCAAAAGACGTCACGATCAGCGGTGTCTGGCGCTAGCTGAGGTCAACAATGCTTCATTTCGGATATTTATGTGAGGCATATGTCCCAGAGTGGGAGATACGACAGGTTAAGGCATTTACAAAGAAAGGAACTCATAAGATCACTATGTGTGGTGACGACACAGCTTTTCTCTATATCGTCACTCTCTAGGAAGCTTGCTACTGTACTCCTTAGCAATACATCCTCTGCGTGGCATGTTTATTGTCTGTCTCTCTGTCTCTCTTTCTCCATACTATGGGCGTATACCAGGGTGTGCTGGAGAACTATGATGATATTGTGCTTGGCTGTGGCAGTGGAGGCAGCTGCTGTGGACTGGCGGTCGCGAACTATCTTCTCGGATCACCGTTAAAGTGAGCTAGCTTACTAAGCTTAGGTATACTAGCACATGGCCCCGCTGTGCTTAGTATCAAAGATCAAAGTGCCTTGTGGAGCCAGTGATGATTTGGAAATTTGTTGCGCCATTGTTATTTCAGTGGGACCAAGATTACACTTTCATGTACTCTTGGTGCAACTTGCGCAAGCACCGTTTCCAGACGGTGTTCTCTTATCGTTGGGACCTCGGCATCTGGGGTAGCCGTACCCTCTCCATGACGAGACACTGGATCTGGGTCTGAGGTAGGGGCACCCTCTCTCCCCATGGCGAGATCCTGTATCTGGGTCAGGGGTCGAGTGCATGTATCATCTTCTCTGTGACAAGGTCTTGGGTCTGAGATAGGCTCCCCTATGTTGTGGTCCTGGATCTGGTTCTGAGCTCAGCATGCATCATTGCTGGTTAGTTGTGTGGAAATTGAATGTTCATACTGTGCGTTTTCCATACTCCAATGTGGCAGAATTCACGGAGTGTGCGTTGCAGACAATGCCGACAACTTCTACCAGGGCTTAGATGCTGAGCTTGATGTGCTTCAGCTGCGCAGCAAGGTAGCGGCTCGTGACATCATTGACTTTGTGGACGGATACAAGGGCGCTGGATATGGCATCTCAAGCGATGAAGTGTATGGTAAGCACTGTGGTGGGAGTTGTGCAATCCGGACCAGTGGACCAATGGCAGTCTGCACTTGCAACCAAAAGGCCACGTGACCTTTCACATGTATCTACAGTACTCAAGGTTGTTTGATGGCGCTCTGAAAGTGCATGTCGGTCCAGACTTCACTCACCACGACTGTAGTATGATGATGTTGTTCTCCTTGCACTGTAAGTGCATTTTCTCTGCCACTTTTTAAAATGTAATAGATATGCAGCATAATGCTAGTACAGTTCGATGGGGGTACTTTGGGATCTCCTTGACTCATTCAGATAATTTCGACTTGAGTTCATCTTCCAACATACTGACCAACCACCACAATCTCAATCCCTTGACAAGACATGCAGAATCCCTGGATTTCTCTCGAAATCCCTGGATGGCACAAAAACAAGTGAAAAAGAGCTTTTCCCGCCAAAAAAACGTTCGACTCTGCAGCTGTGCGTACAGCACAGATCGACCCTGTACTAGGCTGTAGTGCAGTTTGATCAGTCGGCGCCCGCCTGTCACTTTGTCAGTGCAGATCTTGCATGGTCAGGTCTTCAAAGTGCTGTGCACAGTTCGAAGTGCGAATAAGCACCGTACATACCTTTGAAAAAAGTTCATTCGGGAGAAACCATGGAGTTTTCAGGAAAATCCTGTATCAGACAAAACTTTGGTTTTTCCGGGAGTTTGCTTAAAATCCCCGGGACCCCGGGAGGAGTGTTGATTTTCCGGGATTTTCCCGGGAAAAACTGGAGGGTTGGCCAGTATGTTCCAATGCAGGGCCTTGTGCGGTCTCTTAGGAGCTTATTCTTAACAGCCAGCCCTGTTTAGTGTTTATGTCATGTGGACTACACAGTGGTAGCCTTCATGACGTAATCACGTGATAACTTTTAATATGTATGTTCTACCTTTTAGACCTGGTGCTGTCCGTGTCTCGCAGTACTGGTGTCATCCTGGACCCAGTGTACACCGGCAAGGCTGCCTACGGACTGCAGCAGATGATGCTCAAGCAGCCAGAGCGCTTCAAAGGACGCCGTGTCCTCTTTATACACACTGGTAAGGAACTGTGTTGTCAGTGAGCATTAAAAAAATACATTGTCAGTTCCGTACCATTTTATCCCATGATCGGACCATCTAGTATCTGGCTTTGTGTTGTGGACAATAACACATGGCTCGTGGCCACTAGTACTTGTTTCCTTGCTCTGTGAAGTAGGGAGTGAAAAGACCACAGACACCTGTTCGCCGGGAGTTTCCGCAAAAGTTGGTACTTTAGGGTTTCTTAGCACAAGAAAGGGAACCTGTGTCAACTGTTGATAGGAAAGGTGTAGCCAAGCATTGCACTGTAATTGTTCTGCAGACAGCACTACATACATGTATTAACGTCCCACCAGGCCCGGATCTCACCTGCTCAGGCCGCGGAGGATTGGTGGCTAGTTCCACCAAGATATCGAACAACGAACCAATAGAGCCATGATTGGACTCTGTTTGTGATTTGCGGGACTAGAATGTGTGGTCGCATGGAAAAAAGATGGTCAAACAACTTCCACACAGCATGCCACATCATACATGTTCGTAATATGAAAATATTCTGTCCTTTTGAGTCTCTTTCTCCTCTCCCGGGGAGACCCACGTGACCAATTGTGGCAGTGAGCAAGTACAGTACAGTACAGTGTGTGTGTATGTGTGTGTGCGTGCGTGCGTGTGTGTGTGTGTGTGTGTGTGTGAAAATTACTCTCCATACAGTATGGCGCTATATCTGGGACATCGCAGTGTACTAGTACTTACAGTCACATGCACTGCTTTGCTTCTTACTGACTTTCACTCATTTCCAATAGTGCCTATAGCAATATACTGGTCAGTTATTAAAATAACTGTTAGTTACATGCCAGTGCCCGAGTGCTGAATGTTGGCACTTCCCTCTAATGTTTCCTATCAGGTGGTGTGTTTGGCACATACACGATGAGCATTGAGCCACGGCTGCAAGAAACAAGTAGTGGCCAGGTTGTTGACTGGAATGATTCGCTGGAGCCGCTGCCGACTTTGCCAAAGTAGGTTTTGTCTGCTGCTGTTACTACATGTACATGGATCTGATGTGACGGTGTCCGCCAGTTTTTCCCGATATTATCCCCGCCGCTCCAGAGGCATCTCCCCAGTGTGGATGACATGCTAGGCTATTATGCGAATAGGCAGTGGTCACATGCTTTACCCCTTGCTCTTTGAGTCAAGCCACTTGCACAAGTAAAAGTACAGTCTATTTTTATGTTATAGAAATGAGCTTTGTCAGTGTGAGTAATCTCCCTGGCACTCCATGTCCTCTTGCATTACCGTGGGGGTAGACGTTGACATTCTGTTCTGTGCTATTATAAGGCGTTTTCTTTTCATCTTGGGTTTGATGCTTTATTTGTGTGTTTTTTTGTTAGGAACCTCACTTCAATTTAATAGTACAGAATCATGGCTTGAACTGGTTTCGAAAAGCTATTTCATATTTCCGTAACATTTCCGTAACAAAGGACGAAACAGTTCTGTGCGCAGATCGAGGCATATTTCCGTAACATATTCTTTCCATAGGCTTAGGTGACATGATTTCCCTGTGTTGTCCATGCAAGGTTGAATTTTCACCTTTTTCTAGTTAGTTTGGTTGTCGCAATTTTAGGCAAGATTTTCCACAATTGTAGGCTTTGGTGATTTTCTCGAAGGCATTAGGCTGACTTCATATCACAACTCTTCTCATACATTTATTTGCTAGAAATGAAGGGTGAACTTATATTTTAGGCAGGCTGTAGCCTGTGTAGGATTCTGAAAGACTTTGGTGGTTTAAAAAATTGCAGAACTTTGATGAATACCATGTCATGTAGCTGTTGCGGACCGAAATTCCAGGACCAAAAATGAAGCGAGGTACAAGAAGAATAAACACGTCCGTGTCGTGTTCATGGGAATATAGCAGTGTTTTTATGTGTCCCATGAGCATAAGACATAAGGTGTACTCTACACACATTAGGGGATTCAGGTGCATGGGCTGTGAAGAGTGCGTATAATAATGCAACTAATTTTTTACTTTCACTGCTAGAGTTCTGGTAGTTTGTAGTCAAATTAATCCAGATTTGGGAACACAGTTCAGTAAATATCTGTACGAGACTCCCATGCAAGATCACATGTCCATGGTTTCAAAAGGCACAGCAGTCAGCAGTAGTACACTGTGTACTTGTAGATTTCAGGTCTAACGAGTGGGAATTAGAGAGGTTAAGATGCACGTTATTTCCGACGTGATGCACAATTTCGCGTCAAATTTGGCGTAAAACTCCAAATTTCAACGTGAGCTGCAGGTCACTCGCGTTGTTTTTCGACACGTGAGCCAAAAATATCGCGAGCTGAACTTTCCCAAGGCCATGGTCATGGAGACAGGGTGCCATCTCACACTTTCACTGCACAAGCACATCATTGGATGATTTGGATCATGGGTGTGTCTCCCATAATAATCTTGATAATGCTTTCAAAACCGACAAATAAGACAAATAAGAATAACGAGAAATAGGTGCTCTAGCAAAATGGCATCTACAAGACTTTGTGCTTTTTAATTATGCAGCAGAGCAAGAGAAACACTACTGCGCTATAGTGTGAGCTGGCCAAGAAAGGAAATATGAACATGAATCTTGTTCATGCTTTTTAGAAATACAAACTAGAAATATGTTCTACAGTTCTGTAGCCAATACGCACACAGGTATCCTAAACAAAAAAAGCACACGTGCATACGGTATTCATTGCATGTCGCAGCACATATATTCCATCAACAAAGAGTCAACACAACAGAACCATGGTAGTTTGGTACACGGGGAAAATCAAAAATGGTGTGTTCTATGATAACTCAGCATAAAATCGGCATGAATATTATGATGGTATAAGTTAATGGAAAAAGCAAAAGCAAAAAAAAACAGCAGCAGAGTATACGGCGGTCAACAACAGAATGTCACACAAATATTGTTTTTACTAGTGCTTTGTACGCAGAAGCTTATCTTGTCGCTGTCGCCTGAAATAATGCAATTCTGCTAGCTTCATTAGTAGAAGCCTCTTGTGTTTCCTGTGGTGCTAGGAGACCTCCATTTCCCTCCTGTTGGCAAGTACAACTACATGTACTTCAAGTACGTGTATTGCAGGGTGTGTGTGTATCGTTACTGGAACCGAAGCTTGGGAAGGTAGTGCTGTAGGAAATACAAACCGATATCACAAAAGATTTTTTAGAAAACACTGCAAATCGAGGAGCAAGAAGACCATGGGCATTTCAGTTTCGAGTGACCTGTCATGTTCTCTCCACCACTCCCCACCCATCAGTCACAATGCCACATGCACACACACACACACACACACACACACACGCACACATACAATACAATACAATAATGCCCATCCGCAGATGATGGCAGGTCCTGAAAGGACCAACAGTGTTTCAGTCACGGGGAACAGAACTTCGAGTGGCAAGTGAGGTCCTGGTGACGCCAAAAACCTCGGCCGCAGTGGCACCTGAAATCCCGAGACACAGGTTTAGGTGGCTGGATCAGAGACCCACACACGCACACGCGCGTGCACACCTATAGTTTCACAAAACCAGTGCTTTTGCAACAGACATGGGAGAAGTTAGGAATGCCTGTTCATTTTTTTCTGCTTTGTGTCTTCCGATTTATTTTACGGGAAGACACACGACAAAAAAGGATTCAACTGAGGATGTGTAGAGCAAAGGTGCGATTGTCCAACATGTAGACTACTGGTAGCTCATGTAAGTTAGCTTACCTCGCCAGCACCACCATTGGTGTCAAGAGATGCGTCTCGTTCCCCGTGTTCTTCATCATCCATGGTATTCCGCAGCAGGTTGTCATCACTGTCCTCCGGTTCAAATGCATACAGTGGTAGTAGCTGCATTCGCAGTAAACGACGCCTACAGCAAGAGCAAGGAGAGATGCACCCCTTATCAGAAGACACTCACCAGTGCACTGCAGAAACTGACATGTCTCAAGTCAACACAACAACCAGCTAAATTATCCATGTTCACCCAACGAGGTGACCAAACTCTTCCAATACCATAACAGATATTGCCGGGGTGGCTACAAACATCTTCCAATAGCAGGAGAAGTATGATAAGCCTCTTCTAGCACACGCGGTACAGTTCCGCAGTACAAGTATGCTTACCTTCTGGCTCGTACCACAAAGATCACCTGCAGAACAAATGATACAGAAGCACAGAGAAGATCAAACACAATACCCTCCTGTACACAGTGGAGTTTAATTTCTTCACTTGCATTACAGCTACTGAAGTAAGAAGTACTGCGCATTTTAAAGGGGAAGTTAAGGCAAAAATTAAAATTTCACCAGTTGTAGTCTTCGGGGTGCTGAGTCGAATGGTCTTGGTCCGAGAAAGCTGAGACGCTCCCTTCCTACTTGAATCCCAATCGAACTCGCGCACTTCCACCGAAACTGGGTGACTGCGCCCTACTAGATGGGGATTTGTATGCAAAATGTCACTAAAAGCGCCATTTCGTTCTTATAAAAGCACGGATGACCGCGATTGGCCCATATGTTGTAGTCTTTTGGACGCTGAGTCGACTGGTTTTGGTCCGAAAAGGCTGCGATGCAGCGTTCCTCCTTTATTCCCAATCGAACATGGTTGAACAAGCGGTCACGTGCTCCTGCGTACACCAGTCAGCTGGTCACCGTGCCTGCAGGGTACAACTTACTAGCCTGTTTGACCTTTTTTGGGTGCAGTCCTGTCACTCGAGTTGAACCTTGGTGTGAAAGTTGTCGCCTGCTGGCGTGGTGACCAGGTGATTTGGGCACCCAGGAGCACGTGACCACTTGTTCAACCATGTTCGATTGGGAATAAAGGAGGAACGCTGCATCGCAGCCTTTTCGGACCAAAACCAGTCGACTCAGCGGCCAAAAGACTACAACATATGGGCCAATCGCGGTCATCCGTGCTTTTATAAGAACGAAATGGCGCTTTTAGTGACATTTTACATACAAATCCCCATCTAGTAGGGCGCAGTCACCCAGTTTCGGTGGAAGTGCGCGAGTTCGATTGGGATTCAAGTAGGAAGGGAGTGTCTCAGCTTTCTCGGACCAAGACCATTCGACTCAGCACCCCGAAGACTACAACTGGTGAAATTTTAATTTTTGCCTTAACTTCCCCTTTAAGTACCATCTCCAGTTCTTCACGAGGCACTGTAGTACGCTTGAAACTTTAAATCATCAAACACAGACTTCCCCGCTACGTGCACATATTAGCAAACTTCTATCCTTGTCTAGATACGGCTTTTGCTTTATTGCTCAGGTCTGTTGGTGCCAGTTAGAATGGCCTGTACTCTCAAGTACTAAGTCAGCCGATGGGAGCACAGAGGAGCAAATGTACAAACTACAAAGACACTAAACCTCTTCTAGTTCTAGTGTGGTATGTTTAATATCACCTCTTCTTCACACACCAGTCCCAGCAAATAAGTTACAGTGATTAGCTTAGTGTAATATTGAAAGTGCATATTTTTTTCCGTTGCCATTGGTGCAGTCCTCTCACATGATGTAGTCGTTGCATGTACATGCATGTAAGTTACTACAATCATAGGTCCATCTCACTGTTCACTTCTTATCAATCCTGCTGGTCAACCCTGCTGGACCCCAGGCCAAAATAATGGTTTTCATTTCATTTGTTTGGTGTCTTCACTGCATTCAAGAAAATAAATAAATAAAGACCAATATTTCGGCCTGGGACCATTCGGGTTGATAAGAATAGGCAGCAGTGGAGTCATCACACCCTCACAACACATGCATTGTCTCCTGATGATTGCTTCACTAAGTAGCATGATACTCGAGTAGAGACTGGACTGAACGTTATAACTCACTGGACTTCTGTTGCAAAACTGGACAGAACACCAACGTGGTAGTGACGCACAGTTGCTGCAAGAGTGGAACGACATAACCAATGTGAATAACTTGGTCTCACACTTACCACGCATGCTACAACAAAGATACCGGCAATGCTGAGTCCTACAGGTAGTCCAACTTCCACAGCTTCCGGCTCATGGTGTGGTGGTGAGGTTGTGTTAGCTAGAAGTACTGTTGTTCCCGTATGAGATCCATTTCCGGAACTCGTTGCTGACGTAGGTTGGACTGCTGAACTGCTAGAATGTACCGAGGCCATCGAAGTGGCAGCTTGCGTTACTGACCGTGACACTGGTGGTGTAGTTTGTGTGACTGGGATTGCTGTAGTAGTGACAACAGGAGGTGATTGAGTGGGGGATGTTGCTGGTACTGCCGCTGTTGTCTGTCTAGTCTGTGTTGGTTCACCTGTAGTAGTAATAGGTGAAGTCGGTACTGGGCTAGATGATATGTCTACAGGACGTGGTGTTGACGTCGCGCTCGTCCCGACCGAGCTACTCGTACTCACAGTGTTGCTAGTTGTTGCAGGCAGACTTGTATGACTAACCGCTGTTGATGATGCTGATAATGATGATGACGATGATGTGTGTATGGTTGTACTGGATACAGTTGACGTGTCAGAAATAGCTGAGGTCTCTGTAGCTATCCCAGCACTTGTAGCCACAGCAGAGGCAGTGGTATTGGCCACACTGGAGGTAGCTGCTGCACTAGACTGGGTGCTACTCGCCAATACTGTGGATGTCATAGCCATGGCACTACTAGCAACAGAGGACACAGATCCAGGGGTTGATGTAGGTCCAGGGGTTGATGTAGATCCCCCAGTCGTCGGTGATAGTCCCGACCCCGAAACGGGACTGGAAACAACAGCAGGGGCAGTTGAGACTGATGAGCCATTTCCGGTTATCACTGGGTTGGAGCCAGGGTCTGTTGGCAAGGCACTAGGAGAGGATGTGAATGGTAAGGCAGTGCCAGTGCCTTCTCCGCCTGTAACACCACACACAATTACATGGACGTTCAACACTGATCAGTATCAGAGGTCATAAGAATAGTTCTATAATCCTCTTTATTAGCACACGAAGAGAAGAAGCCAGTTGAAAATCTGATGAGGCCTTTCGTACCAATACTTCTCAATGTATGTCCGAGGTACACTTATAGAGCATAGCAGTGTCCGCTTGTACCTTTTCTCCGTGTGTTAGCACTTAGCATGCCTGTTACTTCTAAGCGCGTGACCACGCTTCTTCATTTTATTCTCCTTATAAAACAGTGCTTTCAAATTAATTCTAGCCATTCATTATTTTCAACATTCACTGATGAGACCTTATTGGTTGAAAGAGGGCTGTATGGAGGCAATACTATGTATATAATACATCCCAACAGGCAACAGTACGCTTGTACGTGAAATATAAACCGATATACAAACTGAGGCACAGCCGAGGTTTGTATGGTGGTTTATATTTCACGTACAAGCGTACTAGTGGGATGTACTATACTTACGCTGACCTTCATACTAACTGACAGTCAACTCCTTATGCTTTCAGCCCTAACTCCGGGGCAACAGTATATATGGGGTATATATGCCCAATATAAACCACCTGCATGATGGGGAAGTTGACTGGAAGTTTGTATGAAAGCCTTGAAAGGTCAGCATGATTGCCAATATCTACGGACACATGTTGCTAGTGTGAATGAGGTTGGCCAGAGAGTGCATGTGGTGGAGGTGGAACTAATTTAGGGCTGAAACAATTATACCGATAACTCGCATATCGATCGTTAAGAGTGCAATCGATAATCGTTAGTGTTCAAAACGAGTGCTAACGATTTTTATGCATGCCTATATCAGTGACAGCATTCTAGCCCTTGCACTCCATCCGATAGTGAATACGAGTACAGTCCGTATCGCCTATAAGGTTGGCGGCTATAGTAATATACCGGATATAGTGATCAATTTCTCAAATTCATTTTCATTTGCCATAACTAAGTATACACAGTTATCGTGTATAGTAAGAATCGTCTATAGTAATTATTATATCGCCTAACATAGTGATCAAATTCCTATTTCAAAAGACCTTAATTACATTATTTTTGCATCGGTTATAGCAAGAGTAGATAAACAAGAGTGTGCAACTCCGGATCTCTCCTGCATAATCTGCAGATACCCCCGCCCATGGCGGAATTTTTTGTTGACGTCACCTCTTTCAGAAGAACGCGCATTTCGCCGCAGAGCAGTGTGAGCGCACGTGCCGGGCACCGACCTTGTAGTGTAAAGCCGGCCAAGAGCACGAGGGAAAACTTTCCGAAACGACTCGCAGCGCGTGCGTCGTCGAAAAGATTACGTCAACAAAAAATTCCGCCGTGGGCCAACCCATCGCGGAGTTGCACACTCTTGTTTATCTACTCTTGGTTATAGTGATTGATGTAAAATCAAGCGATGTTAGAGGAGAACAGGGTGTTACTTCTTCGTGAAGAACTTGTCCAGTGAGTGTTGTTTGGTGAGTTTTGCTCGTACAAGTTGCCAAAATATGCCTCCATCGTGAGGAAATGCTGATTTTCTGTGTCAGGAGCTACAGCCAGCTACATGACATTGTACATGTATGTAGTGCGTATGTGCACGGCGCGCTGAGTCGTTTGACACCCCACTCGCATACATTGCATGCAGTATCGGTCATAGCAATATATCGCTTATACACTCATACCTCGGTTATCCGGACCCCGAAGTTACGGGCACTTCGGTCTACCGGGCACTATTTGGGCGAGTTTCAGGGGAAATATTACTACTCTTTTGTCACTTTTCGTAGAAATATTGACGTCATATGCCATATCGATGGCCTTTTCCCCATCAAGATGTATATGATTCGGAGTTACGGACATTTCAAAGTTACGGGCAGTGCAAGGTCCCGGACTGCCCGGATAAACGAGGTATGAGTGTAGTGATAAAATGCTCAAAATCAAACACCAACGCTATAGGCGATACTGACTGTACAATCATGGTATACAGTCGTCCCTCTCTAATCCGGCACTTGTTTATCCGGAACCCTTGCCAACCGGCGCACTTTCTGACGAAACCGATTTTTTTCGTTCAATTCCTACATCTTAATCCGGTACTTGAATTCCGCCTCCAGCAGTGACTTTTTGAAACGAATCGCTCAAACTGCACGTAGTTTGATTTCATAATCCGGCAGTCGTAAATCGCGTACCGTACAGGTGCACTCCTTGCCAGGCCAGGTTAGGCTTGTCCAGGAGACAACGGCAGTCAACCATACTTTCTTATTTTAGCAAGGAGTAGTGTCCTGCCAATTTTCAGGTGTGTGTGTGTGTGTGTGTGCGTGTGTGTGCAAGAGTACATGTGAACATGTTCTCTGTTTTACTTTATCACTTTATCACTGTGTATATTCCCGGAGAACAATTGAGAATATAAAGCCGTGCACCAAATACTTGGGTCGACACGGAAAAACCCTGCGTTTTGACGTACATATGATACATGCATACAATTGGGTAGGGCCGGGTCAGAGGGCAGGATTTCTTAATCCAGCACCCTCGTTAATCCAGCAGAAAACGCCGTAGCAAAAGGTGCCGGATTAGAGAGGGACGACTGTATATAGAAGCCTTGCTTGATACTCTGCCAACCGGGTTATGGTTATAGTCAGGAGCATTATGCTTCCTCGCCTTGTAACATGCTGTCGAAATCGAAAACATGAGTACAATCATGTACTTTCAAGCACAATAAAATTCATTTGTGGCTTTGAAAGAGATCGGGAGAAAGATAAGAGCAGTTGCCAAAAGGTGATGACAAGATTCAGATGTCAACAGTGCGGTGCCAAAAGTCTCTAACGTAGCGAAGGCATTATGGAATTTCTTCCTAAACTGGTGTTCAAGGTACACGGGTAGAGCCAACAAGAATCGATAAAACCTATAAATCGATCGTTAACGATATCGGTCGATCTTTAGGAGTTATCAAATGATCATTTCAGCCCTAAACTAATTCATATTGATCAACAGGCTGAAAGCTGCTGCTTACCCTCTTGCTATAGTAGGGACCTTTCGCACCACGCATACGGATATGAAACGAATGCTGATTCGTCAGAGTACCTGCGGAGAGCTCGTTTTCACGAATGGAAGCCTCTTCATTCGTGGCGTGCTCTGAATCCGTCGGGTACACATTTATTTGTCCAGGTACGAGCTCGTACACATGTTTTGCCAGGTACACCTTTTTCCCTTGATTCCATGATCCAGGCACGTGTGCGTGTGAACATCCGTACGGCCTGGTACGGCCGTATTCGTAGTTGCCATGCACATTTGCGTGACGACTTGCGAAACCTGAATCTATTTTCAACGAAACGATTACGAGCCGAATCAAACTTTCGTTTCGCATTCGATTCGTAGCAAATGCGAAAGGCCCCTAGTATTGGAGTAGGTTTTACTTTAATAGAACAGTTATTCATGCTTAAGGTCAAATGCCAATTCGAACCTTGCAACTCGCAAATTCCTATTTAGATATTCTTCGAGCACTGGTACGAAGTAGATCCAACACATTCTTGCGGGTTCAACCTGGATCACCTTCACCGTACCGTATTGTTGTGCTTGCACTTTCGGATATCCATTTTCACTCCTTCTTTTTCCTATTTTTCTATCCCGTTTGATGGGAGCTTTTTGCCAAGGAGTTTCGGTATGGGTTTTTTCCTCGATTGTTTACTGTAAATTACACTAGCTTTTGCTAGCTGCCTGGAACTGTAAACAGTTTTTCTAAAATCTTACAAACACGTAGGTTTTGTGTGGTACCTGTGTCTCTCAAACCCACAATTGGTGACCCCGAGTTCCACCCACACTGGTGGTAGAAATAGTTCTTCCCAGCACAGCAGTACCTCTGCCACATCTAGTTTACTTCAACCCACAATTGCACACCGAGGACTTTTGTATGGATGCCCAAGCGGATAACCCCAGGACTCTAGCATCTGGCACAGGACGTGGTCGTACAATATCTTCGACAGCCCAGTCTTTGAATGCAGCGCCCCAACGCCAGGCCCTGGTGGCCCAGTTACAGCAGGAACAGGCTGCATTATCGCAGCGCATGGAATCACTGGCTGCCTCGCTCCCGGGTACAGCAGAGACCCACCCTCGGTCCGGAGCGGCTTCTATTTCTGCTGTTTCCGTTAAGCTTCCACCTTACTGGCCTGCGGATCCGCAAATGTGGTTCGCCCAAGCGGAGGCCATGTTTAACACTCGACATATCACGGCTCAGCGTACAAGGTTTGACCAAGTAGTGAGCTATCTGTCTCACAATTTCGTGATGGAGGCTAGATACCTGGTCCTTGACCCTCCTTCATCTTAAAAACCAGAACGCAAGAGTCGGAACAGAGCCGCCTGCGGAAATTGCTGAGTGAAGAAGAACTGGGGGATAAAAATCCATCCCAGTTCCTGCGTCGTATGGAACTATTACTCGGCGATGCCACGGTGGAAGATGGATTTCTGTGGCAGCTGTTCTAGCAGCGCTTACCCTCCTCTGTGAACATGGTGTTGGCCTCAATGTCAAACAAATTGAGCCTTACAAATCTGGCTGCAACGGCTGATCGTGTGGGGAAATGGCCATGACGTTAACCCAATCTGTGCATGCTGTTCATCAGGCATCTGCACCAACTGACTCGGCCATCATCGCCTTACAAGAACAGGTTGCGGCTCTGGCCAGAAAGGTCGAACAACTGGCCGAGACCATGCAAGACCGACCACAATATGACAACCATACCCGGGGCCGCAGATCTTGGGATGCCTCACCTGCCCGAATTGACACAGCAAGCGGCCTATGCTGGTTCCACAAGAAGTTTGGAGACAAGGCCTACAAATGCATGGCTGGCTGTTGCCAATGGGGTGCGGGGAACGCCCCGACTAGTCATTAGTGGCAAAAGTGTCTGGCCTTTCAACCAGCCGCCGGCTGCATGTCAGGGATCGGCTGAATGGTACACGGTTCCTTGTCGACACTGGCGCTGAAGTCAGCATACTTCCCCGTCCTCTGCTGATCGACGCTCCAAGGGCGAGTACACACCCCTTTCATGCAGCCAATGGAACCCAGATTCGCACGTTTGGCCAGCGTTCACTTATGCTGGATCTGGGGCTTCGGCGGCGGTTTAAATGGATATTTGTCATAGCTGATGTGAATCAAGCAAACCACGGAGCTGACTTTCTATCCTATTTTCACTTGCTCCTTGATATGCATACTCCTGCTCTGCAAGATCGGAAGGCAGGCCTTCATGTGACTGCCATTTCTACTGCTGAAACCGGTCCTCAAGCTGAGTCGATGGTGTCTCTGTCAGCCCCTGCGGCCATCACGACCCTGTTAGAGGAGGTTCCTGACGTTGTACAACATCCACAATATGACCAGCCAATAAAACATCCTGTTGCTGCAAAAGCCCGGCAACTAGCACCTGATCGACTATCTCGGCATCGTTCACCCATCTAAATCGCAATGGTCAAGTCCTTTACATATGGTGCCGAAAGCGAACAGTGACTGACGACACTGCGGAGGTTATCGTACGCTGAACAAAGCCACATTCCCTGATAGACACCCAATCCCACACATTCAGGATTTTACCTCAACTCTGAACAGGGCTAAGTACTTCACCAAATTGGATCTAGTCAGAGCCTATCACCAGAATCCAGTTGCAGAGGCCGACATTCCGAAAACAGCAATCATCACCCCGTTTGGCCTGTTTGAGTTTGCCCGTATGCCTTTCAGGTTGCGCAACGCTGCACAGTACTTTCAGCGCTTCATCGACCAGGTGCTTGAGAATCTTGCCTACTGTTACGTCTATAATGATGATGTCATGATTGCAAGTCCTGACCTCGATACTCACCGGGAGCATGTCCGCGAGGTTCTTCAACGTCTGCATGAGAATGGGCTAAATATCAACCCCAGCAAATGCGCGTTCGCTGCTGAGACCCTGGAATTTTTCAGCCACACCGTCTCTGCTCATAGCATCACACCTAATCCGAGTAGTGTCACTGGTATCCAGGAATTTTGAATGCCTTCTTTCGTCAAGAAGTTACGTAAATTCCTCAGCAAGGTCAACTTCTACCGACATTTCATTCCTTGAGCAGTCGACCTCCTCCAACCTCTAACGTCGATGTTAGCCTGAGGCAAACACAGTAAGTTTGATTCTGCTTTCCATTGGACTGATGATGCACAATCTGCTTTTCACGCAGTCAAAGAAGCACTAGCTTCTGCCGTTCTGCTTGTTCATCCTATTCCCAATGCCCATTGCGCCTTCTGTGTGATGCATGCTTTCTGGACACGTCGAAAGCTTTCGACAAAGTGCGTCACCATGTCCTCATACAGGATCTGTTTGAGTTTGGCGTAACAGGCAGGGCATTGTCATGGATTGCCAGCTATCTCAGCATCGCCGGGTTTCTTATTTCAACTCTCTCAAACTAATGAATAAATTATAAGGGGTCGTCCGCAATTATCGAAAGTTTTTTCCAATCCGTAGTAGCTTCGAAAGTGGGTGGGTGGGTCAAGGCCAGTTACGGATTGAAAAACTTCCGAAATGACACGTGCGCGTGCCACGTGTACGTCCACGTGTACGTCTACGTGTACTGTCGTGTAGCCCCTGTTTTCCACGCGCGGCTGCGCGCGAACTGTCTACTACAAATATTTTGTAGTTCTGGCAGTTTCTGCGCCCCCGCGCGCGCTTCCTTGGCTGCTCCTGGGCCGGGGATCATAAAGTTCGGCGCATTCGACGGCGAGTCGACACTTTCTATTTTTGAGTTTCACTGTCTCCTTCGTCCAGAGTACCGTCTTCCATGCACTCCTTTGAAGTCCTTCCGTCTAGCGCTGGCGCTGACGACTGTTATTGTTCGGTTGTGTGTCCATCAATAATATTTTATTACGGACTGGGGGGGGGGGGGGGGGGGGGGGGGTGAGGAAAAATTTGAAGCTACTACGGATTGGAAAAAACTTTCGATAATTGCGGACGACCCCTAAGTGTGCGCTCAGCTTTCCTAAACTAAAGACTAAAGTGCAGCTAGTGCATCACATAATTTAGGCCATGGTAAAATGTTTGATCCAACGAAACTCAGCCACAGCCCCTAATTCCCCCTATGCATGGCCTACATGTACTCTCGATCTACTACAAGTGTGTGTGGGCTCGCAATACCAGGGACGGCCTGTGTCTTGGGATAAAGCTAGAGTCGTTCATCATAATGAAACGCTCTCCGCTATGCTACATGGTGATTTGATTGAAAGCTACTCGTACCTAGCTGCACGCAGCATTTATCTGGTGATACATCGCCGGTTTGACCGGTCAGAGCAAAATACTGCGTTGACCATAGCGGAGCTAGCAGCTGGTCAATAATAATAATACCGGTATGTATCGAAAGTAACTTAGTTGAAAATAACATTCTGGAGAAACCGTGTTCAAATTTCAGGTTCACTTACCCGGCTCCTGCCCCGAAACTTCGCCGCATGCAGCTAAAGATATCACTAACACTACGTACACAATCCAGAATTTCATGTCTTTCTTCTTCACGTTCTGCAATCCCATAGGAGGACCATCCCGAACTAACTTCAAGCCCAGATATCCTAAGAAATATTATGCCTTACGGCAATCAGGGCTCCGCTTATTATTCGAGAGGCGTCCGGTGGACGTGAGCAACAAGAAGATGAACTGACGTGCCCGAGTAAGTACATGACATCAACGATCATTGTTCTGGCCACGCACACGCAGAGACAGCTTGTGACATGTGGCTCATGTGTCACCTTCGCAAAAAAATAATGGTTCAGTTCCAAAGGCTTCATGCAATCTCAGAATCTGTCTTTTCACTTTTCAGCCACGGATCGGAGTGCACTCAACTACTTACTTACTTCTCAAGGCAAGGCTGGGTCTGTTCTCGATCTCAGGACTAAACTCATTCTAACGGAGCTCAATGACAAGCAGGGGGACTAGCTCACATGGTAGAGCGCTCGCTTAGCATGCGAGAGGTACCGGGATCGATACCCGGGTTCTCCAGGCAAACTTTTTTCTACCTTTTTTTCTCTCTTCTGTCTAGCGCATAATGCGGCATATTCGTGGATCCATGATCGTGATTCGTGAATCTGTCTTGATGCCATGCATGACCTATGACATAACTAATGTCTTATGACGTAGTCGACATCAGGAGAGCTAGAGTTCACATTGTGATATCGTATAAATGGAATGGGATTATGGGAATGGTACACTCATTTTGAACTTTCAAAAATGAAGCTTAGCTTTTTCAGGTTTTGTTTTGGCTTTCGAAAACTGGCTAATCGACGACATGAAGCTTCGCTTGCGTCTACCCTCACCAGCAAGCGGCACAAGAATAATTCTGTTGGACAGCTCTTCAGAGACTCTGAAGGGCCTGAAGGAGCGTGTGAATGAAGAGCTTGGTAGCATTTCCAATGTACCACTGTCACCTTCACAGTAAGTCCACACAAGGGACTTTCACAGCTAGCTATGCTCTGTTTATCATTTTCACTCAATTTTCCATGCATAAAAATTCAGCAGCATGCAACCAGAGGCCGCTTGGAAAGTATTGCGAGGATGTATAGCATGCAACGAAAGACATTAAATAATACACTGTATTTTGTTTCCTCTCCTAATTACCCTGAACCAATGGAGGGATGAATTTAATGTCAACTTTTTGCATAGCAGTTTTTGCTATGCAAACTCAATTGTATTATTGGTTGACAGCATACCTAAAACAAGGTTTATCTAATACCAAACTCAATTGTGTAGCAATTTTTGATTTTTGACCACTCAACTTGCCGCATGCATGTGGTTATTTACTCTTGGTACCGGGTATAAGCAGTTTCACATTACATATTGGCGTCGGTTTTGCACTAGTGCGACCAACCTCAGAAGGGGGGGGGGGGGGGGGGGGTGCGGAGGATGCACCATTTGAGCCTTTTATTGCATGAGTGCATGATTACAAACTTTGGCATCCTTACATAATTTCAGTCAAGTTGAATTCTTTGCTTGCTGGGATTTGGCCCACCTGTCACATCACAGGTTGCCAGCTCAAGTGAGGTTTCTGTGGATATTTCTTAATTTGCACCTCACCAACACTACAGTCTGTCCACAAAAAGAATGCAGTGTGACTTTTTTTCATATATTTCACAAGTGGGAAATGTGAACAACACAGCCAAAATTGAGGTGGATGCACAATACATGTAGAGTGCTCTTCGTTTTAAAAAAAAAGTATCAAAAAATATGACTTGGCCCAGTGCAAACAAAGTGAATGACTTTCAGTTCTCATGAGATACACTGCATTCTTTTTGTGGACAGACTGTAGTTGCTAGCCGTATCCCTAGCCCCCTCACATTTCTGAACACTACACAGCAATGATTGAAGCTCTACCACTGGGTCAACACTTTGAGCAGAAAAATCAAGAAGTGACCCAAGCAGCGTAAAAGGAAGAAAAACAATCTTACACCAAACCGAAAAATGCCACTGTACCAGAAAACGGCTCAACAGCTACTTCCGGATTCCCACGAGTCGGCTTCATCGAGGGTTCATATGCATACGCCTACACACAGGAAGCTACTGTAATTTCACAAAATTTCGGTGTACTTTTATTTTCGGTACTTTCGGTGCATCTATTTCATACCTAAAATTTCAATACACCGAACAAACCCTAACACACATAATCCAATAGGGAACTGCTTCTCTGTACCGAAAATTTCTGTTCACCTAACCTGGCCTTTTGCTCTCATACCGAAATTATTAAGCACCGAAAATTTCTGAAATTAGAGTAAACCAGTAAGCTACAAGCAGAAAGTGCGGGCACATACGATTCGTGCCACGTTCATTGCATTCAACCACGTAGACTGCCATGTCCCGCAGCGGTTAGGCGGGTGCATGCGTGCGTGCACGTGTGGTGATGGCACAGCTCATAACTACTTAGTATAGCTTCAATTGAATTATATCTTCTCTTAGCTTGTGCGTATCTCCTCGTCGTCATTTTATTTCAAAAGACCTTGTTTGCGTTGCTCCAAGTTTGTCTCTTTATGCCTGCCCACACTCATACTTGCAGCAACTGTGGGTTGTTCGTGTTTGACTATCATCAGTTATATTGAGCTCTAAGCCATAACCTTGTAACATACCGTATTTCCACAAATAGTAGGCCGGTCTACTATTTTTTCAACCTCGTCCTAACCCGGCCTTATAATCGAGGACGGTCTTGTATTCGAGGACGGTCTTGTATTCGAGGACGGTCTTTTATTCTTTCAACCCAGTTTGACCCCCGGTCTTCTATTTCTCGCCACACAGTTTTACCCCCGTTCTTCAATTTTCTTCTACACAGTTTGAGCACGGTCTTCTATTTTTTCCCACAGTTTGAGCACGGTCTTCTATTTTTAACACAAGAACAAATACTCATATAGTAGGTCCGATCTTCTAATCGGAGACGGTCTTTTATTTTTTCAATCGCCCCCTGCCCCGGCCTTGTATACGAGGAAGGCGTTGTATACGAGGACGGCCTTTTATTTTCGGAAATACGGTAGCTCAGTGCCACCGACACATTATCATGCAAATTGTTCGTCAGTACAATAAAGACTTTTTTTAAGTCATGCAGTTTGTGTATTGTGTATGCACCTGTGTATCCTACAGTAGACTCATACGCCCAAGAACGCGGTTTCATAGGGCCAGCCTAGCAAAGTTCTTATTTTTCAGCGCCCCAGGCTACGTTCTTATTTCGCGTTCTTACGCGTCCAACATGACCCGTGACGCTCATGTACAATGCACTTTGCGCTACATGTATCGGTTGTACACTTTACATGCACGTGTAGTATGTAGCGCTGCACTGGGTGATGTTTTCGCGAGGACCCGACAAGAGTTTGTGGTTGCGGACTTGTTTTTCGTGTACTCGGACAAGATCATGAAGGTGCAATCTGCTTGCAAAACGTGCAATACCAAAAAATGTCGCGTTCTTAAAAATCTTGGAGTTCGTTCTTAAATCCAGACTGGGGCGTTCTTAGATTTCCAGCCTGGACGTTCTTGGGCGCCACGTTCTTGGGCGTACGAGTCTACTGTAGCTGTGCATGTGTGACTGTGTGTGTTCATGCTTATGTGTGTTTGTGTGTGTGTGTGTGTGCCGAGGCTGGTTGGTAAAATAACTCCAATTTCACTTCAAGGTACCAGTGCATCTAGTGTCTGCTTTTATCAAAGCAGCGTGCTGTCTATACCGGTTACCCCAGCAAGTGTAGGGTGTGCATAGGTAACTGTCTTGGCCGTCCTATTCCGATGTACTCCGTGTGGTGTAGACCAGGTGTGCATGGGGGGGGGGGGGGGGGGTCGATTCAAATGGCTTTGCCGGTTGTGTGGATTAGACAGTTATCTGGCGCTTGTCTTGATCTGTTTCAATCAGAATCAGATCCGCTATCGTTGCTATAAAGAGAAAATCTGTGGGTGCACATCCAGCGCATTTGCAGATTTGCGTGCTTCTCTTGCGACGGGCGTATACATGGTACATGGTGTGTGTGTGTGTGTGTGTTTGTGTGTGTGTGTGTGTGTGTGTGTGTGTGTGTGTGTGTGTGTGTGTGTGTGTGTGTGTGTGTGTGTGTGTGTGTGTGTGTGTGTGTGTGTGTGTGATGTGGGGACTGGGTGCACGTGTATGTGTATTCTCTAGATTCTGTTTATCACTGAACGGCAAGGAGCCATTACCATCGTCACCTGATGATGACACTACTCCACTCTCCAGCCTTGGCATTGTGCATGGTGATTTGATTCGCTTGATTCCGCGCACATCACTACCAGCAGCTGCAGCAGCAGCACATACACAGCAGGAGCGACGAGAAGAGCGACAGCATGTCCAACCGGAAAATACAGTGCACAGTGGTGCTTATGCTACAGCAGCATCAGCGCCAGTCGCGGCTTCATATCTAACGGAGAGGTTGGTGGCATGTCATCACCTGAAATGGACCGTGGCCATGGCCTCTCCCTCCCTCTCCCCCCCCCCCCTCTCTCTCTCTCTCTCTCTCTCTCTCTCTCTCTCTCTCTCTCTCTCTCTCTCTCTCTCTCTCTCTCTCTCTCTCTCTCTCTCTCTCTCTCTCTCTCTCTCTCTCTCTCTCTCTCTCTCTCTCTCTCTCTCTCTCTCTCTCTCTCTCTCTCTCTCTCTCTCTCTCTCTCTCTCTCTCTTCCCCATGGCCAGCCGCCGCATTGTCAGTTTCAGCGACCATTCATACATTCAATGTCAAGTTTCGACTGAATATGCCCAGTCTTTGTCGTCCCACTTTGAAACCTAAAGAAAATGGTAATTTCATCTGTGTCCTTTTCCATTTGTCCATTGCAGCTCTGCGGTGATGCTGGTGCAACTTGTTGACATGGGATTTGATGAGGTACTGTATACATGTACTGCCAAGAGCGGATTAAAGGCTTATAACGAATCAAGAATAAATCTATGCTGTCGTAACCAGGATACAGATTGTTAGTTTTCAGACTCCCAAGTCACATAGCAAGGCATGGAATACCACCACCTCAAGTATATTTGCTGTCAGTTGTAGCACCTTATATTAGGAGTAAGGGGCCGTCCAAGGTTACCAATAGTATTTTGAACTATTTTCAAAACGAAAAGTTTTCGCTTCGCGGTGGGTGGGTTTGAAGGAGTTTCGTTTTAAAAATAATTGTTGAATGCAGATGGAGAATGCCCAGTTACTTCTGGGTGTCGAAAATTGACATCAATATTTTATTGGAATTCATTTTACAGTCAGACCTCGTTTATCCGGTCCTCGTTTATCCGGATCCCTCGCCATCCGGAAGAAAATCGCTGGTTACCGATGTGCAGCATATGTTATGCATACAACATAACCGGACCTCGCGATCCGCATACTGGTGCGTGATTTTGTGTACAAACTATTTAAAATGTGTACGAAATGCTTCGTCGTATCCGGTTGCATGTGGCTGGCTAGCGCCTGCAGAAGCTAGTATCAATGAGTTGTACAAGCAAATGAGGTCCTTGACCTGCTCGCTTGTTTTACATACTGGGCACGCTAGTTGTACTGCATAGGACCCGTCTACATGTATGTATGTATGATGTCACTGCTTTTGACATGCCACATGCATATACAGTATGTGTGTTCAGTTATCCGGTTACCTCGCCTATCCGGATTTAAAAGCGAGGTCTGACTGTACCTGCATAAAAGGTAGGTGGGCGGGTGGGTGCTGAAAAATACTAAAACTTTTCGTTTTGTTAAAACAATTTCTAAAAGGTGATGTTAGAAACTTTTTTTTAAATCATACCCAATGCCACACGTGCCCAACTCTCATTTGCCGCGTACGTATATCTTTTTGTGCCAGGCCACGAGTCCCTGTTTTTCTTGAAACACTTCATGAAACAGAATTGACAATCAAACGTGATGTGCAGGGATCATTGTGTAATGCTTGAGGGCAAATGACAGGAAAACACCTATTTCACCCGCAGTACATCAGCTGTACATGGTGTGCTTGTACACGGTATGCGCGGTTGTAAGATTTGAAATTGCTACATGTACGAAACAAAAGATGACTGAACGCAGGGAACATGCACACATGTGATGAAAAAACACACTCTCCACACACTGCCTCAGGAATGCAACAGGCTCAGAACACATTGTTGTCTGGTTGGCATGTCAGGGATGTTGGAGGGACCAGCTGGTATGCACAAGTCAGCCTGCAGTTAGGCAGGAGCTGTGACTCGAGTGTAAGAGAAAGACAGGTCGGCCTGCTGTGCGCTGGAGCTGTGACCCGGAGCACACATAATGTGAGAGAGAATAAGAGACAGCTCGGCCTGCTCTGCGCATGAGCTGTGACCTGGAGCACACAGAGTGCGAAGAAGAGACTGGCCGGCCTGCCTTGAGCAGGAGCTGTGACCAGTAGTGATTGAAATAAGCTAGCTGCGGAGATAGATTGCGCTCACCCGTTATACGTATATTGACAGAGCTGTACTGACAATGTGATTGAGGAAATTATGGTGAGAGTTACGGAGAGATAGTGATCTGCAGCCGAATGGGGTTGGGAGGAAAGGGGAAAATGACAACTGACAGACAAACTAGTGAACACTCAAGGCATCGGAAAACACAAGTGACAAAGGAGTTTTCTGCAAAACAAGACAAAGACTGATTTAAACAGCACGCGTGGGAGAGTGGTGCGCGGGATGCGCACGTATATATAGCATGGCATCACAATCAGAGAATGCATGATCATCAGACTAGGTATGAGTGGTAAATGTTCCATGTTACCAGGGGCTAGCGCACACGCTAAGCCACCATTACCCCGACCACCGCTGCAGCAGTGACTGGCTGCTGAGCCAAATCTGGGGAATGCGATCTTCATGATAATTGTTTGTTTGTGCTTCCGCCAGCAACGAGCAAGTGTTGCCCTCTCTGCTAGCGGTAACGACTTTGACCAAGCATTGGACATTTTGAGTGAAGGTACTATGTTAGGCATGTCTTTAGGCTGCTTTTGTCAAATCTTAGAATCAACTCGTAAAAACTCCAAGTCAATCTCCCATTGACACAAACCTCGTTTATTGAACATAATCATATCCTATCCAATAAAAACAGTTCATAAAAACAGTTCATAAAAACAGCTTTTTAGGATCGGACCCAGTCCACATAACCAAGAGAGCTAGCTCCCTTGGCTGCTGTTGGAATATGCAAGAATGGGCCTTCCAGATAAGGTCTAACAAGGAGCAGTGGCTATAGTTATGAAATGAACACCGGTAACCATGGAGACAGACCACACTCTCATTATAGATACTGGTTATAAATAGACCGAATAAGGAAAATGATCTGATAGCCTATGAAGACTAAAAGAAATTGAACCAATGACAACAAATACTCGTCCAGCACACGGGTTGTCATAGCAACACAAATAACAGCTGTCCGCTAATTTTGTTGTTGGAGATTGAGTAGGAGTTTTTACTGGTTGATTCTAAATACAATAAATGCTCCGGCCTTGGGTTTATGACCAATAAAAACTAATTATAAAAACCTCGGGGGACCTCGGTTTTTATAATAGTTTTTATTGGTCATAAACCCTCGGCCTCCTCATTTATTGTATACATAAATACGGTTTATTACACTTATGAATGGTGTTCATTTTATAATAATAACTACAGGGGCGTCGGACACGGTACGGTCACTACGGTATTGAACGGTATTGACTGTAGCACTTTTGCCCCAGGTACCCTATGAATCAATAAAATACCGTACTGGCAATATATGTTGCCGTAGTGAGGCCATGAAGCGTTACATTGGCACATGTTTGCCGCACGCAGGGCGTTACATGCAAAGTCGCACAGGAGCCGTTACACAGGTTTCTATATTGCCGCAGTCCTTTTTTTGCTATTGCCGCATCATTTTTTTGCTTTTGCCGCATCATTTTTTCTTTTCATCCACATTGAAGGCACAGAAATTCAGTTGCTATCCAACTGTTACAAACCCGACGGCAAAGGGCGACAACGATATCAATAGAAGACTGTATATTTTAACTATCAGAGTGATCTGTTCACAAAAAGATCATCAAAAGGAAAGTGACATAGGGGAAGAGCGCTTCCTCCAAAAACTACTGTCACTCACACAGTTAATGAGTGTACAACATATTACAAAGTCACCGTGGCTATCATTAGTCATCGAATAGAGACTTCTGCATTGTCACAAGGAAACTGGTAAACACATCGCTCTTCTTCGCAAAACGACCTCGGGAAAGAAGAAACCATTGAGATTGCCAACCACTGAATGATGCTTGGGCGTGATTTTCTTCACGCCGAAGGCGAATAGAGACTTCTGCACTGTCACAAGGAAACTGGTAAACACATTGCTCTTCTTCGCAAAACGACCTCGGGAAAGAAGAAACCATTGAGATCGCCAACCACTGAATGATGCGCCTTCGAGTGTCAGGACTTCCTGCTGCGTCCAGTTTTGAACTTTTCACCACGCGGTACACGTACTTTCACAGTTTTCAGCCTTTTTTTGCAGTGCAAACTGCAATGAAAAGATCGCCGCACCCCGCCGGACGCGCGTTACGAACTCAACGAAAATTTGTCGCACTAGCCTGGTCGCGCGTTACGCCGCACCCCCCTGCGGTACGCGTTACGCGGCAACATATATTGCCTGTACGGTACACTGATCTGGGCTCTAAATTTCCAAACATGTCGGCTCAGCAACCCCTCCCACACGAGTAAATTGTACTTCAGATGGCTGACCGTACCACACTAGAATACCTTCCAACCCCCCTGATTATTATAATAATGACATTATAGAGGCGTACAAAGTATCTATCAACGGAAGTGTCCTTGCTGTGCTGGTGTATTATGCTTCGTGCATTGGTTCGGCTAAGTGTGCATGGTGGTGACGGGTTGAGGATGTAGAAATTGGAGTATGGCCGAAAGCTCTGTCGCAATATTTTATTATGAAATCCTCCACATTGTAGTGAGTCGAACTAGGCGAGGCAACAAACTCATGTCCATGATCAAGAGTACATACGGGTAACCCCAAGAGTATCCAATCTTGCTGCAGCCTATATCAATCACATCTTCAGAAAATTGTAGTCAAGTTGCTGTCTGATGATCGGTAAAACAGTGAAACTCAGAGTTACAGCAGAAACACTTTGATTCCTTCTTTCAAATGTGTGTAACCCCAAGAGTATGCAACTCTGCATATGGGATCTGTGCCTTTGAACTTACCACATTGCGCGTGAAATGGTTGAGGCTAAACCGTAGGAAAACTCAAATCCAGGCAGCTTGATCGTCATTTCACTACATAATGAAGGCAGCACGCCACGCAGGGCACCCGTAGAGATCAGAGTTGCACACTCTTGGGGTTATGTACTCTTGTCGTGAAGCATCATCTCAGTGTCACAAGAAGTCCATTGTCTAGGAGCGTTGTTATTGAACAGATATCACTTGATACTAAATTGATAGTGCACTGGTGATGTACGTCCTTATGTGCACATTGACTTTCCTTTGTGGCAATAGCAGTCTTCCCCATACTACTATAATTATTGTACATGCGTATCTTCAGGACTTCAGGCTGCTTACAAAAAGAAGCAGGTGAGGACTTGAGCGTGCTGTCATGTGTAAAACCGAAAATGTCTGCAAGATACAGTTCTTGCTTCCTCTATGGCCAAAGGGCGACCTAACGGCTGTTCCCAAAGCAGCACTGTAGCTGAAGACCCTGGTGTCCATTGTTTCATGAATGCAGTATTTTCGGGCGCCGAAGAACGACCAGGCTAGAATTTCACCAAGCACAGCATACCAACGTATACACGGTGACTCAACTGTGCATAGACTGTAATACATGAGAATAAGAACGGTCTAGGCTACAAGGCTGACTCCCCAGTTCTTCGGCGACCGACAGTACTGTAGGGGCTTTTGTTGGTAGGCTCTATGTGCCAGCATCTCTCTCTCTCTCTCTCTCTCTCTCTCTCTCTCTCTCTCTCTCTCTATCTATCTATCTCTCTATCTCTCTATCTATCTATCTATCTATCTATCTATCTATCTCTATCTCTCTCGATCTCTCTCTCGATCTCTCGATCTCTCTCTCTATCTATCTATCTCTCTATCTCTATCTCTCTCTCTCTCTCTCTCTCTCTCTCTCTCTCTCTCTCTCTCTCTCTCTCTCTCTCTCTCTCTCTCTCTCTCTCTCTCTCTCTCTCTCTCTCTCTCTCTCTCTCTCTCTCTCTCTCTCTCTCTCTTCCAATCTTTCTCAATCTTTCTAGATGTCAGTCACCTAGCTAAACAAACAGGAGCAGAAGCATCTATGGATATACCCCGCCGCGTCTCTTATGCACCGACTACCGTCAATCAGCCCAAACAGGACACAGCTGCAGCCACTAACTTTGCTTGTTCAGCGAATTACACAACAGAAGCTACGGGTGTGTCTCCATCTGGATTGGAGCGTCTCTCTTCTCTGTACGACTCTGCCGGAGTTACCTCCTCCCATCATGCTATGACAGTTTTGCTTCATTGGATTATTGGAGAGATGGGCTGGAAGTCAGACAACGACTTTAGCTCATTCAAGGTAAGGTTGGACGTCTAGGATGTCGCTTAGGCCGATTTCCCGGATGCTTGGATGCTGAGTTGGATCATTACTCAATTCGGAGTTCTTGGGACATGACTGCTTGTGGGATTTCTGAAGCAAGCGAGCCTGGAATTTGTTCACTTCCGTATTTTCACGTCTAGAAAAGATGATGTGTACATGCAACTCAATCACACTTAACAAACTGTTGCCATCTAGAGGGAAGTTGCAAAGTTCTTCGAGACAATGTGATTTGAGAATTTGAGACAAAACATTCTTATATCAGCTCGGAGTGAAGCCTGTACATGTACATGTACAACTGCCTTATCGTTCAGCCAGTCACTCTCAGCTAAAAATATCCACGTGTTCGCGTACAGGGCGGGTCAAGAGCCACCTTTCCGCTGCAGTGAGACGCCACCACCCCATGATCAAATGCGGTTTCTAAACGGTGGGGGAGGATAGATCAGACCCACCAACCAGAGTCCAAATGCCGAAATCCCATTTGCCACATCCATGTTTTCGAAGGATAGAGATAATTATTTAAAACTACCTAGAGGTCATTATGTGCAGCGATGTGGTGTGTTCTGCTCATTTCCCGATGTTATCTTTCATGTGTTTCTTCATCGCAGAACATCCCAGACAAGCTAGGTTGGTGGCAGATGCCATCATCAGCACACAACAAGTATGAGCTCGGAGATCTAGGTTGCCTGATGACCTATGTTTGGATTCCCAGGACGCCTTATGGCGCAGTTCACTGTAGGTTGCCAATGATTATAGTGATGTTTTGTAGACATTTTTTAAATTAACGATATGGTCACTGCTGTGCGATGTGCACGCGGCTACTTGTGCTGCGGTGATGATTGCTGTGAACATTCCAGTGCCCATTCTTTATCATGGACGACCTCTAATATCATGACTCTCATTTCTCCCAACTTTGTTTGTATGATAGAGCTATAGGCACTCCTTGCCACTATGCAATGGTGTGTGAGTGACTATCACCAACAAATGCCAACTAGCAAAGACAAGACATAGTGTGTCTTTGTGAATGCCATAGCTTGAGTTCAGTGCACTTTCACTGTACCAGCACATGCGCGTGCATGCTGCATTGTTGGCGTGTGCGCTGTCTGGAGTCATGATACTTCACACCACCCACACACCCATACACACACCCATACACACATACACACACACACACACACACACACACACACACACACACACACACACACACACACACACACACACACACACACACACACACACACACACACACACACACACACACACACACACACACACACACACACACACACACACACACACACACACACACACACACTTGTACTTGTTGTTCACTGCCAAAACTGGTCACGTGGGTCTCCCCGGGAGAGGGGAGAGAGACTCAAAAGGAATCTTGGAAAGATGACTCAATTGGCTATTGAACCGCGCAACGGTCGACAGCCCCTGAAATCCCCAAAACTCTGGGTGGACTTGAAAATGATCCCACTTATGGTAGTGACTACACCCAATTTCCAAAACTTGCTCCGATCGCTTCGATTTTGGTCTCATTCGATTCTCCCAGGCGTAGTACATAGGAAATCTGCAAGTATTGTTCAAATCGGCCCAGCCATTCTCGAGTTATAGTGATTTGAAGTGCGCCAAGTTGGACTTTCGCTGGAAACAGAAATGAATGGGCGTGATGGGAGAATCGAGAACGACCGCACGGTCGGTGCAGGCAGTACAGTGTACAGTGCACACGCCTCGTCACTCGAACTGCGCGTACGAAATTGCATACTTTGGTATGCTGGCGCAGAACAAATTCGCTCGTAGAGGAAGACGAAAGCGTCTCACCGCCTTGTAATTTCACATGGCCAGTAGTTTTTCGACGCTGAAGACGATGGAATAGTCCGCGACGCTGCGACCCGACCAGAACAACCCGAAATTCATACCCTGAAAAGGCGCTGAGCGCAGAGCTCCTAAATTTTGTCGTATGGAAACGGGACTTCGGGTCTCAAGGGCACGAACATCTCCTCTCTCAGATAAAGCAATTCACTCGATGCGATATTCTACAATTTGACCTGGCCACGCCGAAATGCACTGCCATGTCGGATTCTCCCATCGGAAGTATAGAAACTTGTTTCCAAAAAATCAGCGTCTGGGTGCGAGGGAGTAAAGTCACTACTTATGGGCTCACCACACCTCAGCAAGTGGGTGAGGACAAGGTGCAGAAAAAGGATTGACGGCATCAGGGTATCCGTCCCGGGATCCAACTGCAGTTACCCCTGCCCCCAGTGAAGGTAATACTTGCTACTAGTGTGGGTGGCTAAATCAGAGTGGATCTGATTCAAGCTTCACTAGCACCATGATTACACAAGAGTTAATCTAGCCAGAAGTAGTCCATGGTTAACAGGTATGTATACTTCAAATAGAAAGTATATGAACCCTGAAACCAACAAAGGTGGTAGGTACAACATGACACCTTCAAGCAGCCGAGCCCGTTGGCAACAGACCCAACACTATCCGGCATAAGCGTACCCACCAACCGAACTAGCTGGCACACACACACACACACGTACATTCTACAGTCTTGGCAGTACTGCAAGAAATGCATTGAGAGTTGGTGTGCACGATGAGTGGGCTACTGTATTTTGTTATTTTGTATCAGTACAGAAGGCACTTCAACTTGTTTCTATTCTGACCGTGGGCATCTTGTGTGACCAGGCGTCGGCATTTATAAGTGATTGTATTCTTGTGTCATGTTCTATGCTTGGCAGTCAACAGCTACCGCTGCCAGCCTAGGAAAGTGGATGTGCTTGACGTATATGAATGCAACTTTGTGGACTACTCGATTCCTTTTTCCGCAGGTATGTTACATTACTGTATGCACTCAGTCTCGGAACAGCTAGCTGCTTCGGCCTTCTTGGCTCTCATCAGCGGAGCTCAGAGTGAGGTGGATCGACCGCAGTGAATGATCCCAGTGAACAACAAAGCATGTTTTAAATCGGCTCTCAAAGCATCAAAGTCAGAGTACCCTAGCTGCGTATCATATTTACACGTGTCCTCTTTAGCATACTTGTGTGTACTCGGACATGTGTGACAGTGATGAGTGTAATTGGCCGATTGTGATTGCATCATTCCGTACGCACCAGGCCTTGTAGGGGCGTTGGTAGTGAAAGGTGTGCTACTGGTATCTGCGGTTTCATGCAGGATAATGAAGTTTGAGATATGCTTTGGAGCTGAGAATCGTCTTTGGGATTGTCTTCAGGATATTGCCCGTCTGCATTCTCGCTTCGGGCACTTTGGCTTCTTTCCTGGGGCACACCTCACCAATGTTGTGTGCCATGTTGCTTGAATGGCAGCTCGAAAGAAAACCACTGGAGTGCTGTACCAGGGTACAGTCCTTAACATTTTCCTGATGAAGAAAATAAGATGTAGCGCAGCACTACGTAAAAAGTTTCCGCAGAGACAAAAATGCTATCGCGCTTAGGTAGAGGAGAAACTTCAGGCTCTTCATAGCCAACGTTTTCGAGAGCAGAGAGCAGCGAGATGATCAGCCAGTACAGCAAAGAACAGTAGCGTTGCTTTTTGCCTGTATTCCACCCGACGAAACGGCTTGACAGACTGCTTGGAAAAACTTTTGAAATGTCGCTTGTGAAAAGCAATCTGAAGTTCTAAGTCACTAGTAAGCTTGATAGCATAGCACTATAGTATATCATATTTAACTGCTCATGCTCGAGCTTGCACGCCATTGCAAACCTGATAGCGGCAATTTTTCTGAAATATCAGAAATTGACCGTTTGGTAGAAACGAATTTGATGATTGATTAGGGGAGGAGCAGGTAAGAAGTCTGAATTTATTTTCAAAGTGAATTCCTGCTACATGTATTCATTTCAAAGATCTTGGATAATGCTGCTCAACCCCTCGTTAACCCGCGCGCGCGCGTGCGCGTGTATGTGTATGTATGTGTATATGTATTATTGTGTATGTATGTGTTTGCACAAGTTGCTATGGCTTCTGCTGTAGCATCGCTATCATCACCTCTGGGGATGGGCGTCAAATGGTCATGGTGTGTGTGTGTGTGTGTGTGTGTGGGCGTGCATGTAGGTATGTGTGTGTGTGCGTGGAAAGAGAGCATGGACTGCATAAATGGACTGACATCCCCTGCGTGTGTGTGTGTGTGTGTCTGTCTGCCAACCTGTCGGAAGGCTACCCTCTTGCCAAAGCATTTTTGGAAGTTGGACTAGTTTCGGCTCCACAATCCAGTGTGTCGTTACTATATAGCTTTCATGGCTGAGGTTGTTGGTACGTCTGTTGGCCCTGGGTTCCCAGTACCCAGTTGCCGAGGCTGGTTGGTAAAATAACTCCAATACTTCAAGGTACCAGTGCATCTGGTGTCTGCTTTTATCAAAGCAGCGTGATGTCTATACTGGTTACCCCAGCAAGTGTAGGGTGTGCATAGGTAACTGTCTTGGCCGTCCTATTCCGATGTACTCCGTGTGGTGTAGACAAGGTGTGCATTGGGGGGTCGATTCACATGGCTTCGCCAGTTGTGTGGATTAGACAGTTATCTGGCGCTTGTCTTGATCTGTTTCAATCAGAATCAGATCCGCTATCGTTGCTATAAAGAGAAAATCTGTGGGTGCACATCCAGTGCATTTGCAGATTTGCGTGCTTCTCTTGCGACGGGCGTTTACACATGGTACATGGTGTCTGTCTGTCTGTCTCTCTCTCTGTCTGTCTCTCTGTCTTTCTCTCTTTCTCTCTCTCTCTTTCTCTCTCTCTCCCTGTCTTCGCCTGTGTGCACCCGTGCAGACAACTGAACAAGCCGCCTGTTGCCGCGTGACTGTGGCCTAGATTCCCATGTATTGGATGTACTGTTTGTACTGTTTGTTGCCTTGCATGTGTCCAGGAGCCAGAGCTGTGTACAGCAATGCAGACAGTGCTGCTCGACAGCAGCTTGTCGAGTTGATCAAGCAAGCCTTCCAGCAGGTGAAGTTGATCAAGCAAGCCTTCCAGCAGGAGAAGTTGCCAGAGGCGGAAAAGTGTACCGTATTTTGCCCATTACGCGCCCGCGCTTCCTATACTAGTACGTCTCCAATTGTAGTACATGTTGAGTGTGGATCAAAAATATAGAAAGGACACGTCTCTAATAATAGTACATGCCGGAATGATGTGATGGGCATTACTGGGGTACAGGTACTATAATAGTCCCACCTTCCAACCCGGCAAATAATTCGATTTTGATAAAACGATTCAAAGCCTCTCAATTATTTTGTAATACTTGAAGTATAAGAATATATACTTTCACACAAAACAAGCTCGGTGCAGCACTAATCATGCCAGGGGAACCCGACCCTCCACCATCGCCAACTCACGAAGCATGTGAACTGGACGGTGACGGGCCGACCGAGCACCCCTGACACACAATACAGCGGAACGTAGCAGCGCGAAAGACACCCGACAGCGATAGTATCCCATCAACAACGAATAGCTACCTCCCTAAGATTGAGATGTGAGCAGGCAAAGGCGCCTGAGGAAGTCCGTGGATGCCGGCGCAGCTGCCCCATTCACGGAAAACACTAAAGGTGCAAAGGCACCACGCTCAACATTCACTACTCTCTCCTGATATTGAAGTCTCTTAGCGCCCTCATGTTGCCGGAAGAGTGTGTCCAGGCTTCTGGGCGCATAGGAAGAAGCGTCAGGATTAAACACCCTTACATCAAAAAATACTGTAATAATCCATCTTACTTCGTTTTTCTTACCCGTTTATCATCTTTGTGTCTTTGTACACTGATTCTTACCATGGTTGGATATATTTACAGCCTTACAGCATCATTATCACGAGTTGTTTACCACCCAATCCAGGCAATCAATTTTTCCAGACACAATAAAAGTTCACGTCTCCAATACTAGTACAGTCTCCTATAGTAGTACAGGTCTGACCACCTTAGAAAAAATAAAAGTACTGTACATAATAATTATAATTATACAAGTAGTAAAGAAAAAAGGACCAAGAAACTACAACAACAAAAACTGTACAAGTTACGCTATAATGTCCACTAACACCACCAGTTACTAAACAATCTCCATCCGAGTCCATACTGTGCATTTATTGGGGATAATACGGTAAGTTCTCACCCCCTTATCCAGTCACACTGTGACAGTGGAATATTACTCAGCCAACACAGTTGAGTGCACTGTGATAAGAAGATAGTCCGCCTAAAACAGCCATGATTTGTTAGTGTGTGCTATCTGCGCTATCAAGAGTACATAAAGAGTGTGCAACTGTGCATATCAGATCTGAAACAGCGCAGTTCGTGCACTACGTCACCCTGATGAGGTCAGCCAAGCCGCGACTTGCGTACAGCTCAAATTTTCGTGTTTCATAGCCCGGAAATCAGCCAAGTTTGCTTGATTTTAGACGTCCTGTTTCAGGATTTCGGTGTTTTTGTGTGACTGTGTACATCCACCGACAAGTAAATTCACCATGTTATCCGTATCAAAAAACCGAAATCAGGACAAACTCAGTGACCTGCACCACCGTGACTGGTTACGCAACTTTTCACCGTACCTGCGGCTTACCATGCCGTCAGAAATGACGTACTGCACGAATTACGCTCCCACAGGAACCATCCCGAGTTGCACACTCTGGTTTTGTACTCTTGGCGCTATGCATTTGTGTTGTTGTTGTTGTTGTTGTTGTTGTTGTTGTTGCTGCTGTTGTTGCTGTTGCTGGTGCTGTTGCTGTTGCTGTTGCTGTTGTTGCTGGTGCTGTTGCTGTTGCTGTTGTTGTTGGTTGTTGGTGGTTGTTGTTGTTGTTGTCGTCGTTATCGTTGCTGTTGTTTTTAAATTGATAGTTGTGCCTCAGGATTGTGTTGAATGGAGGACGTCCCCAGATGCTGCTCTCCGTCGCCTCGCCTCGCTCTACAGCAGGTCTAGCATTCAGACTCGCCAGCATGCTCTTCATCTGCTTCTTCACTGGATCATGAAAGAAATGGAGGAAACCCCTGGCTTTTGTCCACTGGCTGCTGCCGACCAGGTGAGCAATTATTTGAAACGACGGCACTGGCCAGTGAAACCTGGGAGCCGTGAGTCTGGTTATCTCCGCGCACTGTGCAGTGCCGGGCATGCAAACACTGGCTTGCGAATGATTCACGCCAGGTAGTTGTCAAATAACTGGTATTTGACGACTCCCTGATTCATACTCAAGAATTTGGCAGGCGGAGAAAAAAAATGGAAAATTTATAAAAGTAAAATACAAGCAATACCAAAAGCGCAATTGCAACCCAGAACCAGAAGCCACTCAAAAGCGCCATCAGGACACAAAAGGATAAACCACAAAAAAAAACCGGCCAGTGACCAGATAATATAGTTCATTAATGCAGCAGGTGAGCCAATGAACGACCCTCCGTGACGAATTGGTGTTGACTAGCACCCGACCCACTGTGTCGATAAGACGCCCGCAAACCCCGGAAGCATGTTATCTGCCGCCGCACGAGGGACAGACTTATCCTGTATCGCAAATGACGACTCACCAAGGCTCGAGTGACAGGGACGCGCGCTACCAAGCTGTAAGTTGTAGCCTGCGGGCACGCTGATCAGGTGACTGGTGTACGCATCAGCACGTGACCGCTTACTTAACCGTGTTCGATTGGGAATAAGGGCCGAACGCTGCATCGCAGCCTTCTTGGATCAAAACCAGTAGACTTAGCATCTGAAAGACTAAAACCTATGGGCCAATCTCGTTCATCCGTGCTCTTATAAGAATGAAATGGTGCGTTTAGTGACATTTTGCACATAAACCCCATCCAGTAGGGCGTAGTCACCCAATTTCGGTGGAAGTGGCAAGTTCGATTGGGAATAAAGGAGGAAGGGAGCGCCTTAGCTTCCTCGGAACAAGACCATTCGACTCAGCACCCTGAAGCCTACGAGTAGTGAAATGTTGATTCTAGACCATACTTCCCTTTTGAAGCTGGCACCAGCCATGAAGATGGAGGGGGGGGGGGGGTCCCGAGCCATGTAGACACCCTCTCCCCTCCTCGCCAGCCACATCCACCAGGAGTAGAGCTGCTGTTGACCAGAAAGGCAAGTCTTGAGCTGTTCCAGTGCCTCTGTCTGCTGCGTTCGAAGTTGGACACGTGCCTGTGCACTGCCAAAGTCCAGTAAACGGAGATGACGTCAGTGACACAACGTTCGCCCTAGCCCACCGCTACACACTCAACCATTGGGTCAGTGACGCTACGGCACAGGAGACGCTCTGCCCCAGCACGTACACTCGCAATACGCACCGTAAGGCCTCCATTCCTCACGGGTATTGAAAAAAGATGGCGCAGCTCGCGACCAGGAACTAAACTGTGACCAGTCAATGCAGGCAGCAGATCGTCGGCAATTACGATGTCCAGTGGTGAATACACAGCCGGATCAACAGGGACCACACGCTGCAGGTACGTCCAGCAGGATTGCACGGACGCAGTGAACAAATGATAGGCCGCCTGCGGTTGCGTAGGCAGTTACACCAGCTAGGCGCCAGACCGGACGGCAGAAATCAGCAACACAGCCACGCACAGATTCATCCCGGAACTATTGGCCACCGAGTTAGCGAACGTCATCACTCTGGGCCCGGACATCAGTCCCGGAAATATCTCTTGAGCCCTGGCTAAAAAGTGCAGGCGAACTAGCAGAATTGTCTTGACAGCATTTACAAAATAACCATAGCGTGGTCCCTCCTTGGCAATGGCAGCCCAATAAGTTTGTAAGGGCGCAATCTTGTTGGTCGCGGCATCTTCATCCGCGTACCAGATCTTGGCAGTGCCAGGAGATTGATCAGAAAGCTTTGATGCCAACGGTGGCTAAAGCATAAAAAGCCATTGCGAATGGGTCTCCCTGGCACGTACCTTCGTGGGAGCGTATAACGTCACCACCATCATCAAGGAAAGGGGGAATGTCAGCCTGGTACGGATATTGTTCGAAGCAGCTGCACGGTTCAAGGCATTGAAAGCGTTAGCTAAATGCATCTACTAGCAAAATTCCTGTATCAAGATCCTGTTCTAATAGTGCACGGAGAGCCTGGACTGCAACCTCACAAGCGGATGGAACGCCGACACAGAGCTGCTGTGGAGCAGTAATAGCCACCACATCCCGCTCAATAGTCACCAAGATGACCTTGCCTACCACCCTGCGGAACACTTCGCCAATGGCGATTGGGCGCACCCCAGATTGCTTGTCCAGTGGTTTAACTGGCTGGCCAGAAAAGGACGAAGGTGAGATAACTCAATATGTTCTGTACGTAAACACTTCTCCATTCGGGCCATAGATGTACATATTACAGTAGAGGCTGTGGAGAACATAGACGCCATATGCCGCCACACCGCGGCGGCATCCAGTCCAGAAAGTCCTGCTGTGCCTTTCATGGTCATGATCTTTGCACTTGCACGGGAAGGCGTGATGGCCTCAAGAGTGCACATGGTCCGTTGGGGCAGGGCCATTAGCCAGCAGAAGGCCTGGATCCGCAGCAGTCGGATCCGGATGTTTGTCTCCCAAAATGTCAAGGACGGATCTACCATTGATTCATTTTCAGGGTTGAGGGGAAGAACGCCACCTCGCCCATTGTCCTCCAAGTAATGCGTTGCAGTGCCAATTTGATCGGCATAGACCATTTTAGCGAACTCGACATCATCCATCTCCACTCTGGTCACCTGATAGCGTTGCTGTTTGGAAGAGGGCAAATAGGCCTGGATGCAAGGAACAGAGCAGTCATATTACCTGATTTCCATAACACAAGACGCTTGTGGAGAATCTTCTTTTTGTCACTGGCAGATGGTGCACTTAATGGTTGCTGCCGAGGGAGATGGCCTGCCACAGCCACAGCCGACCGCGTAAAAGCTCTAGCTTCACATCCGTCGCAAAACAGACCAATAAGTTGAGCCAATTCAGCCACGAAACGAGCACCATCGTCACCGAAAGGGACCATGAAAATATTCCTCTTCCACTTCATCACCTCGGCATAGGTATTATCAAGAGTACATAACCCCCCAGAGTGTGCAACGCCTGATCCAGCTCTGCATAGGGTCTTGGTCGAGCGGAATCGGATCTTTGCGTCAAAATACCTTACACATCTGAGGGGAACCCGGGGAGTCGCGGGTACTCTCGGATCAAAAACAATGGTGCCCTGCCTCGAGACCGGCCTTACGCTGGTGTGGAGTGTACGCATGACATCAGAAGATCCGATTCCGCTCGACCAAGACCCTATGCAGAGCTGGATCAGCGTTGCACACTCTGGGGGGTTATGTACTCTTGGTATTATCCGTGAGATGGGTGATGTCACCAACCGGCAGTGATGAAAATCCACGGTCATTGTCTCCACCATCCACCTCCGCAACAGCCGGGTGCATAACCTGCCCTGTGTACTACTTCACTACTATGTGCACACTCTAAGTGTACTCCGTTGTGCTGTGATTGTCAATATGACAACCTGCCCTGTGTACTCCGTTGTGCTGTGACTGTCAATATGACAAGTCCACTCTTGTTAAGATGGTGTACAGTAAGCTTGAACTTTCAACAATGTTTTGTCGAAGAGCAGCCAAGCTGGAGAAATAAGAATGGTGCAAAATCACATATAAAGCTGTGCCCATATGAGGGGAAATAGTGCTACAAATTCACCTGGCACAAGTAACACGTAGTTTCTGCAATGCCGCCTACCACCTTCGCTTCTTTTTGCTTCATGACCTTATCTGATAGGTGTCTTAGGGGCCGTCCAAGGTTATCAATAATATTTCCAAAACGAAAAGATTTCGTTTGTGGGTGGGTGAGTTTGATGGAGTTTCGTTTTGAAAGTAATTATTGAATGCAGATGGAGAATACCCAGTTACTTTTGGGTGTCGAAAATTGACATCAATATTTTATTGGAATTCGTTTTACCTGCAGAAAAGGTGGGTGGGTGGGTGGGGGCTGAAAAATACTAAAACTTTTCGTTTTGTAAAAACTATCGGTAGCCCCGGACGGTCCCTTAGGTCAGTGGTAAAAAGGTATATGCGTGTGCTCGTGTACTGTCCGGTTCTGATTATTTTGTTATCATTGTTGCACCGCAGGAATATAAGGCTTTGAGCAAGGCGATACTGAATGAGCGGTTCCGATATCGGCATGGCGAAATCACAGCAGCGTTTATGACGATGCCTCGATCCTCATGCGGAATACTGAGCGGTGAGTAAATGACTAAATGTAGCACTGTACTTTGTGCTAGCCTGGTGGTATTACCTGGTGGCATTACCTGGTGGCATTACCTGGTGGTATTACCTGGTGGTGTTACCTGGTGGTATTACCTGGTGGTGTTACCTGGTGGTATTACCTGGTGGTATTACCTGGTGGTATTACCTGGTGGTATTACCTGGTGGTATTACCTGGTGGTGTTACCTGGTGGTGTTACCTGGTGGTGTTACCTGGTGGTGTTACCTGGTGGTGTTACCTGGTGGTGTTACCTGGTGGTGTTACCTGGTGGTGTTACCTGGTGGTGTTACCTGGTGGTGTTACCTGGTGGTATTACACTCATACCTCGGTTATCCGGACCCCGAAATTGCGGGCACTTTATATGTATATAATACAACCCAACAGTACGCTTGTACGTGAAATATAAACCGACATACAAACCGAGGCGAAGCCGAGGTTTGTGTGATGGTTTATATTTCACGTACAAGCGTACTACAGGTAGACTCCCTTTAATTCGAACCTCAAATTGCCAGGCCCTAAGTTCGAATTATCCGGAACTTCTAATTATCCAAATGCAGCCCCATGCACTGATATGTATGTCAAAATGCTTGAAATCGCGTGCTGAATATTTTTTGCACATTTTTATTTGCATGAACGAAACATAGGTGTTCGTACCGCGTACCGGTCATGTACAACGGATCATCTAAACACTGGATCGACACAAAATCATTTTGACATTATCTTCATCTTCTAGTGAAGAAGTTGTCAGTCACTGCAGCTTTCCTGAAACGATTTCAACGGAAAAGAACTGCGCTGCCTAATCCGCGTCATGAAAGGCCGTCGGACAGCAGCACGTCGTCAGAAGAACGGAAGTGGAGCACAGGCATATACAATATTTACGACAATGGTGTTGTTATGCGCCAACATCTCCGCGCACGAGCTGGCGCGGCAAGAAAGGCCATCGAGATCCGCGAAGAGAGTCAGCCACCTGGAAGAATCAAACCTTTGCAATTTGCCTCGCACGGCAGGCGCGTGCTCGGCGATGGGCACGGGGGGCACGTGCACCCCCAAAAATTTTCAATCTGGGTAATTGCAATTGTAATGTATGCAAATATGCTCTAAAATTCAAGAAAGGTTGCAAACAAATTGCAGAAAATTGCCGGGGGGGGCTCCCCTCGGCTCCCGTGCACCCCCCTAGTTGGGGGGCCGAGCACGCCCCTGCACGGGGTACGCGCTTGAATCAAATTTCGACAGAAGGTGGGTTTCTTGAACGCTATAGTCGATCCTGCAGCGGACCATTGATCGATTTTTGAGCTACTCTTGGCTAGAGAAGGAGAAAAGAATGAACTTCGAATTACAAGGATAGCAACTCAATCTCACTTCGAAATAAGCGTTCAAAGGACATAGCCAATGTACTGTAAACAGCTCTTCTGTACGAAGACTGGGTTCGAATTATCCAACCGGCGCACTTTTCGTACTTCGAATTATGCATTCGATTTTGACTTGAAGTGACTTGCAGAAGATCGGTACGACGAAAAAGTTCGAATTACACGGAATGTTCGAATTATACCGTATTCGAATTAGAGGGAGTCTACCTGTAGTGAGATGTATTATACTTATGCTGACCTTCATACAAACTGACAGTCAACTTCCTGTTTCTATGGTGGCGGTCTGTATGGGGTTTGTATGAGGTTTATATGCCCAGTATAAGCCGCCAGCATGATGGGCAAGTTGACTGGAAGTTTGTATGAAAGGTCAGCATAATTAATTATATTTATATTTATTCCCGTAGCTATGCAGAAGACGTTACTTCAGTAACGTCTGGCGCTAGCCAGGGTCCACACAGCTTTAATTTGGTATTTGTGTGTTTGTTTGTTTGTTTGTGTCACGCCTGGCGCTATCCCGCGCTATCCCGTATCTGACGGCAAAAAAATCATAGGGATGTTAGGGATAGGGATGTTACTCAATCTGCGGACAGAACTGTTTCGTCCTTTGTGGACTCGTCAGCGCAGCACAGAGAAAATGAGGCCGAACCTGATAGCAATGGAAATAAAAATTTCCCATCAGGCCCGAACGTACCTTGCCAGAGTGCTCAAACTGACAAGTCAGTGAGCTCTGCATAACGCAAACAGCAAAGGCACTACCCCACGCAAGAGTGCTCAACTGCTACAAGAGCAGGAGCGAAATACTCAAAGGGATAGGGATGTTATAAATTTTTCAATTCTCCAATTTTTTCAGGCATATCCTGGGATTCGAACCCGCACTATCGCCCTACATGCATTCCCCCATACACTTCGCATTCATACCCGTTCTTCCAAGTTGCTTCACGTTATGATCTTGCGTTTGAAAGCCCTATTTGAATATTGCGGGCAGCTGTATGTGGCCAGCTGTGTTTGATGGTACGGTATGGGAGACGATGTCGTATTACCCTCGATCGTACCTGTCCCGTACGGCTGGCCACAATGCATATTCAAATAGGGCTTTCAAATGCAAGATCATAATGTGAAGCAACTTGGAAGAATTAGTATGTATGCGAAGTGTATCGGGGGATGCATGCAGGGCGCGATAGTGCGGGTTCGAATCCCAGGTTAGGCCACACCAAGTTTTTTCATTGTTTCTCGTCACCGCGCGCGTACCTTTCTTGAGGTTTGGACCAAAAAAAATCTCGCGTCCCGGTAAACACGCATAAAAAGGCGTTGTAAAAGTACGCGCGGCGTCAAATCTGGAGTGCAGTGCTAGTGCACGAACCGAAGGACGACTTTTGCACCGTGTATGTACGCATACCGGTAGTTCAAGTACCACACCACCACACGACCTGGTCGTCTTCTTTGCTACACACAGTTCCGGTACAAGTCAAGACAGTGCATGACAGTGCACCGTTTTGGACTGACAGTAGACACCCTTAGCAAACAACGGTAACGCTATTTTTTACGGTACTCGTACCTTGATCACCCAAATAGCGTTGAAGCTGCAGCGTATAAACGTTATGGGGGCTGATTTATCGTTGTGACCAACGGTACGTGTTTTGGCCAAATATTGCATAGTCCGTACGCATTTCACCTTGTATCGCGTATATGGTGACAAAAATGGTTGTACCGCGCGAAATCGAAGCTACTCTCGTGGTAACAGCGTACTAAAAATAGCGTGCATCTTGCTAAAGGTCGAACCCAAATCACGGTATTTTCCCCCTTACGATAATACCGTTACAACATAACGTTTATTGCTAAGGGTGTCTAGTGTTCCGGGCATCGGTAAACTTGCGGCATTGCGGACTACAAGCACTGTGAAGTTGCCGTGATTCCTTGAGTTCTTTATCAGTTCATCTCAGTTCAAATTTTAGCACAAGCGCGCACTTGGCTGTTCTTTTATGTACCCCTTGTATCTCTTAATTTGCTAAATCCTATATATAGGATTTTGGTCATATTTTTCAACTCAAAATGGGTGTGGCATGAGCATAGGAAAACGTATGTGACCAATTCTTCCGTGTTAGGTCTTAGTCGATATGGAGAGTTGAATAAGATATATTTTTCAAATACTAACATCTAAGGCTCATCTTCTTGCGCAATATTTCTAAGGCCTGCGCCCTATTTTTCGAATCCTATATATAGGATTTGAGATTTTACTGGACCTTGTTTTATCCTTAAAATTGGTAGTTTCATGACGGCATGTGCGATATGTCGTCATGAAACCACCCCGTGCCACACCTGTAATGTTTTTTTGCACATTCACTGCTTCAGTCCTTCCCATGACACCAGCTGAACAATGCTGCTCAAAATTCCAATCCTTGCTCAAAATGGGTATTCATGATGTCCTATGAATCTAAAAAGTAAACATTCATGCCTCAAACATATTTACAGCTTCTAATAAAACCATTATGCTCTTATTATGGGTCATGAATGACTCACGATGACCAATAACAACGGCATAAAGGTCACGCATTTTCAAATCCTATATATAGGACTTTTGCCCAGCAAATTAAGAGATAATAACTTTGGTTTGCTTTCTTTCCTATTTAAATAACATGCAACACTGGACTTCCTCACCAGAGGCCGGTGCAGGAGCCTGGTTTTCTGGCTGTATGTTGCAATTGACTGTCACGCGTGGTGTATAGTCTGATTTTAGGTCATAAATTGGGCCTTTGTAGTGTAAATAGCAGTTTTTGTTTTTCATTCTCTGCTCCAAATTTGTTTGCACGAGCATCAGCATGCACACCCAGCTCTATCACACACAGCAGCCATTTGAACATGCGGTGAATGCAGACCTGCTGCACAAGAAGAAAAACTATTTTGTTTTTTTTCCGCCCGCCCGCGTTCCTTTTGAGATTTTCAGGTGACGAGAAACAATGAAATAACTTGGTGTGGCCTTATGTCTTAAAAAAAGGGAATTTTTTAAAGAATTTATAACATCCCTATGCTTTTTTTTGTCTAGGTCATCAAGGCAAAAAAGCATAGCGTAGGGCCCTGAGCTTCCAAGCTCTCTCGTTAGGGCTGAAACGATCTTCCATTTAGCCCAATCGATTACTCTTTATCATAACGATCGATTATTCGATTATAATCTTTAAGAGGCCGCACCTGGAATATGTACGTGGAATGGCCAAAAGTGGAAATATGTACAAAATTTTGCACAAAAAAAGTGTTATGTATGTAGACCGGACGCGACCTTGACCTTCGAGCTTCATGCTCCAGCTTCGTTGTACTACACTACAACTTACAAGTAGGACTGTTTTTTTGATTTTGACAGCATGTTAAGGGCGATTCACAATACAACTTTCTGCGACGCAACAAGAAACTGCCTGTCGCGAGCTGTCGCAAGGCACCTGTCGCAGAAGTTGAAGAAAGTTCAACTTTTGCGACATGCAACACGCGACATACACAAATGGAGTACAGTTTCGACCCTGGGTGCACGTGCAGTGCACGTGCATAGTACTTCTTGTGCATGAGGATATCCAGATGCCGCAACAAATATGAAGAATATTGTGAACCGTGTGTCGCTGTCGCAGCTCGTCGCATGTGTCGCAAGTCGCATGTCGCGTCGCAAGAAGTTGTATTGTGAATCGGCCTTAACAAGGCGAGTCGCGCGTGCAGTGTGTAGTACTGTGTACTACCGGGGGTATATACTCTGCGCTGCATGCACTGCGCGTATAAGAAATTAAAGATTTAAAAAACGCAAAATAATCGTAATCGGTAATCTAAACGATTGCTCGATCGTTAGTTATCAAACGAGTACTCGATTATTCGGTATAATCGTTTCAGCCCTAATATTTATTACAACATCTCAAGACTCGGTGGAAACACCGAAACACTTTGGTCTACCGGGCACCCTTTGGGCGAGTTTCAGTGGAAATATTACTATTCTTTTGCCACTTTTTGTGGAAATAGTGAGGTCATATGCCATATCAAATGACCTTTTGCCATCATAGTGTATGTGATTCAAAGTTACGGACATTTCAAAGATACGGGCAGTGCCCGGTCCCGGACCGCCCGGATAAATGAGGTATGATTGTACCAGTTATGTGTGCTAGGTGCTGCTGTATGCTGCACTGCTTCTTAATTGTTTGTGTGCACAGTCTCTTGCTGTGCTGCTTTTTCCTGTTGCTTCTGGAGTAATAAGGGTTTTGGAGTGAGGTCATCATACAGGATATTTTTGAAATCGGACTGTACCCCCACCCGCTCAAGATGTACTCGTATAGACTGTGTGTTTCCCTGTGTGTCATCTGTTGCTCCAGTCTCCGTGGTCGCTGATGGCATAAGACGAACCTACTCAACTGCTCTTGATGCGACTAACTATATCAATATTGATTCCTCGCCGTCATCTGGTACGTCCTAGACGCCTTGATGAAGAATGTGAATGCACAGTGCTGCTCAGTGAAATCCGATCAAGCGGGTCAATGTCACGCTGAGCACTGGGCTGCCCTAGACCTGTGAATACTGGGCTGCCCCAGACCTGTGAACACTGTGCTGCCCCAGGCCTGTGAACACTGTGCTGCCCCAGACCTGTGAATACTGGGCTGCCCCAGACCTGTGAACACTGTGCTGCCCCAGGCCTGTGAACACTGTGCTGCCCCAGACCTGTGAATACTGGGCTGCCCCAGACCTGTGACCACTGGGCTGCCCCAGACCTGTGAACACTGTGCTGTGCCCGGGTAACCCGACTTACACGTTCGGATTTCATTGAGCAGCACTGTACATGTATTGCAATCATGTAGTGCAGTGTTACCAAGCACTTTCTGGTCCTTTGCGTACTGACCAGTGCCGTATTCGATTTGGTGGTCTAAATATCTACGGTACTGTCGCGTGTCGAAGAACGGCCAGGCTAGAATGTCACCAATTTTTAAGAACAGTCTAGGCTGGATGTTTTGCTGATAAGAACTGAAACCGTAATGTGCACTATAATGTATACTCAGACGTATAACTTTGCGTAAATGTACATGTAAGACTGTACTATCGAATAAGAACGAAACTGCTGTGTTCGTTAAAAAATAAGAACGGGCTAGACTAGAACCCTGACCCCCCCCCCCCCGTTCTTCGGCGCCCGACAGTACTGTAGGCATACAGCTGGAAATACTTGGGAAATGTATTTTCAAGTCACCTGATCTATAGTTTGTCCCGCAATACTCTGGAACATAGTATGTTCCAGAGTATTGCGGGACAAACTGTAGATCAGGTGACTTGAAAATATTATGTTATTCACCTCTGTGTAGCTGGCAAGCACTGATACAGTCGACTCCGCTTATAGCGAACTCGCATATAGGGAATGTCGTGATATACTTATAGCGAACCATTGTCGATGTCCCTGTTTTAACCCATACCAAATTGACCCTTTGTCGCGAACAGTGTTCGTTGATAACAAACCGTATCTTGTAGGGCCACATGTAAACCAAGTACACTTATACTGCATGGGGCACATGCCAGCCAGAACGTGTTGCTTGTATGTTGTAAGTGCATTTCTGTTATAAAGAACTTCGGCTATAAAGAACTAATTCTCCTGCACAATGGTGCTCATTAGTACTTGTTATCACTCTCTTATTATTGACCGTCACAGAAACTTGTGATCTCTAAGGGGCCGTCCATAATTATCGATCTTTTACACGAAGAGAAAAAGTTTCGTTTATGGGTGGGTGGGTCAAGGGGAGTTTCGTTATGAAAAAGATTGATATGTGAGACCTCAAGGCATTCTTGCTGTCAAGTCAATCTATTTTTCGTCCAGGGTGGGTGGGTGGGTGGGGGAGGGTCCTAATTTAACTTTTTCGTTTCGTGAAAATTATCGATAATGCCGAATAGCCCCTAAAGCGGGATTCACAGAAGCTTTTTTGCGATGCGACACGCGATGCGACAGCCGCGAAACCGGGAAAACCCCAAATCGCAGCCTTGTCGCACCCCACGCAACTGCCGCAACTGGGCCATCGCAGGCCATCGCAGAAGTTGAGCTTGGCTCAACTTTTGCGATGCGATGCGATGCGACAAGCGATTTGGCGTACGATTTTGACCTTTTCTACAGCAAAGTTGTACAAAGGTTCAAGAGTTGCCTATAAATTTGTACAAGTTGTATCAAACCGCGCGAATATCTTGGTGAAGTAGCCAAATCAGCAAGATTTTGTCGCATCACTGGCTTCTTCTGTGCATGGTATTTCGCGAGTTCGCATCGCACGCGTCCGTCGCAGATCGCGTTGCATCGCGTGTCGCATCGCAAAAAAGCTTCTGTGAATCCCGCTTATTAAAGCGGTCAAATATATGAAAATTAACGAGAGAGCTTGGAAGCTCAGGGCCCTACGTAGCTACGCTATGCTTTTTTACCTTGATGACCTAGACAAAAAAAAGCATAGGGATGTTATAAATTCTTTAAAAAAATCCTTTTTTTAAGACATAACCTGGGATTCGAACCAGCACTATCGCGCGCCCTGCATGCATCCCCCGATACACTTCGCATACATACTAATTCTTCCAAGTTGCTTCATGTTATGATCTTGCATTTGAAAGCCCTATTTTAACATGCATTGTGGCCAGCCGTCTTTGATGGTACCGTACGGTACGGGATAGGTACGGGACAGGTACGATCGAGGGTAATACGACACCGTCTACCGCCTTGATGACGGCAAAAAAGCATAGGGATGTTATAAATTTTTCAATTCTCCTTTTTTTTCAGGCATATCCTGGGATTCGAACCCGCACTATCGCCCTACATGCATTCCACTATACACTTCGCATTCATACCCATTCTTCCAAGTAATTAATAGTTGCTTCACGTTATGATCTTGCGTTTGAAAGCCCTATTTGAATATTGCGGCCAGCTGTATGTGGCCAGCTGTGTTTGATGGTACGGTACGGGACAGATACGGGATAGCGCCAGGCGTGACACAAACACACAAATACCAAATTAAAGCTGTGTGGACCCTGGCTAGCGCCAGACGTTACTGAAGTAACGTCTTCTGCATAGCTACGGGAATAAATTAATAATACTGATAATATTGGCCTCTTTTTAAATCTTGCAATAATAGATACATAGTGTTGCAGATGCTCATTTTTGAATTCTTTATTCTCACGGTGGCACCATCGCCAATAAGAGATGTCATTGTTGGCCTGATTGTGTTATTGTACTTGGATTCGGCAGGAGTTTCCAATATATATCTGCAGCCCATTCTGGCCGGGCGACACATCTTTTCTGTATGTTTCCGGAGAGCTTTGAACTTCATTGATAATAGTAAGTAGAGCCGTAACGTGTGGTTCACTGGCAAAGGCCAGGTTGCTGTTTTATTGTCACACTTGTTCATAATACTTGTGCAGCAAGAATGTATTTCTCTGGCACTGTTATGGTGCAGGAGAATCAGAATGTTAAATGCACCTCTCCGGGGCTTTCCCCTGGAAATTGTTCAAAGTATGGAGCAAACTCGTCACAGTTCATTGATTCATGTGCTAAATGCAATGAGCGATCATTGTGAACCTAGCATGTCTGATGCCCCAGTGATGCTAGTATGATCAGAAAGCATTCACAACCAATATACATGTAAAGGGTTACTTTCTCACCGTCGTCAAATGCAATATTTTAGAGAGATGGCGGCAATGCCTCCTGGAATGTACAATGATTTGTCGTGTTGAGATCAAGACATGGAAAGTGTACATTGCTTGAATCAGCTCTTGATCGCTTTAGTTTCTCTCATGTTTCTCTCTTTCTCTGATCAGGAGAATCTCGTTACAATACTAGCTGCTTTCTTGGGCTGGTACCTGAACTCTTGGTGAGTAAGACGACTTGCTACGCATGCCTGGCTATCATTTTGAATGTCTGTACTGTAGCTTTATTCATGCAATGTAAAATGGTGGAGACAATGTGCAATAAAACGATGAAAATATGAAGAAATAGTGTAGAGAATAAAATAAGGATTCAAACAAGTTTTCGTACAATACTCATCAGGAATCTTCGTTGTACTAAAGGACACTGAAACAAAATTGAACTATTATAGAAAATCTAAGTTAGAGAAATAACACTAAGAACAACAGCAGTGAAATTTACAAGTGTGAATTTTAACAATGAAAGCGAGAGCAATAACGAATGCGTGTGCTAACAATAAACTTGCAAATGAAAAATGAACAAACAAGAGAAAGAAAGAAGGAAGGGCAAAGTGATAACACGTAACAGCAGTACATTTCACCTAGGACATTAACGGCCAAGCTTGGCCGCACCAAACACAACACGTTACTTGAACAATTTCAACCCAATTATACTATCTTTCTGTACACACAAATTAGGCTTGTACAAACGCTGATAAATGGCTTCCAAAACTTTTAACTGTAGTCCATAACCATGACGACCACGGCACAATACAGTGAAAGAAGAGTCGGAATACGAATTGCAACAATCAGGACTAGCTAGCAGATGATTGTATACTGAAGACTTGCTACCACGAAACCTACGCACAACACTAACACTCTCACCGGCACTCTCACGATCACTCCCGTCATCGCTCTCCGACTCACTGCTTCCTTCGCCATCCGTTCCATCCTCCGATTCCTCTGCGCTCTCTCTGTTTCGTCCATCCCGCCTGACCCGGTCCATTGAACTTGACTCGGCCGTCAACCTGCTGTCGCGTCCCTCCTTTCGCCCTTGTCCGTTGAATGCGTAGCTTCTGTTGCAATTGGCTGTTGATCGTCTTGGTCTTTCAATAGTGGGCTTGCATGGTGGATTAGTTGTACAAGTAGTCGCGGTAGATTGCGTTGTTGGTGTTGGTGTGGGAGTTGGTGGGTCTTTTTGAGTCAGTAATTGTAGTGTTAATGCCACTGTCGGTGTTGCTCGTGGTCTGCCACTAGCAAGTTCCACCGCCGCAAGAACCGACGGCGGATAGTACTGTAGCTTTTTTTTTGACTGCCTCTGTCTCTGTTCTCCTTGCAAGATCCTTTTTTGGGCATGGAACTAAGCACAGCGTGTGGCATGTCTGGCACGACTGGCACTGTGGCTAGGCATCTCTCCGTGTCCGTGTGCATTGCATAGCTTGTAGCGATAGCAGTCCTATGTACTTGTCACTGTTCTTCCACTGTGCTACCATAAGTGCAATGGCCTATGGCCCGGGGCTATTATTTTCTGGCAACCCCCTCGTTCCAAATAAACAGTGCTCTCTGCCTCTGTTCTGTTCTTCACAGGACATCATTCTGAGGTTTCTTGATGCGAAGACACTATTAAACCTTGCAGCTACTTGTCTGTACCTCCATGATTTTGTTAATCATCACCGCTACTTGGAAAGCTAAGCCGAAAAACAGCAGCAGGATTGACATTCACTGCCATCATGTCCAGAAGCCTGTGCGCTGTGAATCTAATTGTACTCAGTCTTTGCGTTCGATGTGCGGGAAACAGCGGGCTCGCTGAACCATATGGCCTGCCGCTATGCCAAGATGGTAGTACTGCACTCTTTGGCTGCGATATGCCAAGTTCATTATGGTTGAGTACTTCTTGCTACGTGCTATGCTGCATCACTGAGATTCTTGGACCTCACATGCTGCTGCTTTTGTGAGAAAGCTGGAAAGTGCTCCCACTTGACGTGGCCAGTTGGTCTTCTGGACCATCGACTGTTATAGAGGTTTGTAGTTTTCAATGTCCAAAATCGTACTTTGACGGACTTGACACGATTGATGGCTAAATAACACTCCATTACGAATTGTAGGCCAACTCAGGCCCTGTAAGTGTAAGTTGTTCACGTTCAATTCCATAGTGCCACTGCTCTGAATTGTGACGAGACAAGGATGAGTATGCATCTTTTCTATTATTTCTATGCAGCTGGCTGCATATATTTATTTTCATTTACATCGTAATCCTTTTGTCTGTTTTGTTTTTGTGACGACTGTTGACAACCCTGATTTTCATACAAGTGAATGCCCATTTGTGCTACACAGCTTTGAGTTGCTACTGTGCTACTATGCACTATTTTCTTGCAGCAAGGAGTCTGGATAGTAAAAGTCCACATGAAAACTGAATGGTTACTATTAAAAATTACGAATTTCCGGCCCCTGTGTAATGCAGATAATACTACAAAGTGCAAGAATTCTTGCAGGCCATAAGTTACCCTGGGGTACTCTGTGACCTGTCAGAACCTGCTCTGCCGGGTTGCTCAAGTCAGGAAACACAATAGCACGGAAGGAGATCCTCTTCACGTTGGGATTAAGTACACACAATCGGGCCAGGCTATTTCTAGCATTAGACCAGGTGGGTTTGAGCCTGGTACTTTCTCTTCATTCAGGCAGTTTTCCGGCTCAACAGCTAGGATGACCACTCTGGAACTGGCATCCCTGGAGGGATTCCCCACTGCACAAAGAGTGCTCAACATTACGATGTCCTTGTTACATACACTCAATACTGACACGCAGAGCTTGCTTGTACTGCGGAGTATATAGACCAGAATGTGCAACTCCGAGCAGTACGACTGAGTTTGGGAACGCGGTATTGAGCGTTTACGTCATGGAAGCCATGATTCGTACTATACTATTAATCTACATCATTGTGAGAATCAAATCTGGTGCCTGGCGAGGAAAAAGTGTAGTATGTCACAGTGTCGTCCTGTGTACCATAATAATTATATTTATTTTACTTACCTTCGTCCTTATATCAAGAGTACAAAAGCTCCCTTACTCTTGCTTATAGTTGTAGTGACTGAGCTGATACAGTGCATGTTTCTATCTGAAGTATGCAAATGACGAATTCCACTTTCAAGTGCAAGTCCTGCCTGTTGGTTGAAGTTTACTACAGCACACACACACACAATAATATCTACTGTATGAAATTCCATTCATGACACAATGTACCCACTGCACTTTGTGGAATGATGTGTAAGGGGATGGATAAGAACTGCAGTACTGCTACAACTATCATGTGAATAGATTGGCAGCTACTTCAACTACAGCTAGCTATGTACACTACTTCAAGTACAGCATGTACACAGCTGTACATGTACTGCTACTGTCTATAACAGTCTTGTCCAATCCATTTTAGAAGGTATGCAAAAAGTAACATGACGCCAGCATAGTGTTGCGAATGCATAAAATAAAACATGACGGCTACGAGTAGTATGATCATAATACTAATATTACGATGGACGCAGCATTGAGCAGGTGCTACATTTTCTTCATAATCATGCTGATACTTTACTGGTGAGTTCTTTAGCTCATAGAATAAAAAATGCCGCAAGGTCAACAAGTGATAAAAGAGAAGTATTTAGGGTCTTCAAAAGCTCTCTCTTTCAGTACGTGTAAGTCAGCTGTAACTGGACCACCAGCAACGATGACCAAGCACGTACTAGTCTGAGGTAACTTAGTTGCTGCCATCTACAACATCCAGAGCTAGCTGTTGGATGCAATCGATGTGCTCACCAAGCACAGATCAATCTTAGATGAACACTTGGCTGGAATGCAGTTGGTTCGTGAATGGCGTGATGGCATACTGGGACGCAAAATACGTGATCAGACCCAGAGTGATGGATATGGGCAGGGCAGGCAATGCTTGCTTGAAAATCGCCAAGAGAAGAAGGGTCAAAGCCAAACCGATAAGGATGGCCAATACACAGCCCAGAATGATGTTCCAGTCACCATTGCTGTCAATTGTGGCACGACCGACAAGAATACTATAGAAGATGAAGTCACCAAGACCTAGCTTTGCGCCTGATTCTTCTTCTTCCTCCTCTCCGTCTGTTGTTGCACCACCGGTGGTACAGGATTCAATGTGCGAAATACCCTGGTTGCTTCGCGCCTCGCCATCTTCATCATCATCGACATCCAGGTCAGCCATGGTCACCGTCCACATCATCGTGGAAGAATAGATGAGCGACTGCAGAAAGCCTTCATTGCGTGTGGTTGCTATGTTCACCAGCAACTTGAGCGGCCCATATGGACAGAGGACGGCCGCCAAATCGTACAAAGCCATCCCAGCCAAGAGAACCCAGGCAGTCCATACAGGCAAGTACTGTAAGAAAGCACTGGCCACCATAACACACGACGCTACCAAAGCAACTTGCTGCACAACTAGTGGACTCTTCCAGAAGATTGCCAGCATGCCCGCAACGGACAGATTGAACATGACAAGTGAAATTGTTATTAGATCAACGTATGTGTTCGACTCTTTGATCACTTGTGCCACATACACAAATCCCAATCCAGCCAGCAACATCAAACTGGCGAAGAACAGGTAGCCATACAGGAAACAGTAGCACTCATAATAGTAGAGCAAGACCACTAGAAACGTCACTGCTGCAAATATACACACCACGATGATGGTGTTGACGATTGCCTGGCCGAATTTCGTACCGCCGGATATATCACCTTCTTCGTGAAAGGGAACGTACGGCAAATACGTGCCTTCATTCGCCCCAAATGCAGGCACTGTCAACAAATTGGCCACGACTAGGATCATGCAGACTGTCACTGGCATCATCAACTGCAGAAGATTTTTAGCTCCATATTTGAGCTCCATTTCTTCTTCAGCGTTGGTCTCAGCAGATTGCGCCCTCTGCAGATCTTCTCTCTGAGGCTGGCGTCTTACTTCAGGCTCCGCCATGCTGGAATAATAAATGACAAGAGCCGACTAAGAACCAGAATTCTTCCGGCTGAGGCTTCTTTGTCGACCACAAAGATCTGCATCGATTGCGAACCCACACAAAAAGTCAAATAATTACTGCATTTTCCTTTCACATTTTCCGTTCGCTTTCTTGAAAATATTTTCCGTACCGGGTCACGTCATCAGCTCAGGCAGTCTAGTCGTACATAAACCAGGCCAGCAGGCCAGTTGTACAGGCCGGCCAGGGGCCGGCAGGGAGCCCACACGTACGTACGTGCACACGTAGATATCTAGATTATGTACACGTAGACGTATATGGCTCCCTGTTACAAACCAGGGTATTTTACTACTCCCTGGTACGAACCCCTGGCTGAATGTAGGTTCGTACCGTACATACCGTACTCTCGAGATAGGGCGGTATTTACTACTCCTGCTCCGATCCACTGACCCGGTGCAGTGACCATGTGACGTTTGACCCTGGACTCGAGGTCAAAGGTCAAAACATGGGAAGTGCTTTCAGCTTTTGGAGGACACTGCTTTTTGCGGTGATGGTGGTTATCAGAACACTAAATTTAGTCTGAAGAGAGGCCAATGTCAAGAGTGCATGACCCATTGTACTCTTGCTAATATGCAATTGTGATCCAAACACATTGGAGATATTGCACCTACCTTGTAGGCTGACAATAACTGTATAAGCATGCTTATGCAATCAATGGAATAGGAATACTGTATAGCAGGAAATTTTCGGACGGAAATATTTTCGGACAAAGCCGAATTTCGACATTTCGTACGGATTTTATTTTCGTACAGTGGTGCATGCTAAATGCACTTGTTTGCTTGCGGTACGCATGTATAGTGTACATAACTTCACAGGAACAAATTTTAGTACGGAATTAATTAAATTTTAGTACAAAAGAGGGCGTGTACGAAATCGTACGAAAATAAATTCCGTCCGAAAATTTCCTGCTATAGTAATATGTCAGGGTGCTGCATTGCAGCAGGATCTATAACTGTTGGAAGAGTCTTGTCCATGCCAACGAATCAAAAAAGAAGTCCTTGTAACGGTCACTCAATCTCTCGGCTTATTCCGATCCATCTTCCTCATGTTTGCACTGTCTTCACTTCGTCAATCGTACGCTTGGACTAAGTTGGAAAGGAGGTGTACTTTGCAATGTTGTCTATGTGCGAAGAGCTAGATGAAACCAGCTGGTTTTGATTTAGTACCCATTTTGCGTGTGTCTGTGGAAGAAGACCATCGTACTACATGAAGAGTAAAGCAATCAGCCGGTCACATCTGCAGCTTTTGGGTGTTTCTTCCGGCAAAGATGTCTCAGTCTGGAGCACAACGCCGCACCAGTGATGTCCTGAAACTTGCCGACGTTGCGCTTGGCGATGAGGGTCACACTCCAGCAGCAATACAGGAGCACATTGGCCACTGTCTCGGTACTTACGAACGTGACGAGATCTCCAAGTACACGGGTATTTACTTCGTTGGCCTGTCAGCTCCTAAGATCGAACCTTCGTCTACAAAAGGTGAGAAGAACTATAGCTTTGACGATGAGCAGAATTGTTATCGTGTCGTTGTCAATGACCATATCGCTTATCGCTTCGAAGTATTGTCCAGCTTGGGAAAGGGAAGCTTCGGACATGTCCTGAAAGTGTACGATCACAAGCTTCATAAAGAAGTAGCGCTAAAGATAGTGCGGAACGAGCCAAGATTTCATCGGCAAGCAAAGGAAGAAGTTCGAATCTTGAGCACCCTTCGGAGACTAGACAGGAATGATGAGTTCAATGTTGTTCACATTCTCGAATACTTCCAATTTCGCAGCCATTTCTGCATCACCTTTGAGCTTCATGATATCAATCTTTATGAGTTGATTAAGAAACATCGCTTCCAGGGCTTCAGCTTGGAGCCAGTACGCAAGTTTGCGAAGGGAATATTGTCCTGTTTGGTACTCCTGGAGAGCAACAGAATCATTCACTGCGATCTGAAACCAGAAAACATCCTCCAGAGACGACCTGGTAGAACAGCGATAAAAGTCATTGATTTTGGGTCCAGTTGCTATGATGATCAGATTCGATACACTTATATCCAGAGTCGATTTTACCGTGCACCTGAGGTTATCCTTGGTATCAAGTATGGCATGCCAATCGACATCTGGAGCTTTGGCTGCGTCCTGGCTGAGCTGTACACAGGAAGACCACTTCTACCTGGTGAAGATGAAGCAGATCAGATGGCTCTCATGATGGAACTCCTCGATGTCCCGCCAGATGATGTTATGCAGGAGGGAAAGCGGAAGAAGTACTTCTTTGAGGATCAAACCAACCTGCCGAAATATTGTGCAAAGAGAGATTCATCAACTGGTTCTGTCAAGCTGCTTCCTGGCAAGTCCAAGCGAGGAAAGACTAGAGGTGTTCCAGGTAGTAAAACTCTGTCAGCTGCATTACTTGGATGTCAAGATGCAGAGTTTCTGGATTTACTTTCCAAGTGCTTGAAATGGAGGGCAGAAGACCGGATAACTGCCAGCCAGGCATATTGCCACCCCTGGATTGGTGGGGCACTGAGAGTAGTACACCGGCGTACCCTAAAGGAAGTCTCAGACAAGCCCGCTGATGTAGTGAAGGACAACAACCCTAACAGTGGCAAGCGCCACAGAAGCCAAGACAAGCCTGCTGATGTGGTGAAGGAGAACAACCCTAACAGTGGCAAGCACCACAGAAGCAGCAGCCACAACCGCCATAACAGCAGCAACACCGTCAATAACATCATCAGCAAGTCAAAACGAAAGCACAGGCATCTGGGCAGCAAGAAAAGCAAAACATCTCATATCGTCTTACCAGTCACTTCTCTGAAGGCAAATGACATTCAGGTCAAGAACAAGAAGAGTGATCTGCTGGATATACCAGGAAAGAAGTCAAAGCGCAGGAGATCCATTACTCTTCCATCGCTGACGGAAACCGATCTCATGAAGGTTGATAGCCAGAAACTGAAACAGTTGTTGATGCAAGAAGACCAGGAAAAAAGGGCTCTGCGTACCAACAACGCCAACTTGCCGAAGCCCATTCCCATGATGGTGTACAGTGAGGTAACTGTTTAGTGGCACTGAACTTGCTAAAAGAGGCCTTACCTAGGCACTTCCATGCAATGCTTAGCTCGAGTTGGGGCAAAATTCCCAACTAGACATCCACAGCAACTATAATAGTATTTACGTTTTGAGAATTTCTTACATTTTCTGCTGGACACACTTCTATAAGTATTTTCATTAATTTTCTAATCCAATCCTTATCATACATGGCGTTTTGTTATTGGCCCACCCTTGTTTCAAACAAGGACTTTGGGAGAGTTTTGTAATAGTATGGTAGCGAGCTCATCACGTAGTATGATAGTATAATCTTGTATTGCAGTAGCTGGATCTACTCATACTGTCAATTCAATAGCTCTCTTTTATATCACTAGAGCACATTCCTCAGACTACTAGTTTATTTATCTGTACACTGACATATTTTCAGCGAGATTATTCTCGAGATTATTCTGTTGACAATTATATTCTTGTTTTTCACATAGTCACTTCATATCGCACGTGGTCACTTCATGTCACACATAGTCACTTCATGTTACACAACCTTTCATAAGAAGAAAGGAATTTGAGCTGACAACCTTTCATTCTATTCTTTATCGAGAACTTGTACGATGTCATGTTACTCATATACCCTCTATGTGGGTTGTTGCTGTTGTTGTTTATCTTATTTGATTTGCACATGGGTCGCAAAGCCTTTCCTTCCAAGCATAATAATGCTGTTGTGTGTGTGTGTGTGTGTGTGTGTGTGTGTGTGTGTGTGTGTGTGTGTGTGTGTGTGTGTGTGTGTGTGTGTCTTCGCTGTACCATGCACGACAGACGCTTGGAGTGGCTTGGGCACCTAGATCGGCTTGATGACAATCGGTTACCCAAGCAGTTGCTCTTCGCTCATCTCCCACGAACCCGCCCGTTTTGCGGCCCCCAACATCGCTGGAAGGACGTTGTCCAGGCTGATCTGACTGTGGCCGGTATGCACAATTGGTTCCAATCGGCCAACGATTGCGGAGAGTGGCGTGACATAGTGTCGGCAGCAGCGGGGTGAAGGAGCCTGCCCCGAAGACGATTGTGTGCCACGTTTGCGGCCGCCTGTTTCGTCGGCGCGCCGACATGGCCCGGCACAAGTGCACAGCAGTCCGACAGCTCCCTGTACCACAGCAGCCTGGGTCAGTGCAGTGTCCTGCCTGCAGTAGATGGCTCCGGAGCAGGGGTGGGCTTGTAGTGCATAAGTGCCAAGAGAGTGACAACTGTGACGACCGACCGCCTAGTGATGCTCCTCCTGTTGCCGAGGTCCCGGGGTGTACTGCCTGCCAGCGTACTTTCAAGTCTACTGCTGGCCTCAAGCGCCATCGCTGTGGACCCCGCCCGAAGCGCCCTACAGTGACTGATCGCCAGCACTTTGAACATCATTGCCGAGTCTGTAATCAACACCAGTTTCGGAGGCGACAGGACCTGGAGCGCCATTTGAAGCACTGCCTACCTCTCCCCTAACCTCTCTGACAGTACCTCCTTTTGGGGAGCGGCGTGGCCATTTCTGGCAGCTGTAGTAGTAGTAGTAGTAGTAGTAGTAGTAGTAGTAGTAGTAGTAGTGTGTGTGTGTGTGTGTGTGTGTGTGTGTGTGTGTGTGTGTGTGAGAGAGAGAGAGAGAGAGAGAGAGAGAGAGAGAGAGAGAGAGAGAGAGAGAGAGAGAGAGAGAGAGAGAGAGAGAGAGAGCTTCTGGATGATTTTGGAGTGCAGTGTAGTCAAGCTATGACGAGATAATGACTAACGGTCCATCAAGGTAACGAGATATTATACAGTCAGATAGTGCGACAAGGAGGCACAACACTGACAGGGATATTGAGACATTCAACGACCTGACACCGACACCTAGCTCCAATACATCTTTACTAACCTGAGCCTTTCAGTTGGAAGGTTATTGGTTTGTGCCTCATAGATGTGTTGGAGCTAGGTGTCAGGTCGTTTTAATGTCTCAATATCCCTGTCAGTTTTGTGCCTCGTCGCACTATCTGACTATAATAACTCATTACCTTGGTGGACTGTTAGTCGTAACTCGCATTATTAGTGTTGTTTTACCTACACTGTAAGGAGGGGGGGGGGAGAGAGGGGCATTGCAGTCGAATAAGTAAATACATGTACACTGCCACTGGGATGGAAGAAACTCAAACAATTGGCAGAAGTACACAAAAGTATTTCCGTATGCGGCGGACAATTCCATCAATTCTGCTCCTCTTGATTCTTTATCGATAGTCAGACAACACGTAGCATCCCAGAAAAAGTACAAGTTTCTACTGATTATAATAAAAGCGCGTATGAGTACTTTGTGGCATTAGTCTCAGTGAGAGAATGGATATCTGTCCGAGTCCCTGTGAAATGGCGATCATTCACGTCAGCAATGTGAATCCTGCTGTAAGCGAGGTGTCGCCAGGAGCAGCGGGAAGGGGGACAGGATATCCACACTGTGGCGGTCTGCGCCATGTATACATGTAGTCCGTGGCGGATGTTGATATACACCGTACACAAATCATACATGAACCATCCCAGGAATGCATCAACATGTTGCTGATTTTCTGCCAGCAGTATGCAACAAGCTCTACATGTGCCATTCACTCACGATGTGTTATAGAATCAAGCATGCTCTGGAGCTTGACAAAGTTTGTACTGGTACATGATAATGAAGAGTCGAACTATCATCGTATGACTGTCCTTTACATCTTTCGGAAGTTTCCAAGTAGCCAAAAGTGATGTCAATCCAGTCCAGCATGATGAGTCGATAATGTCAGTGGTGAGATAGAAATGCACATGCACAGTCCATGCAATAATCCTCTTCATGTACCGGTATTTGCCCCGTGAGTTTCACCACTGCGCAGTACTGTAAACCCGCATCACTCTCAGCAGATTTTGTTGCTTACATGTAGCACAGGATCGATGCCTGGGCTGACCAGACAAGTTGAACGTTATCTTCTTGACCTTGAATGTATTCACTAAGTGAAACAATCCCCAGAACCGGAACTGACCGGAGACTCTTTGATTGCTCAACACTTTGAAAGTAACATACATGTAGTAAAAAATATATCAAATCACCTTGAAGAAGATCCCAGCTTGGGTTCACATATGCTTGAAATACAAGTATTGTCATGATATGCAGACTGAAAGTCGACAACAAAAATATAGGGCAGGATAGAGGTCAGTAAGAATAATTATGTACATCACTAAAATAACACTAGTCAAACAAATGTTGGTACATATACACGCATGCAGTTGAAGGCTCAGCAAAATGCAAGACTCACAGCAGCAAATGAGGGAGTAACTCTAAAATAGACCAGTCCACGTTGAGTAAAAACAAAATAATAAGAAAAGGACGGACAACTAGCAATATCTAAATCCTAATGGCAAAACATGATAATCTGATTTTAACAGATCACCTGCAGCCACAATCATAGTGTTCACTGTACTTTGGCGGCTTGCATGACATGAGTGGATGGTCATGATGAGGCATCCACTTTCTCCATTTCTTTCATGATGGCGCTCTTGATTGCCTCTGTTGCGCTTTTTGCATGGGGAATGAGGAAACGTTGGGATGAGACAATCTTCTCAAGGGTACCAAAACGCAGAGTGATGAGCTCTGGATACTTCTTCTTGGACGTGATCTTGACAATGGTCATGAGCGGGTGCTGCGAATGCAACTGTGCCCAGCCACGCCGATCAGGCAGTTCTCTTAGGACAAAGAGACGAGTTTGAGTGAGAACGAGCCGTGCAGGCACCATGTAACCATCAGGCTTCATCTCGCTGCACTCAAAGCAATGCGTGACATCCGACCGATGGCTGAACGTGTCCACGTTGACGGTAGGCCGGCGTGCTGCAGCCTCTGTGTCACTCTCGCTGGCCGAGCGGCTATCGCCGGGTGGATGCTCAACTTCCTCATCGCCGCCAATGCTGAAGAGCGGCTCTGAGTTACGATAGTGGCGCGTTGTGCGATCGTTGTGCGACACATGGCGGCTAGTGGCGGCTGGTCCTGCACCTGGCTCACCACCCTCTTGCATGGACTGATAGAGACGATCACGTAAGTCTGTTGTCTTGCCACGGACTGCACCGAAAAACCTGCCCATCACAGATCCAGCTGGCTTTGTTGCATCGGTGTCAGATGTGGAAGCTGGAACAGGGTCGGCTTGTGGTTTAACACCCACAGGGACATACACGATGGGCTCAATTCCATCATCGCTCTCCAGCACGTCCTTTACACGACTGGACATTTGAGATGCGAGAGCAGCATATCCACCACGGGCAATACTGACATACATGGTGTAGCGCTGCAAGAAATGAGCCACAACCATGTTCATGTACTGGTCGTCTTCCTCTTGCCCAGAGCTAATAAAGCACCAGTGTTCGTTTGCACCTCGCTCCTTATGCTTGGCCTGCAACTCCACTACCAGTTCATAGAACTTGGTCAGGTCTTGAAGCATTAGTACAGAATTCAGGTGATGAGCACCACGCAACCGCCCTGCTTCATACTGATCCAGAGGCCGGCAGTCGATAACAAAGTATCCAACAGCATCTTCAGACGCCTTCTGGTGCCGCATCGATGCTAACAAGTCGGTGAGACCTACTGGAAGACACAGAGCTTGCGATATAGGACCATCGATAGTTGACGGTTTGCCAGGGCCAAAGAGAGGGGCATGATAGTCCATGCGAAACGACTGCGGAGTTCTGGCAGCATAGTGCTGGGCAAGCAAGCAAAAGTCATCAATGTCCTCTCTCTCAAGCTGGCACGGAATACCTTTCATAGTCTCGACTAAATCAGCTCGTGACGTGTCCTGGCCGTCCATCAGAATCTCCTTTGCGTTCACAAGTGTAACCAGTGCTAAGAAAAATATGAGAAAAGGATCCGCTTCAAGCAGATATACATCCCACATTGCCATCACCACATCAAGGCCACATGTAGCTACAAACAGGCTTCGCAGCCAATGCTGCAAGTAGCGGTCTGGCGTGATGCGCTTCGTGTCCAGGAACGCACAGAGCTCTGGTTCGTGATACAGCAGCAATAAGCGGAATAGGTGGAATGGCCTACCATCGCGACGGCATTCCCGTGGCACGTACTTGTGTGTGAGAGCATACAGGACGTTGTACATATCACCACGTGAACAACGGTGTGCTGCAATGGGCAAAAGCAGCTCTGCCCAGCCATTATCCGGTCGAAATCTGACATTCCTAGACTTACAGTAGAAGGTAAGAACAGCTTTCATGTCTTCAGCAACTGCACATCTATCTTCCTCACTGATCTGTAGCTGCTCAGCCTGCGTGGAGCAGCGAGCACTAATGGCTTCCCGGTCAAGGCAGTCCAATGAGCCATCCCAGTTGGCCATTGCGTCTGGCTTTCGAGCCACACCGAGAGCCACCTTCCATACGTCAAATCGCAGGTCGTCAGGAATATGCTGAACATGATTGGCGCAAAGGTCATGCAAACTCGAATAGTCGGTGTTCTCCTTCAGTGCAGACCTCAGTCTTTCCACCCATTCCGTTACATCCTCTTCAACCTCCTCTACATCGACCGTATCATCGACAGCAGAGGCGGCTTCCGCCATAACTCCCCCAAGCCAACACTTTCTAACCTCAGGTAAACCTGCATGTGAAGCTTCGAAGACGGAGCGAAGGCTGAATTTTTTGATTGTGTTCGAATGTTGAGAAGCTAGCTAATGATACATGTACATGTATACAGGCGAAAAAAGAAAAAAAATGAAAGAAAAAGTTCAAGAGTAGATCTACGTCGAGTGGGCGCGCTAGCTGCGCATCTCCGGCTCCAACGTTGAGTCTCTGGAAACAGAGGCCATGGCAACGGCCTGTGAAGGAACGCCATGTTTACCATGTGAACAAGAAAATGGCGTCGGATCTGCAGAGCTGGAGCTGCCCGAGCCAGGCGCTAGCCCAGGAGAAGCCCGACTTTTGTTTTGAAGGGAAAAAAATCTACAGTACTGTGCTATCAAATCAAATCCTGTAGTACTTTTGGCTGTTGCCTGTTGGCCATGTGCGACCTGTGCTTTCAGTTGTAAACGACACAGAGTAAAGTCTTCGAAGCTCCACATTTATCGGGGCTTTGTAGTGGAACATCAGAATGTCGTCCTTAGCTGCACAGCTGAAGCAACTTTCAACACCAGGCAATCTTTCATTTCGGTCAGCAGCTCGTACGAAAACACCGTCTTTGTTATTCAGTGAAGATGAAGCTGCGGATTTGGATTTGGAGACCTTCTACGCCCATGGCATAAATGGGCTTGATGAGTTGATCAATATAAATCCAGGCTTCCAGTCTTATCAGGGAACTCTGTTCGGAGAAGCATCAAAGTCGTTTGAGCGAACTCTTCAGACTGCTGAGAACAATCAGAAGCTTGACGAAGAAATCTGGAAATTTCTCCTGGAAGTCTCTCCTTACATTCTATTGAAGCCAGCGCAGAAAGCACTGGAGTGGCTCGTGCATACATTCAGAGTCTATGCTTACAACACAGATGCGTTGGTAGCATGTACTCTGCCGTATCATAACACTGCAGTGTTTGTGCGTGTGTTGAAGCTGTTGCCTTTGAAAAGTCCGACATCACGATGGCACTGGCTACGCTCAGCACAGCGCGCAGAGTCACCACTATCTCGATTCACGATCCTTCAGCAATGCCAGTCTGTACCGGCTTTCTTGCAGTTCATCTGCGATGTTGTTGAGCGTGCTGTGGGCCCATCCACATCTGGGTATAACACACTGGTGGCATTCTACACCAGTTTGTGTGTTGGCTTGCTAAATGGTGGTACGTTGGTGACAGAGCAGTTGTTGACGCAAATTGTTCCCAGCTGTGTCAAGAGCCTACGGAGCAATCATGCAGAGCTGAAGGCGGGCGCATTCATGATTGTTGGTCAGCTGGTAGTTCGAGCATCACTGGAGCCTAAAGTCGTAGAGACACTGGTTGACTGTATCTGCCGTCACATGCAAGCTGATATGCTGCTTTCTGCAATGGCATGCCTGGTGTGCGTCTTTCAGACGCAAAGTGCAAAGTTTAGCAAACGCTGTGTGAGAGCGCTCTGCTACCAGCCTGAAGTTGTATACAGCATTGCACAGCTGGCTTCATCACATGACGTATCCGCTCTACTTGCTAGCTTCCTGCCAAGTGTTCTAAAAGCTGCTCTTTCTCGACTATCATCATCGTCATCGCCTGCCTCGGACAGTGACACAACTGTGCGTGTCGGAAAGGCCGACTACTTCTCTGTAATCATGGAGGCTATCCACATTCTACCATTGGAAGCCAGCCTTGCTGGGGTGCTGGGAAGGTGAGTTTGCTGGATACTGTGGCATCGTAGTCTTCTCAGATGGATGCTACACTGTATGTATTGCTTTACTACAAGCAAGTGTTCTGAGTTGAATACTGTAAGACATGTTATTATAAGCGACGCTTATTATAACGAGTCGCCAAGTTAATCCATAGATTGACGAGAAGATACGTTAACAATCTTGCAGTCTTCAAGCAAGTCCGCATATAAGATATGAGCCTGGATCAGCAAAAACCATCACATGTGCAAAATTTTCGAAAAATATTTTGTGCTCCAAATTGATCCACAACCACTGATAACCAGTCTCAAGAAATTTTAGATCAATCACAGCACCGTAAGTGACCAAAAAATGCGGTACACCACATCTCTGTACAAATGTTGGAAGTGGCATTTCTGTGTAGGATGCAAGTATGAGCATTGGTATGTGTCTGATCCTGTTAGGCATTGCCATCACTCAGCCGGCTAACAAGGAGGAATTTTATAGTCCTGGGGGGGGGGGGGGGGGGTGTACTCAGACACTGGCTCGTCCAAGTAAATCATTGGCTTCACTGACTATCGCGCAGCTAATGGCATATGGCCAAGTTCCAGGGGCTGATATTGCATCCACACCAGGCTCTGTACTGATGCTCTCCAAGCCCTTCACTTCCATGAAAACATATCTGCACACACGGAGTGCAATCACAGCAACTGTGACTACTTAGCACACAGGCTCATGAGCATGAGGTACGTACTAGGTGCAGATACATTCAACGGTTACCTGACCCTACAGGAACATATTTTTTGAAATATTTTGGGAGCTGCTGCATGGACCAAATAAATGTTTCAAGTAACGTTGCTCAGTGTCCAAGCCAACGAAGCAGATCTTGTCTGGCGCTAGCTCTCGTTGCTCTTCCAGTCGTGAATCGAGACGCCTTTGCTCTGCATCGTCACTGTCGATATCCGACAAACTTACTAGTGAAGGAGTCGTTCATCGCTCAACAATATCCACTCGAGTCGTCGTCATTCTCATCAGCGCTGCTTTCTTCTACACGAAGTCTGCAGCCTCGCCGAGTCGCTTTGCGGCAGGAGAGAGTCGTCCTCTGGAGCTCCGCGGCTTTCACCTGACTCCCTCGATGAGCAATCGCCATCCCAGTCATCACCAAAAAATGTCGTGTCGTGATTGGCGTCAACGACGATCGATGCGCGTGCGATGCTCGCGCCCCGCGATCGTACCTATTCGCCAGCCAAGCTCAGGTACGTGGGGTTTCCCAGCCGTGTCTCCTCACTTGCCTGGGGCTCGCCTAGCTAGCTAGTCACTGACAAACAAACAAACACGGGCTTGTCAGGCGGAAAGAAAGACTAGTGACAAGAAAGACAGAAAGGTGGTGGGTAGTTGTTAGGTCCGCGACTTTTCTTTCGCTCGACTTCAACGTCACTTTTTGATCAACTTGATATCAAACACAAGCGATGGTTTTCGCTGATCCGGGCTCATATAACACATATGAGGCATTGCAGCCTAAACAGAACTTATTATAACGACGAGATGTCACCCATCAAAACGTTAGATTTACATGTCTTACAATAGGACTAGAGGTGTTGGTGCTGCTACTGCTCGTACTGCGGGTATGACAAATATCACCGAGGGTGTTTTAAAAGCGGTTTCCAGTGTCTTTTAGAATTCAACGTCTTCCGTGGCCAACTCTAGCAACTATATTTAAATTGAGTGAATCTAGATTAAATTAAAATATGGATGCAGCGATCAGGATTTTAGGTCTTTGACCCCTTTGTGGTGGGCCTGATCTGCTCACCACCCACCACTTTAGGCGCTGCGTCTGCTTCTTGATTCTTGAGGGTAATGACGTTCCTACGGATGCAGAAATACAGTCTGACTGAGGGTGCATTCGAATTTTCTCTAGCTTTTCGAAAAAAAAATCCTGGAAGTCGAAGAAACTGAAAATATTTGTTTTTGAGAATGAATACACCTAATATCCGAAATAGTACACAACGCATGAAGGGAAATGCATGGTAAAGAATTGCAGTTACAAGTGACAGTACCAAAAGTTGTTACCATGGCATTGCGTTGCAATACAATGTTGCGGCAGATTGACCTAGTATTTGTACATGTGCTAAAGTAAGTGGCATTGAACCTAGACTCCTGAATAAGGCAGGGTCAGGGGTTTTGTAGCCTTACTTTGTATGTCATGTATTGTGCATGTCCACTGTACATGTAGTTCCTGTAGATCCATGAAAAATTTCAGTTGCGGGCCAGGGCTGGTTTCCCTATTGTGAAGGCGCATGCGTACCAAGAGCTGAGTGAGGCACACCATGTCCTTGTTCTTGTGCGTGACATACTTAGTAAATGTGTGAATGTGACTATTATGTTTTGTAGGGTTGTCATTGAATCCTACATTGAAAATAGTCAGTCTTCATCAGCAGCAACGGGTGGACAGCACACGACAGAAGTATCCGACAAGTATGCACAACTCAGCCGTGCACTGAATCAAAGGTAAACCCACCACCATTAAATGTTGGATTCCAGTTTTGTGATGCTGTCGTGCCGCTTGCTTTGCCTGCCAGTCTGCATGTGTGTCACTTGCCACTTGCTGATACAAGCATTCAGGCAGGGAGTAGTAAACGATTTGCTATCGGTCCATCCAGTTTCCATCCTTCGTTTTCCTCCATTGCCTTGCATTTGATTGCAGCTTTGAAATGAGCCATGAGTTAAATCTCTCAGTTTATCTTTACGCACTCGTATACGTTGGATTGCCAGTACCACACAGGCACATGACTTTCTTCAGAATGAATTCTTTCCAATCCACCCTTGGTCAGCGACAACCAGTATTGCACCGCTGCTTCTGGTTGAATGTACATGGTAGTGTGTTTGCGTACAAGTGTCGTACACTTTTTCAAGAACTTGCACACTGCACAGCAGCTATTCGTACATTATTCAGTCTCAACGCAGACACTTTTCTAAGAACTTGCACTCTCCACCGTAGTCATTTCGTCATTTACACGTCACTCAGTCTTAACACATGAAAGAGCGCTTTGAGGAACAGGGCAGAGAGGCACGAATTCAAGCACTCTTCACACCACGGGGAGAGCACTATGCATAGCAACACTCACATCAAGCTGGCACCTCCACACCCATCACCTATGCATCGATTCTCGCCACACTGTCGTCCCTTGTCAATCATTGTCTGTGTGAAGCAATGTTCCTTTGTGATGGGCATCCTAATAACTTACTGTAGCTGGAGACTGCTGGACATGTGTGAAGTATGTTGGTGGCGGAATCGACTTTGCCATTGGTGTTAGACATTTTGCACTTGATGGCACAGTTCTATATGTGTGTTATGCGTGTATGACATTGTGTTATATTTTTGTGCTAACATGTGTAGTACTTCGCAGCACTGTGTCTTCACCTTCGTCTTTGCACTTCTGGCTCCAGTTTCACGTCATTATTTATTTGACACCGGCGTCCAAACACAAACACAGCTCTGCACTTCTCTCCGCTCCCTTTTCACCAGCTCTCTTTCTCTCCACACCTACACACTAGCTGGCACATTTCTCTTCATCATCCACTACTCTATCACACTTGGCGGTTTATCTATAAACATGACATTGTCTTGGTTATGAAGTTGGTTGCTCCAACGACATGACATGACATGACATTACCGCCGAAGTCGCAACTTCTAAGTTCGTATTGTCTTGGTTGGTGAAGAAAGTGTCTTAGCTCGTAATGTCTTGGCTGTTTGTCTTTACTTTGATTGTGCACTCTGATGATGGGCCGGGCCCTGAAATTTGGTGAAGAGCAGGATGTTTCAGCAGCAGCAGAGAGACCATTGGGTGCAGGGCCGGCGGAACCGGTCAGGCTGGTCCGGCCATGGCCGGACCACTTTCCCAGCTGGATGGTCCATGTGATTAGTGCAAACCCGGTGTAAAAAATCCAGAGGTACATGACTCGACTGTACTGCCGACGTGTGATGTGCTTCGAAGTAGCTCAGGACTCCGTGACCGGCACTGTATGGCTTTAATGATATGGATAAAAAAAAGTTGTGTTTGTGTTCTTTTACTATAATGTTCTGCATTTTCTGGAGCCTTCAGAGATGCCCAAATTCGCTCTATTTCACGTAAATTTTAAATATTTCTCCCGGGGGAGGTCCCCGCACCCCCCTCAAAGGTTGGCCGGACCACTCCCAAACTCCTTCCTCCGGCCCTGGGGTGTGTGTTGAGACTGAATAGCCTTGGTGCAGCTGGTGTGAACTGGAAGTGTAGCAGGAGCCAGTGTTGTATTGTACTTTCTGTCATTTGCCAGTCAACTCTCAGACTGAGAGCGGCGGTGATTCGTGTGTGACAACTGTGAATTTCTCTTGTTCTTTGTTTTCTAGGTATCCGAGTGGTATCGACCATGCACTGGCTGCTATCCTGGCTGAATTTGATGAAAATCGTGACGATGCTATTTTGGAGAAGGTTCACGACTTCATGGAGATGGCATTGTGTGGAACGAAAAATCAGGTGCAGTACTTAGTAACAGAGTTCTATTATGATAGCAGCATTTACACTGTTCTCTGCGTCAGTGTTAGATGGAAGCTGCTGGCACCAGTCCTGTTACATGTGCAGAAGATGTCTTTTTTCAAGCATTATCCTGGCTCTTTCACACCGTGATCTGATACCGTATTCTCCCCAATAAATGTACAGTCCTTTTATTTTTTTCAAAGGTGGTCAGACCTGTACTACTATAGGAGACTGTACTAGTATTGGAGACGTGTATTTTTATTGTTTCTGGAAAGATTAATTGTCTGGGTTGGGTGGTAAACAACTAGTGATAATGATACTGTAAAGCTGTAAATACATGTACATGCAACCATGGTAAGAATCAGTGTACAGAGACACAAAGATGATAAACGGGTAACGAAAACGAAGTAAGGTAGGCCCTACAGTCCATTCAGAAAAAAATGAACTTCTAGCTTTTGGCCATAAATGGGTCAAACGTTGAGTTTTTTTAGAATTTTTTTCTGCAATCCCATATGGAATCCTCTTCCAATTATGTTTCTGAAGTTTTTTTGTCCAAAAAGCAAGCCATAGCAAGAATAGGATTTCGGCCAGGTTTTGCCCCAAGCGCACTGAATTGGGAAAAACCATCAAAATCCAGTCCGTTTGACCCCGCCTGCAACAGTGCATTCTGCGGTTCGAACCCCAGTTCAGGCACCCTTTTTGGACCCTTTTTCAAATTTCAAAGTTCGCAGCACTGCACTGTGTACGATGAAATCACGAAAAATCGCCAAATACGGGAGCTCGCCAGAGCCAGGACCCATCTTTTTATGAATGGACTGTAGTACCTGTACCCCAGTAATGCCCATCACACCATTCCAGCATGTACTATTATTAGAGACGTGTCCGTTTATATGTTTGATCCACACCCAACATGTACTACAATTGGAGACGTACTAGTATTGGAGACGTACTAGTATTGGAGACGTGTACGTTTAATGGGGAAAATACGGTATGCTGCCTCCTTTTCAAGTTTCTTTGTTTCTTATTGTAGCATGGTTGTGCTTCTTTCTGGTTTTCTAAGGTTCTTCTGGACAGGAATTCAGCACGAATCCTAACCCTCAACCACCCACAAGCTCCTATTCGATGTCTTGCCATTAAACAGGCCAGCCAAAGATTGAAGGAAGTAGGTCACCTTTGATACTACTGAGTGTCTGCATGCACATATTGCATTATTGGTATACATGTAGTTACTTGGAAGTACTCAATCTCCTACTTGGTAGTTACTGGACAGTACGTGTTCTCTGACTCATGCCTCATCTCTTCTTTTCCATGGAACGAGACATTGCAATACTGCCCGGCATGGTTCTGTTTCAAGTTGGCTTGACTATGCGTGCTTTTGTGCAGGCTCTGAGCCAATCTGAGCCGATTGATACGAACTTCTTTGCCAGCGCGTTTGTGGAGCGCTTGTCGGACGATGACGTCAATGTTTGCAAATGTGTCCTTGATTTGAACAAAGTGAGTATTTGTACTGCAGCCATGGTGATTCCATTGCTAGGGTTATGGCATTGTGTGTTCTTGTGGGGATTGGGAAGCACATTCTACAGGCCACCTTGTGCTTTGTTCTACCGCAGTTTTGTGTGGAAAATGACGCCGCTGATGTGTGGATTGTGGCAATTTTTGTACGAACGCTGGTCCTCACAATTTGCTTTTATTTCTTTTTGACCATTTCTTTACTTTGTGCAAGTACATACAGTCATGTCGTATCTGTCCTTGTATGTATGATGCTACACACCATCAAGTTACCATTGCACATGCCTTTGAAAGCTAACTTGCTGCAGCATGCACTTCGGCTTCTTCCTCTGTGATGACTTTCAGCCATGTTGGATGTGTGTTAGTGTGAGGGAGTGAATTCCTGCACCTTGCATTCTCTGGTTGTTTCATGTGTGCAGACCTTGATCAAGTTGGTTGACTTTGATGTTTTGTGGAGGGCCTTGCTTCAATTAATCGAGCGATGCCGTGTCCAAAGTGATGAAAGCTCTTGGTAAGGACATTTCCGTTGTCATGCCATGCTTGCGAAGATATTCTGGTGCGAGTCACAGCTCTGGCTGCTATCCCAACTACTTTGATGGGCAATGCTATTTGCCTTGTTGTCTTTATACATACCGGTATCATTTTTACTTTTGGTTGTACGCTAAACTGATGTAGAGGATTCTAGATAGAGAGATTCCACAGGAATAAGCCCGGCTTTTATATGCGACATTATCGTATGCTTCAACTCAAATTACTCACTGCAGGAATAGGAGACCCTCTTATCTCCATCTTTGTACATTGCAAAATAAAGGAGCTCTGCCTTACAACAAATTTGTCACATACCAGACTGTTAAGGCGATAAATAGTATAAGCGAAGCGGATCAAGAAAATCGATTAGGAACATCAATTTTAAAAAGTTTTTTAACATACTGTAAAAGCAGAAATTTTCGGTGGTGTTTTATTTTCGGTAACTTCGGTGCCGACAATTTTTACCGAAAATAAAACGCACCGAAATTGTCGGTACACCCGATACTGTATACATGTAGCACAAGTACACTTACCTGGAGAGTGGGTTTTACCGAAAATTTCCCGCTACCGAACCGCCGATTTTGGCGAATACCGAAAATATTACACCACTGGAAATTTCTGCTTTTACAGTACATGTATTCTCATTGATCATTTCGTAATGTTCGCTTCGCTTACACTATTTATCGCCTTAATAAAGTTATTGTCTCCTCGTCGCCTATTCGTATACCAGAATGTGAACACTGCAGAGAATCCAGCAGGCACGATATCAAGCGGCGTAACTTGCACTGAACTGAAATGCAATTCACTTTGGTCGGCTAGACCTAGGCGACTCGGTTACCTGGTCCAGAAAAGTGCCCTGTGTAGACAGTTTTCCATGCTGCTTGCCATGTTTCATGTTATACAGGTGCCAAGTTGCTGGTCAAGCTGTCGTTGTAATGAGTCGTGCAGTTGCTCAAGCATCATCAACATCCCAATCTGGCCTACATGCAGTGCTCGCAATCCTGCAGCACACCTGGCTGACTCGCAGCCATACTACATTTTCCACGGCCTGTCTCCAGTCACTGGCATCATCTCTGCAGAAAGCATCAGACTCGTTTCTCTCCTCGCTGCACACTGCCGCCAGCAAAGCTTGTGAGTTGCCACGCGTGCTACAGTAATAGAACTGTTTCCCTGAGCTTCAATCTTGAAACTGTCTTGCCGGTGGGGTGGCGGATTTCCGAATATTGATGACTGCGGACGATGTCGATGACTATTCAGTATTCACAGGTGGATGCACAGGGCCTTTTTCTTTCTGTTGTTTTTGTTGTTTTAACCGCACATGGTACGTATTTTGTACGATTTTCTAGTTCAGATTGTGACTGTCCATAAGGATGCTGTAACATTCTTTTCTTTCTATTCTGCTGTATCAGTGTCTGCCCTGAAGGCATCGTCCGATGCATCTTCCCTGGCTTCAGCAAACCGTGCTCTGCTTGACTGGACTGTGACACACATCCAGTCCTTGTCATGCCCGTTCACTGATGTTGTAAGTCTACATGTGCTTCAGTTCAAGTAGTCTGGTACCTCACAGCATGGGTGAATGGCCCGTGATCTACTGCTAGTCCCAAATACAGTTGTTCATTGCCTTCTTTCTTAGTATTTCTTACTATTCACAATTTCACATGCATCTGTTCTTGTCGCAAATGCAGCAAGTGCAATCCTATCCGGAGCAGAACATGAGCAATAAGCACTCCATATGGCAGTACAGATGGGAATAATATGCTGTGCTTCTCAACATGACATGGTGCTCGTTGGCAAGGCCAAGCTGGTGCCTTTGGGCCGCATTTTGAGCTGCATGTACGTACACTATGTTTTTGTGTCTTACATCTGGTGCTTTTCGAATCTCCTGTTGTCTTGCAGGCAAAGTCTATCCGCGGCTGGTATTCCCAGGCCAACGCAGCTGAATCGCTTTGTCGACACCTGTCCTGCTTACTGCTGTGCTCGTGGCTGCGTAGTGGCAAGTCAAAGAGAGCTGCCTCTTCACTAGTGTTTGAGTGTTGTCAAATCCTTGTGGGCCTTGTTACACCACTGGTTGATGATATCAAGAACCATGCTGATCTTGCCACTCTGAAAAAGGTACGGCTTAGTTCCTATGGAGCATGGCGGACTGGTTGAATCACTGGTCGGTCGGTCCGCCTGGTCTGTTGTATAACTTTGTAGATGTACCGATTGTAGATGAGAGTAGTGATACATTGATTTAAGCATCTTGTTCCCAACTATATGGCCTTGCCTGTACTTTATTCTGGCATGGCTTTCGCAATAGTTTTGCACGTTTGAAAATTGAAATCAAAGGTCCTATTTGCCTATGATTGTGTTCCTACAGAGCAAAGAACTCCTCCAGAAAGCATCAGCCAAAGACCTGCAAGGTGTACTGCTAAGCAGTGTTGAGGCTAGTTGTGACGATCTTCATCACTGGTGGTGCACAGTGCTTGTATTGCAATGGTCTGTCAAGTCAATCACCTGCTCACTGGCCATGCCCACGCTACTTTCTGAGGGTAAGCACTAAACAGTGCGTGCACTCTAGCGATTCCTTGTAACACTCTCCTTTGCTGACTTGGTGCTTTACGTACTTCGTTCATCATAAAGCTGTGTTCACAACTGGCGTGTGTACGCGTGAAACCATGTGTCTGTGTATTTTTTTGTTGGCTTTTGGGGCGTCATGCGTATGGAAACCCGCCAAAATTGAAATTCCAACCCGTATTTTTCAGCGCGTACCACATGCCAGTTACTTTGACGGCGGGGTAAAAAAAATTAGTACTCGAAGGTGTCGCACGCCCTAAATACGAGTCTAATTGCAGTGTGTTGCTAGCATGTCTTTACTGGTGTCATCCACTGTGAGATCGAGAGATTAGAAGTTAGGGGCCGTCCGGGGTTACCGATTGTTTTTACAAAACGAAAAGTTTTAGTATTTTTCAGCCCCCACCCACCCACCCACCTTTTCTGCAGGTAAAACGAATTCCAATAAAATATTGATGTCAATTTTCGACATCCAGAAGTAACTGGGCATTCTCAATCAGCATTCAATAATTATTTTCAAAACGAAACACCATCAAACCCACCCACCCACAAACGAAAACATTTCGTTTTGAAAATATTATTGGTAACCTCGGACAGCCCCTTAGAAGTTATGATTTAAAATAAAATACTACTTACAATAGCAGTGTGGTTTGTGTATTCTCAGTGCATGTCTACACAGTCTGTCCTGGCTACAATTAGCTTTTCTCATTCCTTCCTTTGATACATGTACAGTAGGTATCGGTTATAGCGTGGGTGTTTGAAAAACGACTTTCTATTCTTATTTCCGATATTTCTTACACACGATAAATCAAGTGTGACATATCATGTGCATGTGCGCAGAGGCAGGAAGATCATCATACATACAAGGTAGTGCTACTGTGCATGTGGCTGGTCACAGTCACATAGGCTTACCATGTGGCCATGCAACATTAGTTACATGACCACAATAGTTGAACCTGCAGCACTAGGACCCAACGCGAGTCAGATCAGAACTGCTTTGGACGGATGTTATTACTACAGGCGATATACTTTGTACTGATCTGGCATGTTTCGCTACACGAAGTCCATTCTTAGGACCGATATATTCTACTGTACGATAAAATTGCTTGTAAGAATAAATATACACATGAAATCCATGTTATGATTATGAAAACATGAGAGTTCATTCTTGTAGGCAGTATATTCTTTTACACGACCACGCTATAACCGATAACCGATACGCACTGTACATTGATTCTACTTTTGGTTGCACACCCGACTGGATCGCAAAGCCTACTGAAACCCTAAAGGTCAACCTTCATTTTGTAACCAAAGAGTATGACCAGCATTGGAAAGCGAATGCACTTCAGAATCTGCGAAGAAAGACCAGAGCAAGCAACATGGTCAAGCGCTCCTGGAAAATGCCGCGTGAGTGCATATCTCTTAATTTGAAATGGACTGATGGCGGCTTCCTTTTTGGTATTGTCTTCTGTACTCTGGCTGTTCTCTTTCTTCAGCTGCCTGGTGGTGGTCGAACAGTGTTCTCAAGGAAAGCGAGGAGCATTTGTACCTTCAGGTAGGCTGGGCATCAGGGTCTGGTGCATGCCTCTTCTTTTATAGATTCCATAGACTCTAAAGTTATAAATGGTCCGTGGCGTATGTAACGCACATTGTTTCCGGTACTCCAGTGCATGTTCTGTGGTCTGGTGTTGTCTCCCTGGATGGTACGACTCCCTGGTCCAGACTTGTGCAATATCCAACAATTCCTTTGAATGCATGTCACTTGCTCTCTTTTCTTGGGGGGGGGGATATACTAGTAGCAGGTACTTGTATTGCACGATGTACTCATGTGTTGATCATAATATGTCCCACATCTTCCTTTGTTGTTGCTTTGCAGATTATCCGTGACCTACTGCCATTGTTGCTGGATGTTACTGCTTCGGTACCGCAGGCACGTTGCAAGCGCTTGTGGAGTCAGTTTTCAGAGGTATGCAGTCCACTGTCAAGCACTCTGTGTTTTTTGTTGTTGTTGTGACTGCTCAGCGGGGACTGCATGCTTTGCCCATGCTCATGGATGATTCCTGTTGGTGCCTATGGCCTGGTGTCAGTTTGTAGTCATTCTATTCAGTGTCAAGTTCGGCGGCGGCATTTTGATGGTGCTGTACTGTGTTGTATCTCCCAGAAACAAGGCAACTCTTCTCATCTTCTCAAGGCTCTGTGTATGATTTGGACGGAAGGACTTCTACCGGAGCAATGTTAGTTTAAAGCAGACTAGTTGAGCACCATTTACATGGCTGCATGATGTTTATTCCATTTTGTTATGACTTTGAAATGTGAAAATGTTCCGCTTGCCTACCATCACATACCTCTCAAGTGTTTGTATGGTGCTGCCTCTAATGGTCTCACATCTGTTGTCTTGTCTAGATGATGAGGATGACGCAGCAGAAGATGAAGAATCTAACCGAGTATGCCTGTGCGTTAGCAAAGTCTCTGATATCTTCCAGAATGAAGAAGAGCTGGAATCACTCATTGCCAGCCCATCTCCCGGTAAGAATGAAAGTAACTTGCTAGTGTGTGTGTGTGTGTGGGGGGGGGGGGGGGGCAGAGTACATGTTTCTTTGTTGTCACTTGTGCTCTAAATACTTCAACAAATTGTTGCATCAACCTATTGGCACCTGTCACGTGCGTAACATGGTCCCTAGCCCTTGTTCCACTCTTAGAACAGAACTCTCAAGCCAAATGGTCCTTTCGTACATCAAGAACTACGGTGGAAATGAATGTACATGTGCTGCCTTCGTTGATTTGAGGCAAAAGTGAATAGACGTAAACTGCTTGTAGACATTGTGTTTAGATATTGTCACTCGCACCGCTTGAGCCACATCCAGCTAGTCCTGGAGTACTTCAATTTAGGGTTACATACCAGTCATAAATAATATTATAGAATTGTTTGCTTCCCTGTGTGTGTTTTTGTCCTATACATGCAGCCATTCCAAGTCTGATCTGCAGTCTCTGCCATCATTCCGCTGATGTTCGTCAAGCAGCTGTGTCAGCGTGCCAGGCCCTGGCCAGCTTGTGTGCTGAAAAGAAGCTGACGAGCAAAGAAATCCCTCTGCTGTCGGTTGTCAACTTGGCCTGTGAATTAGTAGTACGTTCATCCCTGTGCCAGCTACCTGCATTCTGTATTATGCTGCAATGAGGCATGTTCAACAGTGTACGCAAGATCTCTTTGTGTTTGTGTTGTACTTTGCGCAGTGCCATATGCCTGTATTTGCAGTGCGTATGGGCGGAATCTTTCTGCTGTTCTATCTTGACCAGTGTGTGTTGGCGTTGCTGCACTTGCTGAGGGTGTGACTCTGCAATGATGACACGCGGTCCTGGTATTTCTATGGCAACTATAATTATTGCGCAATACATGGAGTAATACATGGAGTAATACTATCTTGGCCTGACTGTTTGTTATGCAGGTTCAGATCGGTGCCGATCCACAAGTCCTTTCAAACACGTTGGCTGAGAAAATATCTCGAGCTTCAGGATTGAGTAAGGTTGCCAAGCAGTGGTCGTCTGTCATGAAGTCGTTGGTGGAGCTTGCTGTGTGCAATACTGCTCCTCTTCATGTGAAGGTTATGCTGCTAACATGCCTGGAGAAAGTACCATCCAAAGTAAGCATACTCACCGCTGATCATTGCCTTTCTGCCTTGTCATTGACAGTATCTGTATGCTTGTATTCCATTCGCACATGTAGATTATTTGGTTTCTTTCATTGATTTTCGTAAATATTCGGAAGCTCCTTCTTTCATTGATACTTCAAATACATGTACTGGTATTGCTGGTCTTTTTCAGTGGATTGGACTGTCTTGACAATAATAGTGCACTATGCAGAGTAATGGTAAATATGCCAGGCATGTGGACTGGATACCGGTAATCCGATATGGTGGCTCAATGCTCTTGCTTGCTTATATTCTACCGCGTATGTATCAGGAATGGCTGCCATTGACAAGGGATGTAGCACTACACACTCTGAGACAGCTCTTCTCCTCAACGTCAGACAAAGGTGAGTTTACCTGTCAATTTATACCAGTATCTTTTGTAAAAATACCATTGTGATCTTAGCTCCTATACAACACATACAATATTATACATAATATACAAGCATACAGCGTTTGACTACTGTAAATCATGAATATGTAACGAACAAGTAAATCTAACGAGTTAACGAGCAAAGATTTGTCGTTATTTTAAAATTCGTTAGCAAAAGTCGTATGATTTGGGCCTCGCACGCTTGAAATCGATCATTTCACATTATGGCATGCAGCGCGTGTTCAACGGATCATAACTCGGTCAATTCTCAACGGAATTCAACAATTGAAAGATCTAGATGATAGCAGAGACGCTCAGCAGTCGGCTCGAACAACTCCGAAGTCTCTCAGATGAATTTTGCCGAAGCGGCGGGAGATCGAAAAATTTGAATTTTTGCGCTCTTACACTGGATAAATTTCATTTTCTTTATTCTTCTGACATCGAGGTATACTGTGCATGTGATGGACAACAATCATGAATGAATGTCCTTGACGAGCAGTCCTAGTATTATTGAATCTGTCTGAGAAAATCGTTAACTTTTCAAACCGTTAACCTTTAAAAATCAGAAAATCGTTAACTTTGCGGGTCGTTAAAATAATATGATTTACAGTATGCAGTGATATACAGTGGCAGTATTTGACTGTATGTTCTGGTTTGCTTTGTGTGTTTGCCAGGCTCTTCTCGCCTGGAACACGACTACCTGCGTCATCTTGTCCAGTGTCAATTGCAAGCTGCCAACATCACAAACAACAACCATCTCATTGCTCTGGAGACCATCGAGACTACTCTCAAGGAGTGCCGAGCAGCAGCCAGTGATGCTATCTCAGCTTGTGATATTGTGCTGCCAGTGGTACGTGTACTTTGTGTAGTGACTTGTCCTGCCCACTGTCCTCTATCGTCTTTCATGGACCGTAGTCAATGCCATTTCAAGAGATGTTGCAATATAACGAGTATACTGTAAAGGGATAAACTTTCGCGGCGCGCAAAGTTTGCGTTTTTGAGGTGGCAACGTGTTGAGGTCGGCCGGAGAGCGCAGCGGTGTGGTGGTTGATAAGAGTTTGGACAAGGCCGAATGCTGCTATTTACCCCTCTTGATCATGAGAAACTTTGGCGATTTTATCTCTTCAGTTGGATTTGTTACTGTCTACAATCAATGTACAGAGCAGTTTGCGGCGATTTATATTCACCAATGTGTGATGGTCGCGAAAATAGCGAAGTTTAATCTCTAGCGAAAGTTTCTCACTTTACAGTATTTGGATCTTTTGCGTCCGTTTGCCTGTCTGAATGTATGCATGTGGTTGTAGGTATGGCATGTCTTGCTTGTATTGATAATGCATGTGCTTGTTCCCTGTCTGTATTTCTGTGCTTGATCTTGTTTCTATGTATTTGCGTGCATTTTGTGTTTGTGTCTGTGTGTCCAGATTACTCCTCCACTGTTCCTTGCCTTCCCCACGGCATCGCGTCGTCAACTGCTTTCCATATTCCTGGACAAAGTCAGCGTGTTGGGCGAAGTCCGTGATTCGGCAGCTGTACACAAATGTCTGATGCAGGTATGTGCAATGTGCATGTTAATATACTAAGATGATTGTGTTGTTGTGTACCTATGCATGTATGCTGGTGTGCCACGTGGGCAACATTTCTGTCTGCTTTGCAGTTCATTTTCCGTGTAATCACTTGAAAGTCATGTCCTGTACTCTGTATGACCTGTTGTTGTCTGATCTCAACGCTCCTTCCAGTTCCCAGTCGATGGTGCAGACATCTTGAATGAACTCAACAGACCCGGTGGTGTTCTCTCTGCTCCCGAAGAGTCATCACCACGCAAGAACAGATCCAAGAGGTACATTGTATGTGTATATTGTGTGTATATTGTGTGTGTGTGTGTGTGTGTGTGTGCACGCGCTTGCGTGGTACGTGGTACGTGTGTGTGTTCTTGGATGGGGTATAGAGTGTTCTTTGTCTTTTGTCCAAGTGTCTGATGCTGATCTTGCTCTGCTCTTATGTGTTACTGCTGCATGTAGGAGAAAGGTGACGGATAGCAGCTCGTCTGATGTGGTTGACTCATCAGCATGGCAGCGCGCTGTCGTCTTGCTGGAGCTACTGCAGAATGGCGAGGAACAGCTTACTAACACACACATCCTCATGCCACATCTGTTCAGACTTCTCTCATTGTAAGAACTATGGATGCATATCGTTTGACCACTTGTGTACCATGTAACAGTTGCATGTGCATTACGATAGAATAAAGATTGCTTTTTGTTGAGTTTTTGATCGTAAATGTATTTGGCTAGTTGATTAGTTTGGCTGTTGTGGCTGGAGATATCATAGCCAGGGGTTGCTTTGCTGTCTTAATTTCGCTGTTGCTGCCTTGCAATGTGCTGCAGGAGTATTGAAGCTGAGGATGAGACCCTGGAGAGCAGTGAATACACCAAGCAGTTGATCGTGTCTGGTATCCATACCCTGTGTCGCGCCGCCTCAACTGCAGCCAAGCAGTCCAAGCCAGGTACGTCAAACCTGTCGCGCTCCTGGTGCCACATTTCTTGCCAGCAGTATGTTTGGATCTAGTCTTTCACACATATTCAACACAGGTTTGTTTTCTGGTTGCCTTTCTCACAATATTACTTCATGTCCTTCCTGTTTTTTTGTTTTTTTCAATGTTTCGCTTTCCCCTTTCAGGCTTGCTGAAGGCAGAGGATTTCAATGTTGAGTGTATCGTGCGCTGTGTCAGAGCATCATCCAATCCTCAGACTCATCACCACGCCCTGCTGCTCCTGGCAACTGCTGCAGCATTGTTTCCTGTGAGTATGTAGAGTGATAGTCTGCATGACAACACTCATGCAGTACACTGCTACACTTTTTGTGGTTCTCTTTTGTAGCCATCAAGGTACAATGTGTTCTGTAGCTTTACTTCATTCAACCAAGAGTGTGCAAGTCTGCATATGGGGTCTCCGACTGCGAAAACTCATATCATGTTGTCCAAGTCCGTTTCGTACTACGTACAACAAAGGCCAGCGTGCACGCAGTCCGAATATCTGCCATCATCAAGTTGATGACTCTGAGTGAGTTTCTGTCAGGAAGTGCTATTGTTGCTACTCCACTGCTTGCTAAAAACGGGCTGGGAACGTACAACGTGAAGTCGTGAACACTACACCACGTGATGTGAGTTTTCGCTGTCGGCGGACCCAGAGAAGGGTATCGAGAGTTGCACACTCTTGGGAGCTTATTTTTTCTTGATTCGGCCAATAGGCCTAATTCTAGACTGCCAGTGGCCAATACTAATACACTGCGTGCCACTGTAGTAGTGTGGCAACCACGGACGTACCAACTCACTCACTGGACGGAAGTGGTGTTTTAGCTCTGGTGGCAAGGGACTTGGAACCCAGTGCACACAGTGCATGCATTTTACTCGGACATGTCATCATTCTATGTGTTGTTTTGTGCTGCAACTTGCTTGAGTATTATCTGCTCATCTTCTCTATTATCCACCCTGTAGGACCGTGTGCTGCACAACATCATGGCAATCTTTACATTCATGGGTGCCAACTTGTTGCGGATGGACGATTCCTATAGCTTTGATGTCATCGAGCGGACCATTCAAACTGTCATCCCTGCTCTTGTTCAGGTATGCAGGAATATTTTTTTAGTTGCCAAATGTGTGTGTGTGTGCGTGTGTTTGTATGTTGGTGTGGGCGTGGGTACACAATCACACATACTTCTGTGCTTTTCTTTCTATCTGCCACATTGAATCACCTTTTCTCCCCTTTCTTCCAGGCGTGTATGGCAGTGATAGCTATCGTAAAAGAAGACATTTTTGTTCACGAAATTTTCACTCAAAGCCATAGTTTGGTCTTTTGGTCTGATTTGCCATCATCCAAGAGTTCAATGTACTGTAAAAGCCCTTATTCTAACGAGGCGCATATATAACGATTTCCCAAAATTGACTGGTTTACGTGTACCAAAGGTAACGATTCTCACTTATTCTCAACGGTCAATAGGACTGTATATGTATCGATTTCTATTTTAACGACAGATTTCTCCTCGTTAACTCGTTAGAGTTAGTACTTCGTTATAAATTTGGCTTTTACAGTACATGTTGAAGTATTTTATTTGACCTTGTCATATTTTCTAGAGAAATCTTTTCTTTGTTGCAATCACCGCCATCATCAGTCATCACATTTCTGTTTCTTGTAACGCTGTGCTGTGTGTAGGCTGGTACGGCAACTCCGGGCGGCAAGTCCAATGGTTCTGTGGCCATTCGCGAGGGCTTCCTCCCCATCGTCGTCGCCGTCATGCGTGTCTTTGCCGATGCCTGGCCGCACATGCCTGTTCATCGGATCATGTCCGTCTTTGAGAAGCTGATGAGCACGCTGGGTTCCGAGGGCTACATGCACTACATGCTCAAGCTGCTGGTGGAGCGCTATGTCCTGCAGCCCGGTGTCAGTGCAGGAAGTTCGCTACCGTCTTCCATGATCTCCGTACCAAGCTCAGCGGCGTCCTCGCCCACACGGGTTAGTCTGGTTCATGCCTCACACAAGCAGTAACAACCATATACGCGGGGGGGGGGGGTAGTTTTTTTGAGGTGCTGGTCTTATCTTTGTGATTACTAGTCGATTTCCACATGTGAGTCTTTCCCCGCCGAGATAGGACAACATACTGCAGTGCTGGGAAGGGTCTATTGCCGCCTCTGTAGCGGTTTGATCAAATTGCTTTGTTTCTGTTTTGAGCTCTTCAGGTACCCTCTGTGGCACTGTTTAGGCCACACGTTTTTATTTCTATGTTTCTCGTCACCTGAAAATCTAAAAACGTATGCGAGAGGTGGAAAAAAATAAAAAATGACCAAAGAATAAAAAAAAGTTTACTAGACCTTTGTTCACACTAAAATCCACCAATACACCATGCAAAACAGCATCCATAGTTAGCAACTAGTATGTGGTAGGAGCTTCTATCACAATCTGTGCATGTGCAGCTAGATTGCGCACAAAAAATGCCGACCTCGCATCATGTGTCGCGCAGGCCAGGCCACATTATGTACATGTGCATGAGTGTACTGGTCCCCACATGCACAGTCAGTGCAGCACAGTTTTTTTTGTTTTTTTCTTCCAGACTCCTGAATCGTATGCGTGCGGGTGACGAGAAACATGGAAATAAAAACGTGTGGCTTTACAGCTAAAAAAAAATAGTGGATCGATATTTTACCACTTCCTACAAACCTTTCTAATAGTATGCACACCACTAAGCAATCTGTGCCTTTGTCTGGTTGTCGTTTTGTTTTCAGGATGGAGATCCTTCTCTGGTCTTCTGTGAGCTTGATTTTCCAGTTCAGCTTTGCCTTCGCTTTGACGTCTCTTCTCAGGTATGACATCAACCCACAACTGATATTAAAGAATGATGAAAGCTAGCTGGGAATGCCGGATTTCTGTCTTTGTAAACCTATCCAATCCTTCAAGGTGACCATTAGCCACACAGCAAGGATAGGTGCACCCATAAAATTGTGACTTTTAACTCGCCAACCCGGCTTCTAAAGAGAGGGAGAGGGTGGGGGGGGGGGGGGGGGGGGGAGCTGATTTATCAATGGTGTGTAAAGAGCTCTTCTTTTGTTACTTTTAAAAACACCGAGCCCCTCTGGTATCTAAGAATTACGTGTTGTTCTGTGTTTTGTTCTTGATAATGTGCAGCTGAGTACACTTCTGGAGGTTGTGCAGTATGTCGGTGACTTGCCAGTGACAAAGCCAGACACAGGTAAATTCTTGTTTTTAAGTGGCATGGCTGCTCCACAGCAATAATGGTAGGTGAAATCCAGCCATTGCTGATTGACCATGCTCAGCGCTATGCAGTCCTGATATGGACTATGCTTGGTGTCATCACGAGAACACACTCTTGATATCAACGCCTGTGATTGAGCAGAATTTCATCGCCACTGTGGTTTGAAGGAGTCACGGCGTTGTGGTGAAAATAGTGTTGGCAATGGATTTCTCTCTATTTCTCTCTCCTCTCTTTCTCTCGCTCACTCGCTCTCACTCCCACTCTCTTTCTTCCCCCTTCCCTCCCCCACCCATATCCCATTTATTGAACGTGTTGTTTTGAAATGATTTGGGGAACACTGCCTTATGCAAACCACTCCTGTTTACTTATTTCTGCTCCTTTTGTATTCTTCAGGGAGCAAGGGAAAACCCAAGAAAGATCCCAAGCAGCTACCGCTGTATGATGTTGCCCAGCACACCGAGAAGCACCTGCAGTTGTACAAGATCAATCTTCTCACTATTGTTGCTGATGTGCTCACCAGTGAAGAGTTTATGTTGCCAGTACGTAGTAGCGTTAAGATTTGTATTACATGTACTTGCACTGCAACTCCTGTCACATGACCTACTGGCACCTTGCTTATACGCTTGTCTTCTCAACTACTTCAGCAGTGCTAAGAGTCTCAGCAGATATGCTTGTAGGGCCTGGTACATTGCATGTGAGTGGCTGTTCTATGGTATTTCACCTCACACTTGCTACTCAAGAGCATTAATCAATTCCTTCTACAACTAGGCAGGAGAGCAAGGCTTCTTCCCGTCTGCGATATCGTTTCTCTAAAAAATGTGTGACCTCTTTCGCTATTTACTGCCACATTTGTGTTTGATTTGCTCAGGACTCGTCACCTAATGCGGCTGCAGAGGCTATCCACGAGAAGGTGCTACGGTAAGTGAGCGTACTTAGCACATCTGGTGAACATTACTGTAAAGGACACCTTCTTTGTGGAAATTGCAATACAAAGTTCTTGTTGGTTCACACTTGTGTATTTGTGTACCTCTCCGTTATGCAGTCTACTGGAAGAGGTCATGGCATTTGCCAATCGTCAGACCCGTCTCTCGTTGAAGCAGACTGACAATAACCTGAAGCAATGCCTGCGTGCAGTGTGTACCGCTGCATACAAGATTGTCAGTGCGGTAAGGACTCACTTGGAAAACTGTGTGCAGAATACTGATTGTCTATAGTATTGGATATATATCCACTATGCCCTATAGTATTGGCAAGAGTCCATAACCCAAGAGTATGCAACTGTGATTATGGGTGCATGCGCGGCGCGCTGCCTTCATTACGTAACTTGCCTTCATCATGCTCTGAAAGCATGCACTCAAACTCACAATTTCTCGTACGAGCCCATCCGTTTTTGCCCGATTCGTTCCAGTACCTACGCGATCTCTGAGTTATGGCGCGTGAACTCCAGTTCCGTACGAAAGTTCATTTCAAACCAAAGGGAAAGCGCGGTGTTTGATTTTCCGCAGTGCGCGGACTGCAGCTGAATGATGTAATGAAGGCAGCGCGCCGCGCATCTGGCCCATAGAAAAGAGATCACAGTTGCATACTCTTGGGTTATGGACTCTTGGTATTGGCTATATCCACTATGCCATAGCTTGTGATCACATACAGTTCCACTGTGTTTGGAAATGGGCATAAGCGACGAATATGCGTTCACATGGGGTGTGTAGTCCATACATTTATATCTCCCATTCTTTAACTCTCTCCCCCTCCCCTCTCATTACATTTGCGCGTCACCCCTGGTGCGTTGTGTTTTCGTACTTTTCATTTGACATTGTTGGTGTTGTTGTTTTTGTCTCACACAGATTTGTGACCAGTTATCGGTGGAGATTCTGGTGGATGTTGTCCTCAAGCTATCTTCGCACAAGGCTGTTGCAGTTCAGAACAAGGCATTGGAGCTACTCAATGCTGGTCTGCAGAAGCAGGAGCGACGACCTTGGCCAGCAAGCCAGGTGATTATTAGCTTGAAATGGACAATGTTTAAAAATGGACTGTTGTGGTTGCAATACCTATGCATTGCCTACTCAGGGCCGTCGGAAGGAGTTTAACATTGGTGCGGCAAAAGTGTGAGAGGGGGGTGCGGGGATCCTCCCCCGGGAAAATTTTTGAAAATTGGGCCTAAAAAGCCATATAGAATAATAAAAAGAATATGCATGCTGATGATACACCGCATTGTCGATGTAAAACAGTACCTGTACAAGAGTCGACAAGCCACCAACAAGGTTGAAATGTAAAAAAATATATAAAAAAAATAAATTAAAAAAAATGCGAAAATTATTGGTGCGGCTTTGGCCGCACCTGCCGCACCGGTTCCGACGCCCCTGCTACTTCAATGGAGTCACATCTTGGTCTGGTATCCGAAGAGATGTGTTTGTCACGACACAAAACACTATTATATTCACTGGTTTGAGGGAAAGACACAAACGGGAAAAGTCTATTTATATATGCTATCTTTTATTCGCTAAGTAGCTGACTGTGCTATGCGCAGATATGTCTTCTACACGATCATTGTTTTGATATGTTGTTGTTTTGCTCCGCGCTCTATTTCTTCCCCCAGGAGAGTGTGTTTGTGAATGTGGCTGAGCGCCTGACGGACATTGTGCTGTCGCGTCTCACCGCCGGTGTCAGCAGTGCATCAAGTGGCCGCGAGGAGCTCATCACTTGTCAGTCGGCATTCATCAGTCTCAAGCTACTCACATGTCAGCTGGCAGCACGTAACCCACAGCCGATGCTCAAGGTATTAAGCTGATTTATATGTACATGTAGTCCCTGATGCACCAACAGATAATATTGTATCGACTCTTGTTATTTATTGAGGTTGTTTTCAGTCAGCGTTTTGAACTGAAAATAATTAGACTTGCGCACGCACCCTTTATTATCATTATGTTTCGTTCCATACCAGGATGTTCATCTGTAGTCGCCATATCATTTGCTTTGTTTGCTTCTCAGGTGGCTCGCGTTGTCCTGGATGTCATTTCATCAGAAGACTGCTGTCCACAGGTAACTATCCACTTACCGGTGGTTATATGTCACTCTTGAGGAGTTTGTACTGTTTTTAACAGCCAGGATACCTTTTACAGTGTATACTCTGACTTGGTGTTTGTTTCAACATCACAATCATGTGCGCCCTTTGCAACCTGTTCTTGTCTTTGTCTAGGTTTGTGCCAGTGCTATCTTGTGCTTTGGTGAATCAATCACCTGCCTTGGACCTCAGCTGATTGCTGAACTGCCCCGTGCAATCAAGGCACTAGTGGCTGTACTGAAGTCCTCCTGGTCCAGAATCAACCCAGTGTAAGTTGGAGTACTGTCTTCTAACCTACAGACTGTAGCAGATACTGCTGTTCTTCATCAGCAACCATGTTAACACATGACGGATTCTTTTGCAAGGTGCATTTAGAGGCCAAATGTGTGGCTGTTGGGTTTCTATGTAAAACTTAAAATCCTGTTGTGTGTTGTGTTGGCTGTGTGCTGTATAGCCTTCTACAGATATCTGCTGTGACTGCCCTGGGAAAGATGATTGTGCACCTGCCAGCGTTCCTTGGCAAACAGCTCAAGAACATTCTCAGACAGGTTAGCATGGTTGTTTTGGCCTGTGACTGGAGGCTATCCGTAAAGGATGTTTTTGTTTATGAAACGAATGGACTTGTACTCAATATGTGTACTCGCACAGGCTTGCTAAGGTTGAACAGTTGAATGAAAACTCCAACACATGCCGTGGAGAAGAGTTCTTTTGCATGCACAAAACATGACCAAGGAGCATATCACATTAATCCCTGCCCTATACAATCAGATTCCATCTTCTTTTTTTGTCTTTTCTTGAAGCGAATGCAGGTTTACACTTAGGTGTGATATTTCAGTGTGAGTCGTACTTCGAAGTACAAACAAATCTGGTAATGGGCCATGCCCGAAAATTTGGTGAACACTTTTATGACGTATGCAGTTGAGTGTTTGAGTTCAGGGACCCTGAGTTGTACAAACAGTTGTAAATGCAAGTCGAGACTATGTGCCTTGTTTGTCCATAATCTTGATGTTCGCAGTTGGTACATGGCAAGCTTTGTGAGGACAGATCAGAAAGTTCTGACTCCGGCCGCAGTAATCTGCTATTGAGAGCTCAAGCAGCCCGGTAAGTTTTGAAGCCGACTGTTCGTATGTCTTTCCTCGATATGTGGTCCAAGCCATGATAGATGGCCGACCGCAATACCTAGTCTATCCAGCATAGCTTACATGCAGTACCTTGATGTTTCGTAGCTTTCTTCATTTAATTGTCTTCTTTGCACAGTAGCGGTAACTCAATGAAGCGAGTAAATTTGTGTCGAAAACATTCTTGAAATAGGATGAGTAGGAGAGTTCCATTGCAAGAGAGTTGGTGTGTGTGTGTGTGTGCGTGTGTGTGTGTGTGTGTGTGTGTGTGTGTGCGCGCACGCGTATGTGTGTGTGTGTGTGTGTGTGTGTTTGTGTATACATGTATCTGTCTTTCTGCAGAACAAGCATAGCTGTCAAGGTTCCTGGTCGCGTCCTCTTCCCAGCTATTCAAGATTGCTTCCAAACCATTGCTAAGCCAAGCAAGGTGAGTTCGCTTTTTAATTTTAATTTTTAATCCTTTCGTCACACACAAGAGTACTCGAAGTACATTACCCAGAGTGTGCAACGCCACATAGGGGTTCAGAACAACACAGGGTATGTGTGTGTGTGGGGGGGGGGGGGGGGGGGGGTGCGCGCACGCATGCGTGTGCGTGCATGTGTGCATACCGGTATGTGTACTCGTATGTAGGTGTGGGTGTGCGTGCGTGCGTGCGTGTCATTACGTCAAGTACATGTACACGTTCTGTCAAGTTTTCAGTTCTGTTTTCATGGATGAATGCCCTGTTTGGGTTGCAGTGTATTGACTTTTTTTCTCTGTGCCGTATATCCTGTGCTATCACGACTGTAGGTCAACAGCATGCTGTCATTGGTCTCAGTCTTATCACGTGGCATTCAGGAAGTGCCCAAAGCTGAGCTCAAGGATTTGAGTGAAGTGCTCACCACTCTCTTCTTGGATATGTTTAGCTTCATTGCCACGCGCTACAATGAGGTAGGGTTATAGCGTACACTCCTGTCCACATGTACGCAATACTGTGTTGAACGCTACTACAGTAGTACATCGACTTTACTGTTTGCCAATGCAATGGTACGGTTGTTACCTTGTCTTCGTTATTTTGAGACAACGTCGTCACCTGTGTCACAACTCCCCTAGCAATTTCTATCAGTACACAAGTTGTCTTCACCTTTATGCACTTTATACTCATTTTTGATGAAGTGTGGTGTAGGTTCTTCATTGTTCTGGTGTGTTTGGCTCGATGCATTTGCTCATGTTGTTGATCCTGCTGCTGCTGCTGCTGCTGCTACTTCTGCTGGTGTTTTCATCAATGCTGCAGTTCACGGAGAGCAATATGCGTACACTGTTGGACAAGTGTGTGCAGTGTTTCATCACCCTGGTACTGCGCTCTTCCGAGCCTGTTTTCCGGACCATGTTCACCAAGGTCAGTTTAAATGCCTATCTATTTACAGCAGTGGTGACGCCCTCCTGTACTGCACTTGCACAGTATCACTGGGTGCTCAGCGATATCCGGGAGGTGTGTGTGTGTGTGTGTGGGGGGGGGGGGGGGGGTAGGGGGTATGTAGGTAGTCCTGCTTATTGTCTGTGTTCCTTTTCAAGGTCGGGGCTCTGTCTTATCGTACTTCACAGTGCACATTTGCCAGTAGTCATGTCGCATGCGCGCATCTGTTGCAACCCCTTCTCGCTTGCCGGGTGTGCCCATCCATTTTTGTTGGTGTCCCTGTCCTTGCGTGTTTCTGCAGATCTGCAACTGGGCTGACTATCAGCACCAGTGCAGTGAGCGCATGTTGATCTTCTTCTCCTTAACCTTCAGGTGAGTACGGCCTACGAGCTTGACAAGATTACTTGTGCAGGTTTCAACACAAGTTGACAATGGTCATAAGGGTGTTTCCGGCACAGTTGAGAGATTCATGGCTCCGATCAACAAGGCAGAGTGTTTTGATGTGGAAAATCCATCTTATTCTCACTGCACACGAACCCCAGTATGATCAGCTGGAACATCATTATCACCGTCGTCAACTTATGATGTTGAAAGCTCTACCTCGTAGTGTTGAGAGACAGATCGAGTTTCTTTTTCTTTTTTTGCTTTTACTACCGTAAAGTACCGCCAGAGCGCCCCACCCTGATTTTACAGCCAGGGAAAGGAAAAATCGTATGGCAGAGTGCACACAGTTTGTACCTTGTGTGAACCTTAGTGTACTAAGGTCACACGAAGCAGGTTTTGTGTGGAGCCCGTGTTCGCTTGAAGGTACGGATTGTATGCAGAACGTGCAAAATGTGTACAAAGTTCGTGTCGTATGACTTACGGACAGGAGACCACCTCCACAATACGACCACGAAAGGACGAGGTGGTGGGGCGCTCTGGCGGTACTTTACGGTAATTCCACAACCCGACTGGTGCCTGCGTAGTGGTTGTGACCTTCCTAGTGAAGTTGGACATCACCAAGTCTAGAGGGTTGTCACCATGGGTGGGTTGATGGATATGTTGGGGTAAGATGATGTGAAGCACACAGTTCTTACACGGCCTCCCCAGCTGCTGTGGTCTTACTACTGCCAGGCCAAGTTGAATTATGTACATTAAAGTCACCGGTGAGGACTAAAGTAGAGCCATGATGCTGGGCTGTGTCAAGTGAGGTATCTAGATGGTCAAAGCAACCCTAGCGTTGTACTCCAAGTACCTGTATCTATACAGGTGTGTAGAATATACTGTACTGGTTATTGAAGCCCGGACTCGTCCTCCGGCACACTGCAGCCTGGTGTACGCGTGCTGTAGCTGCACGAAAAACCTCCCACAGCCGCTGTAGCCGAGTTCAACTCTGGGTTTCATTGGCTACTGCTGTACAAGTAGTCTTAGGTCAAATCTGCTCTTTAACCAGTGGGTACCGTGTATTGACTACCAACATGATCTGTATGCAGCATGTATGTTGGGTCTAATTGACTGAAGTTATCGAGGTACATCAGAAGGTTATAGAATATTCGTTCGTTCGTCGAGGCAGCATTTGAGAAAATATTCGGTCGAAGAAAACCTTATTCATTGCATCACTATTTTTTTTGGTTTCACTGATTTTAATGTAATCGTACAATTCTGTTTGAGCCCTTCCTCTCTTGATGATAGTTGATATGTGCTGCTGCTACTGCTGTTGCTGTCACTGTGTATGTTGCAGTCTGACTGATCGCCTCAAGGGTTTATTCACAACATTCGGAGGACCCGTTGTAGACAGTGCCGTAGCAGTACTGGCTGCCATCAACATGAAGAAGAAAGGTATGAACTGCCCTTGTTTGACGATGCCTACCTACAAGTAGTATGTCTTTCTCAAGTTGAAAACAATGGCATGTGTTCATGCAAACTGCATTTACTAATTACACTGCACATCCTAAGTAGACATGTAGGATGCGCTCCCTTTTCCCTCCGCCCAATCGAATCCGGACTGTTGTCTTATTTCTTATGTCCTGAGTTGAAAGGAACATAACCTTCCTTAGTTTCAGTGTGCTGTATTGTGTGTTGTCATTGCCGGTGGAGAACTAGTTTGCTGCCATGTTCTTATACAGGTAATACATTCTTCTCTGGCGAGGATACAAATGGTTTTGGGCCTGAAGATGATGAGAGCGAAAGCAGTGACGAGATTGAAAGCGATGAAGAGGAAGAAATGGATGTATCAGATGACGAAGGAGCTGGCAAGGCGTTGAAAAAGAAGTCGCTGGCATTCCCCAGTGCCGCATGGAAGTGCCAGCAACTGGCTAATCAGTGCGTTGACACAATGCTGCGCTTGTTTACACATGACAGTGACGGCCGACTGGTTCACAAGCAGCTCTTTGAAGAAGTCATGCCACCTCTTGTTGAACAGGTCAGTTCGATGGACAGTTGATTCCATTTTAGTGATAGTGCATGCGTCTTTTTTGTTGTCTGTCTCTTCATATTTATTGTTTTAGTGAACTACATGTATCTCCGGATAGCATGCTGTTTCGACCTCATTACAGTCCATTTCAAAACTATAGACGCGTACCTAGGCAAAAACCGTTATGCCAGCATCTATACCACATAAAATCTGTGATCACTTTGTGCATATATTTTTCCAAATTGGGCGTCTGTTATCCAATCGTTTAGAAACTATATGAGAGTGATTGTGGAGCGGACCTGAGCAATATTCCGAAAACTATTCTCAAAAAGTTCCAGCCAAATTTGAAATAATTTCAAAAACCCTACGCGTCTATAGTTTTGAAATGGACTGTAAGTCTCCTCGGCGGAGCTCAGAGTTACTGGCCCAACCAATCGCAATGTGTATTGTGTATATATTAATATATAATATACCGTAAAGTCCGCTGCAAACGCCCACTTCGCTGCGAACGCCCACCCCAGCGAGTCCATACTATTTTCGTCTTTTTCAGGTCAATAATAGTTGTAGAAAACTGGCATGAAGGTCGAATGCGTACGAAAACGGCTGTAACGCCTACAAACTGCCTATGTCTTACCAGGAGGCTCTGCAAAAGCGATTTTCATCATCTTGCTGCAAAGAAAAACTTCTGTCGAGATTTCCTTTCACTCGATAAATGAGTCGTCTTCATGGCAGGTCGCTCTCCATGTAATAATGCCGTAGAATCCATCTGGTTTTCATGAAATTTCTGCAGTGCCACAATGTGGCATTTGCAGAACGGAACAGTGATTGTTCTGACGAAGCGTCATTCAACGACTTGACCGCTCGCAGTATTGCAGTTGCAAGTCGAACAGGGGGAGGGGGAGGGGGAGGGGGGAGGGGAGGGGGAGGGGGAGGGGGGAGGGGTATGTCACAGAAGCTAGTACAAGCTACACCTACAAAGTCACTGCTAACTTGTTGAAAACTCTGAAGTGCTCAAGAAAAACCCTTGCCTTTGAGTGTTGCGTGATTTGGAAATGATCAGAAGTGTATTTGGTTCCTGCAATACTCTGTTCTTCGCTACCTTGTTATTTAATTCGGAAGAAACTCCCATTAGGATTTGCGAAAAAAGCAACCATCATCATAAAATCACTACGAGAGTGACCAAAGATATTTTGAAACCAGGAAAGTGGACATAGTTTACCGTAGCAAAGCGCTCTTCCTGCTACGGTATGAGACGCACTTTCGTACAGTAGAGGTGACAGTGCATGAGGTCAGTGTGTACAGGCCAGCAGATCTTGCAAAAATGGGGTGGGCGTTTACACTGGACTTTACGGTATGTATTATATATGCAGCACAATATGTCATATTGTATCTTGTGTATCGCGCGTGTGTGTGTGTGTGTGTGTGTGTGTGTCTGTGTGTGTGTGTGTGTGTGTGTGTGTTGTTGTTGTTGTTCTCTGTATGTCCTGCATCCAGCTTGAGAGTTGCCGTGGATCAGTTCAAGACTACCAGCAGTATGTCACTGACCACTTGGTGCCCTGCATCAGTCAGTTGTCAATGGTTGTCTCCAGTGTGCCACTATGGAAGCAGCAGAATGCACGCTTGCTTCAGAAGGCAGCAAGCCCTTCACCGAGAGTAAGTGCCTCCTTCGCTCTCCTTTGCTTTGTTTTCTATACTTTGGCTCTTGCTATGTAATAATCACATGTCACATCGTGTGTCCTAAGCAAGATTCACTGTGTTATCACTTTCTGTGATGCAACCTGTGCGACATGCACATAGCACTAAGGACCATGTCTCATCTTGAGAGGCTGCTTCTCTGGCTGCAGACGAGGAGAGCTGGCGCTGTGGTGTTGTATCCTGTCCGCCTCCTACGTAACACACACATGGGACTGAAGCAGAAAGAGCTCATATCCTACAAGTAGTAGTAGCAAACTGTTTTATTTCCTACTACATGTATGTGCTCATTTGTTTGTCACGTCAGGCGTTTGATTACGTCGTTTACGCATGTTGGACTTTATGGTCAGCAACAGCGGGAAAGGAGATAGGTTTATGGAAGATAATTGTTAAAGTACCGGCGGCATGCTTTCCAAGTCATTCCAAGGTTCTACTCATATCATGTGTCCTGTGGTCATGTCTTTGTGCTGCATCTGTGCTTTCTTGCTGTCCTTTGAATGATAGGTACGCTTTGCAGTGCTGTCAGTGCTGAAGGAGCTATTCACGCGCCTCAGTGAAGATTATGTTGCCCTGCTACCAGAGACCATCCCGGTGTTAGCCGAGCTGCTTGAAGGTATGTGTATGACTTCATGTGTGCTCTTGGCTGTCCACAACAACATTGATTACTGGCTTAGACAGTATTGAAGAGGAGAGCATATTGTGAAACTAGCTCATGGTGCTCAAAGTCCCTCCCAGTGAGATGAAAGCCTGACAAAAATCAATGATGCACCCAGCTTGAGCAGTCTGGGTGCACGGTATTTTAATATCTATATTGATAATGATGGGTATGTATATGTGTCAAGTTTAGATGAAACGTCTGTGCACTGTGTGCAGTTTACCACCATGGGCATGTAGTGGCGGTACACCCTCTGAATCCTTCTCTCTGAATTGTTCTATGTGATGCAGATGACTCGCCCGAAGTCGAGAAGCAGTGCAAGTCTCTGATGAAGGTGATTGAGGAGATCACGGGCGAGACTGCTCAGTCCTTCTTCTGATTCTATCTTGGACACTCATGACTATTGTGCTAACATGTTACTGGTCCTATGATGACATGCAGCAGCAGCAGCAGCAGCAGCAGCAGCAGCGATATGGTAAGCCGAGTGCTTGGTCAACCCAGCTGAGCCTGTCACAGACGGATCAACCACATCTAGCATCCTTCATAATGGTCAAGTGACGCACTTTTGAGCCGTGCTAAAACATAACGTCTGGAGAACTCATTCTCTGGACTGGCCGTTACGACCTTGGAAGTGAGGTGGTGTTGAGGATAGCTTCGGTGTGAATCTTGTGTACATGTATTCTGATTCATCTTTAGCCACTGGAAGGTGTGATAATAATAATAATGTACATAGCTTTTAGTTTCAACAGATAATACTGTACATATGTGCTTCGAAGTAACTTACTATTATCTTTTAACTACTGCATGCCGCGCTGCTCTTTTTGTATCATACTTGTAAAAATATCATTAATTTTTGAATGCTTCTTATCAGTCAATCATGCTACGAACAGTGAAACATCCATGCCAGCACTGCTGGGTAAACTACTTTGAGTGGTTTGATTACATACAGCAGTTTGTGCCAGTTACGCTTGGTGCTGTGCTTACCTGTGCTGTTCAGTCTGTTGGAGTGTCCAACATTCTACCTACTTGCTTTATTTATCTGCATTTTTGTGTAAATATGCCGATTTCGTGGACTTGCGGCAGCTCTGGTTCTCCCTGATTCCTTTCAGATCACTTGAATTGATTCAAGTACTCTTGCTAACAGGCAGGCACAGCTTGTAGCTACAATGTAGTGTAGCTCCCTATCCTTTGTCTGCAATGACTCTGCATAGGCCATAACACGTGCCCTGACTCTCGCCCCAGCTAGTCTAGCTCCCATGATCTACATGCACCGGTATGTTCATGATCCCCATCATCCAATTAGCCTACCTGTTGCAAGTACCTTTACTGTGTGCCATTCATCCACTAAACCATTCTCATAGTCGTGCTCTTCGGTTGTGCAGTGTGTGTGTTGTCTGCCGTTGGCAAGACAAAAAGCTTCATCTTGTTTTGAGAAGTCGAGCATCCGCAATAACGCTAATCATGCCATTCCCTGTCATTTGGCCTTGGGTATAGACTAGTAATCTCACATAGGAAGAATCTAGTGTAATGCTCCATGCAAAGCAGGCCTTGACTTGTGAAGTTGTGAGTCAGCTAGCACCGGGCACTGGCAGTGGGCAGTGGAGTGTATTGGCGCAGGACAGCACTGGCATAGTCCAGGCCAGGCCAATTTTCATCACTTGTTGAGTATGACCAACCGTAGCTTTGATCGATGATGGACGCACCGTTACAAGTTCACAGTACCCACAAGGTCTACTTCCAGTAAATGCTCTCATCCCATTTCAACAGCCAGTTCTTGGAAATTTGCAGTTCAAAGAATATTTCCAGAGTGTAGTTGTGATGTCAACCTGGTAGTACATACTACAGTACACTATGCTGGTCCGGATGCTTTAGGTGACTATCCCATGCATAGCCGGGTAGACATGCTTTAGGTGACTATCCCATGCATAGCCGGGTAGACAAAAAAACTGGCTCCAGAGTGAAGCGGGTGATGCTAAGGAAGGCAAGGAATACAGCATCGCGAATCACAACACTATAAATTACAAAAATGCCTTGTTTGTTTGTTTCTGCAATGAGACCCCGTGTAACATAATACAATTTTAAATACTCTATGACGATCTAAGTCACGGGTGCAGTTCGAGACATATCGCGCGGCGTCCAGGTAGCCATTCAGTATAATTCTCCTGAAGGTGGCAGAGACTGACAAGGCATGGCAGTGTTCCTGCATCCGTGCCTTTGGACTCCATTGGCCGGTGCAGATGATCAGGTCCGCACAACTCTTGTACACTGAACCGTGGCATGCACATACCGGCACATGTAGGAATAACGAGACTAACAGCGTTGCCTGCTAATCTGCAAGTGCCAACTCTGCGCATGTGTCCGTAGACGTAGCTCAGGGGAGTGCAGTGTCTGGTGGGTATGTACAGTTGGTTTGATTGGGAATGTAGACCTTCAGGCCACTATCCATGTACACACCTAGACCATGATCACGGGCAAGCTGTAAGAACTCATCGAGGTATTCTTGTGTATAGTTCTGTCTCCGGGAATACCAGTTGATGCCGGTGAACACAACATGGTCCAGTTCTTCTATGCATTGAAACTCCAGTACTCGGTCGTAGTGCTTGCCTGTCTCGTCCGGTACTGCTGCCACAACTACATCAGGGTACACCACTTTGCCAGTGATGAACCAATGCCCGCTGAACACACCGCGATGCTGTGTGAAGTTGAACAGTAGCGGCCCGGAGTACGCCTTGCCAACACATTCCAGTGTGAACGTATCGTTGATCATACTCTTCTCCATGTCTACCTGTTTCTGACTGCGCATGCAACTAGGCTTGGGGCACACTGGCAGCTGTGTGTAGTCATGTAAAGCTAGCTCATAGTAAGTGCCTGCAAACATGTCCAATGAGAAGTTGTTCCGTACATAGGGTGTCTGCAGTTCATACCACTGTGGACATTTCGTATAGTTGAATACTGGCGGGGCATTGGCCAGCGGACTGGTCATGAACGCTGAGCTGCACACCGCCACCGTCATTACAAGGACTGCAGCACTGACTGGCACACTGATCCGCAATGAACATGGCTTACCACCACTGCTACCCTGGTGGTTAGTAGATGCAACCATGGCTCGAACTCCACGCCTAGATAGCGCACGTTTGTCTTTACGTCTGTACTGTAGGCAGCTCTAGCCGCGCCCAGGCAGATCTTGCGGGCCCACGCAGCCGTTGTTTACGGACTACTGCAAACTACTGTAGACTGCTATGGCGCTCGCCACGATCCGCACCGCGAGACTGGAAAGCTGCACACGGCTACAAATTACAATGTTGTAAAGCTACACTGATCAGGAAGAAACTGAGGCTCAGCGGCTAATCAAGCAACTAATAAAAATTACTTACTTACTGAGTCTGTAACGTTTATTCATTCACGACACTGTGACTAGTCCCTAGTAATCATCACTGACATAGGTGTACAAGACTCCTCGGACTGAACGCGGGAATTTATACACCTGTCCGAGGTTGGGGCAGCAGCCGGTACATAGATTACTGTCTTTGCAACTACAACTTAGTACAAGTTTTTCGATTTTGACAGCATGTTACAAGGCGAGGACGCGTAGTGCTCCTGACTACAACCATAATCCGGTTGGCAGAGTCCCGGTCTTGCGACCATTTGAACCGTATTGGGAAAACCCAGGTTCGGACCCTCGTTACTCTACGGGTTGGTAGGATTTCTATAATTTTCGTTTTTTGTGTTGTAGAAGTCGTCGTGTTGCCGCGTTCACGTTGCTGCCGCTGCAGGGATCACGTCTGGAATCGAAAAACATGTTAAACTACCAAGCAAGGCTTCTGTATATACCAACTTAGTACAAGTAGTTACAACGAACCAACAGCAAAGCAAAAGTAAGCTGTTTGGCTTTTACTAGTGTCAGCAAGAGTAGATAAATAGTTTATCTACTCTTGGTGTCAGGGAGTCGTATACCCAAACCATTTTTGGGTATATCTACGACTCCCTGGTGTGCATGATCGGGATCGGGATCCGACCGGTGGCACTGGTGCAGCGATGACATTTTCCTCTGATTCGCTGATTTCTGGGATTGAATTACTATGGTTACGCACTACGGCCGTGATGGTAATCGTGAACCATGACCTCTGCCAGATTCTGGCTCTGTCTGCTTTGACTCGGCTACTTGTTACTTTCCCTCTCTAACTCGAAGAGTCTAACGTCTTTTCTTGTTGGTGTCGCCAGTTGTTCGGAGTACTGTGTTGGTCTGTCGATCGACACTGGTCACAGATCGCACAGCAAAATCGCAGCAGTGTGCGAGAAAGGGAAAATCAAGGAGGCAATGGTCAGTCATTGAAGAAATTGGTAAAACATTTGGAGAGATTCAGCGGTAACTGATGCAGACAGCCCGTTAGACGTTTCCGCACCGGAGGGTCCACCTCAACTATAAGTAGACTCGCTCCATTCGCTTGCTGATGTTGATCCTCACGTCTTTTGTTCGAAGTCAATCCCACTAAAGCCACGGGCAGTGATGGCATTCCAGCAGCCCTTTTGAGAGATTGTGTCTCCCTTCTGCCAATAATTACCAAAAATATTGGAGAAAGTTGTGCAAACAATTAGAGGACAGAGAAAGTGTTTTTACTCCGAGTTTCACGCACTAAGCGATCATCAGAAAACAGTAATGAGAAATCTGGATCAGTATTGGTTTATGTACTCACAAAGCAAAGTGTAAATAGCTGCAGCATGGCGCAAATCTAAAAGTTGTGAACGGTGGCAGTGCAAAGCGTGAATGACTGCATCATGAGGCAAATCCAAAAGTAAAAGTGTGAATGACAGCAGTGGTGAAAGGTGACAACCATTGGAGACGGTTGTCTCTTACTTAATTAGGTGATGGCTGTGGATGGTTTAAAGTTCCGAAGGTAGTACCTATTCTCATGGCGACACTTTGACACAAGCTCACTCCTTTTGTTGAGAGAAAGGTGCTTGGGTGCTTGCGCGATTGCCAAGTTGTGCTGTAGGAGGCTAGCAGCTCACCACCTTCCTGAGTAAGAAAAATGCCCTGCCCCAGTGTCACAGTTTGCTTTTCGCCAGGGCCATCAACGCTGCAACGGAGGATGCGTTGCGCCTGCTAACTGATAGCCTGCTTCATGCCAAAGACCACCACATACAGTCTGCTGCATGCTGTCTCGATACTTATGTCGAACTGCCGGTCTGTCTGTCTGTATGTCGGTCTGTCTCTCTGTCTGTCTCTTTCTCTCTCCGGATCAGATTGTCTCTCCACGACTGTTTGTCTCTTTCCCCTTCCTTGTGTTCTAGCTTTCCTTCATGCGTGTATCTGTATTTTCCGGGGCACCGGTCTGTTCGTAACTCTCTCACATGGTCTGTCTGTCTCTCTGCCTTCTGCTCCTATGCCTGAAAGCCGGCCTTCTATCCTCTTATGGGAGCATGTATAACCAGACTGTGAGCTTTCTTCTAATGGTGGCAGCTGTTTTACATGGCAGTTATTATAGATGACGCCCCCCCCCCCTCAGAAATATGTTGTCTCCTAAATGTTTGCACCTCGGTATCAGAGCTCTCATTGTCCATGTCAGACCGGACTCCACCTACCCCGTCAACCCTACCCCGTCAACCCTACCCCGTCAACCCTACCCCGTCAACATTATCTCATATTTTCTGATTTTTTAAAGTCCCTTGTACTTCTTAGTACGTTTATTCGCGTCCTTGTCATTGAGTCCCCCTGCTCGATTGGTCAATGCGAATTAAAAAAAATCTAATCAAACAAACAGCAAACTCTCTCTCTCTCTACCTCTCTCCCTCCCTCCCTAACTCCCTCCCTCCCTCCCTCCCTCTCCCTCTCCCTCTCCCTCTCCCTCTCCCTCTCCCTCTCCCTCTCCCTCTCCCTCTCCCTCTCCCTCTCCCTCTCCCTCTCCCTCTCCCTCTCCCTCTCCCTCTCCCTCTCCCTCTCCCTCTCCCTCTCCCTCTCTCTCTCTCTCTCTCTCTCTCTCTCTCTCTCTCTCTCTCTCTCTCTCTCTCTCTCTCTCTCTCTCTCTCTCTCTCTCTCTCTCTCTCTCTTTTTCTCGAGTCTCTCTCTTTCTCGTTGCTGCTGATCGCGATAGATATAGGCAGCGGGTTTACCAATGCAGTTAGTTTTTTTTTCTTCTTCAGACTTTTCCCATTCAGTTCAACTTTCCCTCAAACAAATGAATATTGTGCAACAATTTGTAGTGAATATCATGGAGGGAATAGTGAAGACAAACAGCGGAGAAAGATTCGAACCTCTCTCTCTCTCTCTCTCTCTCTCTCTCTCTCTCTCTCTCTCTCTCTCTCTCTCTCTCTCTCTCTCTCTCTCTCTCTCTCTCTCTCTCTCTCTCTCTCTCTCTCTCTCTCTCTCTCTCTCTCTCTCTCTCTCTCTCTCTCTCTCTCTCTCTCTCTCTCTCTCTCTCTCTCTCTCTCCCTCCCTCCCTCCCTCCCTCTCACTCTCTCTCCCTCTCTCTCTCTCGAGTCTCTCTCTTTCTCGTTGCTGCTGATCGCGATAGATATAGGCAGCGGGTTTACCAATGCAGTTAGTTTTTTTTCTTCTTCAGACTTTTCCCATTCAGTGCAACTTTCCCTCAAACAAATGAATATTGTGCAACAATTTGTAGTGAATATCATGGAGGGAATAGTGAAGACAAACAGCGGAGAAAGATTCGAACCAGTAGTCCAAGTGTCAAATCCAGTTGTCCTGTTAAAATTATATAAATTATAATAGAAACAGTGTGATACAAGCAGTACAAGCCGTAAGTTAATTGCAGAAAGAAAATAATTAGCCGATACTGGCATTACTATGGTTGAATGTGAATTGAGAATTGAGACTGGGGCAGGTGTACTACCGTGTAGTGATAGGAGATACAGCATTTTGAAAGGTGATAGTATGCAATCCAATCGATTACATCTATTTACAAGAGTAGATGCTGTTCAAGAGGATAGCACACAGGACGGAGAATAATACTGGCTACCATGGACATTGACAGTCTAATAACACCGCAGCTACCTGTGGCATACAATAAAAAACAGGTCACGAATTGCCACATAGAACAGTCTATTATAGAACAGACTATACTGTGCAGTAAACAGTCTAGGAGTGATGTAAAGAGACGCGACGTATCCTGTTTGCCTAGACACATACTCAGTATGTACATGTACATGTGTACAGATTTGTACGAGTATATCGGACGGTCGTCAAGATGCATTGTAACTAATAATCTTCAAGATAGTTGATAGTGGTTGATAGTGGTTGATAGTGGTTGATGAGCTGGAATATGGCTAATCTGATGCAGTGCAGCATGTTGGACTGGAATATGCCGGGCCAATGGGGTCACAGGTAATGCAGCCCATATGACTGACCTATGCATTGTGATTGAGGTACCTGTAACTGAAGAATCAACACCAGTGTGCTGGTGAAATCTCAGGACTGGGTAGATCGGCCCAATTTGTTCGCTCCTCTACCATCCAAGACGGTTTCCATTCACTAAGAGACTCTTCCCTTTTCAGTGATTTGTTTTCTTCTCTGCTATCACCAGCTGCATTGCTACTCGGTGCAGTTGCTTGGCCATGGTCCTTTGATAACTGCAGCTGCTTGGTTTCTGAAGACAAGAGCTTGAGTTTCTCGTTCCACCGAAGGAAGGCCAGGATACGGGCAGCCTTCACGCTCATCTGCTTCCCGCTGGGCTTGCGACCTCGGCCAATGCCAGTTGCTCTACACTGTGCAGGATCCATATGGTCAACGGATGTGTGCAAAACTGGCAGCATGTACAGTACTTGTAGCAGTAGTAGCAGCAGTAAAACGATTCGCGCAGCAAGAGGAAGGAGGGGTTATGTGGCGTGGGTTCTCGTATCAGTCATTTCGCTAAGACTCAAGTCAGTCACAAGTTGATATCTTACGATCGCCGCGGGTTCAGTCCAGTTTCGATGCAAGTTTCACCTGCTCGAAAAACCCAACAGCAAGAACAAAAACAGTTTAAAAATCAGATAAGTTTAGTCTGACAAAGATGTACATGCCTGTGCTGTGTATGGGGTTCGTAAGCGATGGTTGCAGTGCAACCTTGAAATTGAGTGCATGTAAGCTATGAGCTGGTGCAGGGTTTCGACTTTCAACTTGTTCAAGTCACTTGAAAACGGACCTGAGTGATATCATTGAGCACAACTACGAGTAGAGTTCTACAAGACATGCACTCCTGTCTGGGTCAGGCAAGTGTGCCTGTTGATAAGCACACTTCTATATGTGCATGGTAAACTGGCCATTACGTGCAATGCAGAGCATGCTTATAGGTTAGTGCATGGCAGGGAGGGCCTTATGGCTTGTTAGTGCCCGACAGGATAGCCTGAGGGCCGTAGGCCCGAGGGCTACCCTGAAGGGCACAAACAAGCCATAAGACCCTCCCTGCCATGCACTAACTATTTTAGAACGAGGTTACATGCATTATCCCACTTCCATTATGCGTGTGTACCACTATATTGGATAGTTTTGTGGTTTGTGTGCAGAGAGACTTGGTGTGGTATGAAAGAATATTTTCTTCTGCTAAGTTATGGTAACTCAGCACCACTTAGGACTACTAAAAGTAGAATAGAAGCAAATTAAATGATGGGCTCTTATTGCGAGCTTCATTCTTATTCATACGTGTAGCTTGTGGAGCTACATTGTATTTAGGGGCTTTGAGAGCCCCTTGTCGATACCTCTAATGACTTTGATCTTCGGTTTTTATAGGTTTCCGCAAGCTGTTTACAAAGGAAATTCGTACAGATGAAAGAATACGGGAGGCAAAAACCGTACACATTTCAGAAATGCGTAGCTTTTAGTAGTACACCGTACATTTTATGCAGAGTTCATTATCTGCACCGTACTATAATGCATACAGGGAATTGTACGCACCAGTTTCGAGTATATTCAGCGGGCTTTAAACTAATCCAAGGCCCTCGACGCATCATCAAGAGTAGTAAAATAATGATTGAGCGGGCTTTAAACTCTGATAAGGCCCTAGGTGGGAATGTCGCTGATTGGTCGTTTCCTGGACAACGAGACAGACCTCGTTCTAATTTCAGTTAGGGGTGAAACGATTATTCTGAATTGGAACTAATAGAATATTTTAATAGCGCAATCAGCAGGACAAGCTGGATCGACATGCCATGAATACCTTATTCAATTTGTGATAAGGAATTGTGTTGGGAAAAATATGTGTACAATGACAGAAGAAGACAAATAAAGTCTGTATGTCGCCTATTCGAATCGAATATTGAATATTCTTCCCGCTGTACTGAGGCATATATGGCTGAAACAGCTTGCTGTCTACAGCATTGGGAATATTCTTTACAAAAATCTCACAAGTACAGATTAGGCTATTCCCCGGTCGCTGTAGGGTTAAATTCTGTCTTGTTTTCTACTCTTGTGAGTCATAGTCTACACACACCATCCTATATCTTATAGTTACAAGTAAAAAGAAAGACGAAATGTTATGAGTTATGACTCCCTGTCCACCAAGGTAACCAGATCATTTTCAGTCAGCGAATGAGCAACAAGGTACAAAATAGACAGGGTGTACTGAGACATTCAACATTTTGTCAGTCCTTTTATCCATGATAAGTATTGCTTACATTGGCTCACTATCCGAGCTCAAGTAACTTATAGTTGCAGGTTGTTCGATCTTGATGTGCTTCTCTATGTGCGTAGCGTAGGTTGCTTCTTTATGTGAGGGCTTTGCTTTCTCTGTTCTTTTCTCTTTTACCTCAATGTATTCGCTATGCAGTCCTCTCTCTCTCTCTCTCTCTCTCTCTCTCTCTTTCTCTCTCTCTCTTTCTCTCTCTCTCTCTCTCTCTCTCTCTCTTTCTATTACCTTGCTGTTCGTCATAATGAATCCGTACTAGCTCCGCACATTAATTGCGATAGCATCTCATTCATCTCTCCAATACCTTCACAACCAAGGTCCTCACTCATTCATTCATACATTATTTATAAAAGCATTCTCCAAAGTATTATTAAAATGGATACTTGATAGTGGTAGGAACTTCGGCGATGATTTTACGGAAAGGTGTTCACTTCCCACACCGGAGCTCGCGCTTTTCTTCCGACTCGACTTGACCGACTCACGGAGCGTCTCTGTAAGGTTGTATCCCTGGTGATGGTTTGGCCTGGAGAGCACTATTATAAGTGGTGCTCTTCAGACACAATCTTCCTCAGCCTACTCAAGCTCAACGGATGAGGGGTGAGTTCCCCGGAAACACTGTGTATTGAGCAGGGAGTGGTGCTTTCTAGCAGGTTTGCCGAGTCGAAGGTGTGATGGAGGGATACAAACTTACAGACGCTCCGTGAGTCAGTCAATTGTCAAGTCGGCAGAAAAGCGCAAGCTTCGATTTGGGGAGCGAAACCTTTCTATAATTACGGAAAATGCGGAAGTCTGGCAGCGCTGAGGTTTGTCGCGTGATGTGAGTTATCGCCATTGCCAAACCCCATAATATAGCAAAGTTGAAGCCAGGCAAACCCATCCAGAGTTCTTTTTTTAAAGCACTCTTGTGTGTTCATATACCCTAAAGGGCCTTTGCGAGATGTGTAGATGTGTAGATGTGTAGCTGAATTGAGAGATGCGTAGCTGAATTGAGAGATGCGTAGCTGAATTGAGAGATGCGTAGCTGAATTGAGAGATGCGTAGCTGAATTGAGAGATGCGTAGCTGAATTGAGAGATGCGTAGCTGAATTAACCAGACATACATGTAGCACCCCATCCTCTTTGATAGCTGTGGTTGGCTTTCACCCCCTCCGGGCCCCTTTGATAGCTGTGGTTGGCTTTCACCCCCTCCGGGCCCCTTTGATAGCTGTGGTTGGCTTTCACCCCCTCCGGGCCCCTTTGATAGCTGTGGTTGGCTTTCACCCCCTCCGGGCCCCTTTGATAGCTGTGGTTGGCTTTCACCCCCTCCGGGCCCCTTTGATAGCTGTGGTTGGCTTTCACCCCCTCCGGGCCCCTTTGATAGCTGTGGTTGGCTTTCACCCCCTCCGGGCCCCTTTGATAGCTGTGGTTGGCTTTCACCCCCTCCCCTTTGATAGCTGTGGTTGGCTTTCACCCCCTCCGGGCCCCTTTGATAGCTGTGGTTGGCTTTCACCCCCTCCCCTTTGATAGCTGTGGTTGGCTTTCACCCCCTCCCCTTTGATAGCTGTGGTTGGCTTTCACCCCCTCCCCTTTGATAGCTGTGGTTGGCTTTCACCCCCTCCCCTTTGATAGCTGTGGTTGGCTTTCACCCCCTCCCCTTTGATAGCTGTGGTTGGCTTTCACCCCCTCCGGGCCCCTTTGATAGCTGTGGTTGGCTTTCACCCCCTCCGGGCCCCTTTGATAGCTGTGGTTGGCTTTCACCCCCTCCGGGCCCCTTTGATAGCTGTGGTTGGCTTTCACCCCCTCCGGGCCCCTTTGATAGCTGTGGTTGGCTTTCACCCCCTCCGGGCCCCTTTGATAGCTGTGGTTGGCTTTCACCCCCTCCGGGCCCCTTTGATAGCTGTGGTTGGCTTTCACCCCCTCCCCTTTGATAGCTGTGGTTGGCTTTCACCCCCTCCGGGCCCCTTTGATAGCTTTGGTTGGCTTTCACCCCCTCCCCTTTGATAGCTGTGGTTGGCTTTCACCCCCTCCGGGCCCCTTTGATAGCTGTGGTTGGCTTTCACCCCCTCCCCTTTGATAGCTGTGGTTGGCTTTCACCCCCTCCCCTTTGATAGCTGTGGTTGGCTTTCACCCCCTCCCCTTTGATAGCTGTGGTTGGCTTTCACCCCCTCCCCTTTGATAGCTGTGGTTGGCTTTCACCCCCTCCGGGCCCCTTTGATAGCTGTGGTTGGCTTTCACCCCCTCCGGGCCCCTTTGATAGCTGTGGTTGGCTTTCACCCCCTCCCCTTTGATAGCTGTGGTTGGCTTTCACCCCCTCCCCTTTGATAGCTGTGGTTGGCTTTCACCCCCTCCGGGCCCCTTTGATAGCTGTGGTTGGCTTTCACCCCCTCCGGGCCCCTTTGATAGCTGTGGTTGGCTTTCACCCCCTCCCCTTTGATAGCTGTGGTTGGCTTTCACCCCCTCCGGGCCCCTTTGATAGCTGTGGTTGGCTTTCACCCCCTCCGGGCCCCTTTGATAGCTGTGGTTGGCTTTCACCCCCTCCGGGCCCCTTTGATAGCTGTGGTTGGCTTTCACCCCCTCCGGGCCCCTTTGATAGCTGTGGTTGGCTTTCACCCCCTCCGGGCCCCTTTGATAGCTGTGGTTGGCTTTCACCCCCTCCGGGCCCCTTTGATAGCTGTGGTTGGCTTTCACCCCCTCCGGGCCCCTTTGATAGCTGTGGTTGGCTTTCACCCCCTCCGGGCCCCTTTGATAGCTGTGGTTGGCTTTCACCCCCTCCGGGCCCCTTTGATAGCTGTGGTTGGCTTTCACCCCCTCCCCTTTGATAGCTGTGGTTGGCTTTCACCCCCTCCGGGCCCCTTTGATAGCTGTGGTTGGCTTTCACCCCCTCCCCTTTGATAGCTGTGGTTGGCTTTCACCCCCTCCCCTTTGATAGCTGTGGTTGGCTTTCACCCCCTCCCCTTTGATAGCTGTGGTTGGCTTTCACCCCCTCCGGGCCCCTTTGATAGCTGTGGTTGGCTTTCACCCCCTCCGGGCCCCTTTGATAGCTGTGGTTGGCTTTCACCCCCTCCGGGCCCCTTTGATAGCTGTGGTTGGCTTTCACCCCCTCCGGGCCCCTTTGATAGCTGTGGTTGGCTTTCACCCCCTCCGGGCCCCTTTGATAGCTGTGGTTGGCTTTCACCCCCTCCGGGCCCCTTTGATAGCTGTGGTTGGCTTTCACCCCCTCCGGGCCCCTTTGATAGCTTTGGTTGGCTTTCACCCCCTCCCCTTTGATAGCTGTGGTTGGCTTTCACCCCCTCCGGGCCCCTTTGATAGCTGTGGTTGGCTTTCACCCCCTCCCCTTTGATAGCTGTGGTTGGCTTTCACCCCCTCCCCTTTGATAGCTGTGGTTGGCTTTCACCCCCTCCCCTTTGATAGCTGTGGTTGGCTTTCACCCCCTCCGGGCCCCTTTGATAGCTGTGGTTGGCTTTCACCCCCTCCGGGCCCCTTTGATAGCTGTGGTTGGCTTTCACCCCCTCCCCTTTGATAGCTGTGGTTGGCTTTCACCCCCTCCGGGCCCCTTTGATAGCTGTGGTTGGCTTTCACCCCCTCCGGGCCCCTTTGATAGCTGTGGTTGGCTTTCACCCCCTCCGGGCCCCTTTGATAGCTGTGGTTGGCTTTCACCCCCTCCGGGCCCCTTTGATAGCTGTGGTTGGCTTTCACCCCCTCCGGGCCCCTTTGATAGCTGTGGTTGGCTTTCACCCCCTCCGGGCCCCTTTGATAGCTGTGGTTGGCTTTCACCCCCTCCGGGCCCCTTTGATAGCTGTGGTTGGCTTTCACCCCCTCCGGGCCCCTTTGATAGCTGTGGTTGGCTTTCACCCCCTCCGGGCCCCTTTGATAGCTGTGGTTGGCTTTCACCCCCTCCGGGCCCCTTTGATAGCTGTGGTTGGCTTTCACCCCCTCCCCTTTGATAGCTGTGGTTGGCTTTCACCCCCTCCGGGCCCCTTTGATAGCTGTGGTTGGCTTTCACCCCCTCCCCTTTGATAGCTGTGGTTGGCTTTCACCCCCTCCCCTTTGATAGCTGTGGTTGGCTTTCACCCCCTCCCCTTTGATAGCTGTGGTTGGCTTTCACCCCCTCCCCTTTGATAGCTGTGGTTGGCTTTCACCCCCTCCCCTTTGATAGCTGTGGTTGGCTTTCACCCCCTCCCCTTTGATAGCTGTGGTTGGCTTTCACCCCCTCCGGGCCCCTTTGATAGCTGTGGTTGGCTTTCACCCCCTCCGGGCCCCTTTGATAGCTGTGGTTGGCTTTCACCCCCTCCGGGCCCCTTTGATAGCTGTGGTTGGCTTTCACCCCCTCCCCTTTGATAGCTGTGGTTGGCTTTCACCCCCTCCGGGCCCCTTTGATAGCTGTGGTTGGCTTTCACCCCCTCCCCTTTGATAGCTGTGGTTGGCTTTCACCCCCTCCCCTTTGATAGCTGTGGTTGGCTTTCACCCCCTCCTCTTTGATTGGCAACTACACATGCTATGGGATGTGGAATAAATAAATATATAAGAAAGAAAAAGGACCAAGGAGCTACAAGGTACGCTATAATGTCCACTCACTCCACCAGTTACTAAACAATCAGCTCATGCGATAACATTGCACGACACTGACCGACGATACTGACGTTCTACAACTAACTGGCTAACAGCTCTAGCACATCTTGGATGCACACTCTAACAGCCTTCCAACTTGGAAGGTTCTAAGTTATCGAAATAGCATAAGGAGGGGAAGGTGAGCGCAGCCAAGATAAGCACGAGTTGAAAGTCTCAGCTGCGCCGTGGTTTGACCGTATTGTTCAATGGTCTTGCCAGTATAGTCATCGACATGCATGAACATCCGCCAACGTCCTTCACAGCTGAGACTTTCAGCTCGTGCCTATCTCGGTTGCGCTCACCTTCCCCTCCTGATGCTATTTCTATGACTTAGAACCTTCCAAGTTGGAAGGCTGTTGGATTGCGCATCCAAGATGTGCTAGAGCTGTTAGCCAGTTACTTGTAGAACGTCAGTGTCGCCGGTCAGTGTCGTGCAATGTTATCGCATGAGCTGATTGTTTAGTAACTGGTGGTGTGAGTGGATATTATAGCGTAACTTGTAGTTCCTTGGTCCTCTTTCTTTCTTATAAATTAATCCTTGGCTAGTCCAATAAATAAATAAATAAAAATAAAAAGGGCTATTACCATGCATCCTCTCAACCTGGCCCGTCTCATGATGTTGAGGCATGCCAATGATGGGTTTGGTTAGTGATCTACAAACGATAAATTTTGGTTGAGGGGCCATACTGCCCCAGAGCTACCTGGCTCTGGGAACGCTCACTAGGGGGGGGGGGGGGGGGGGAGTATGGGGGGAGTATGGCGGCAGTATGGGGGTGTGTGCATGTTGCCTTACTAATAGTATACTTACTAGTACAATGTAGGTCTACTAAGTACTAGATAGTGCGCACGGGTGTGTGACTGTGTCACAGACTCACAGTGTGTGTGTGTGTTTGATTGATACTGACAGGAATGAATGTGTCACACTAGTCGTAGCGTAGCTGTACGCAACACCCCGTGTTTACTCGCTACCGGTAGTCTTACTCAGCTAGTTCTATGCTCACTACATGTATAGACAAGAAATAAGTGCACTGTGACTTGGTACCAATGCGCAATGGCCTAACGTTTTCACTGAAACAGTTCATTTATTTACTTCACTTTCCCGTGGCCAGGGAATGATATTAATCATTGACTTACCGCATAGCATGCAATGCCGAGATGATCTGTTGATCGTATCATGAGACGGTAGGCAACGACTCTCTGCTTTCCTTTGACTGTGCGTCCTAGAAAATTACAGGCTCAGGCAAAAAAAGCCCGCAGCTAGCGTAACGTGACTGAAACTTAGCGAAATGACTGCAACACAACCGTTTCTTACTGCAGCTACCGTATTAAACAGAGAGAACAACAACACGATTGCTTGCTGCCAGGACCTGGACTGATGGCGTGATCAGTGTGATGCCGCGCGGGTTATCGTGAGGAGTCAGTATTGACTTGACAGCTGGAATGCACAGGCGCAGAAGAGCGAGCAGCTAGATCTGCTGCAGCCAGTGCAGGCTGCAGCGCTGGATCCATGGAATGCACTGATGGCAGTGATGTCGTGTGATGACCATGATGACAGTGATGTCCCACAAGCAGGGAGTCGTGTACATGTATAATTATGTATGCGACTCCCAGATCCCTACTGTCTGTATACATGTACTCGACCCTAGCCCCTGCTCACACGTCACAATCGTCATATTTTTTCAAAACTAAAGTCAAAATTCTACTTGACCCACCCACCCATAAAAAAGGCATACCTGTTTCGGGTCACTTCACTCATCCGTAGATCTACCAGGCCAGGGTCGGTCGGTCGGTTTAGTTGTCGAATATCCAAGCGTTTGTCCATCAACGAACAGACTCAGTTGACTGTTATGTTCCAAGGCTACAGCTACGAGGTGGCGGAGCTGATGCTGTTTGAGGACCGATTGCGGATCGGACATGAAGACAACGGTACTGAGACTAGGAGAAATGTGACAACTGCTGAGCAGGGGCTGCACGGAGACGGCGCAGCAGTGATAGTGGGGCATTGATGGCTCTGCCGACCTGAGGTCTCGGCATCACGGCCAAAAGCACGCACCGAAAACGAAAGTTAGAACTGTATGAGAGTCAGCAAAATGAACTTGAAGGATGGAAGTGCAAAGATGTCGTGGATGGTCGGGGGGGGGGGGGGGATATTTGTTCCAAGGGAGAGTCAGTGGCCCAAACTGCCAAAGCCGATGGCTACTGCGAAGATAGTGGTGCATATTTTCCCTGAAATCTGGAGGCTCTTGAGGGATGCGGTTTGGTGAATAGGGAAGCCGGGACTGGCCCGGGAGTGCGTTCCAGGTGTCAATGATGTCGAACGGAAATGTACGCTGAAGGGAAATGGGAGCAGTTGAGGGGAGAGTGTTAGCAACATTTTGATATGGGTGACCAGCCGTTTTCTGACATTGTCTGCGAGTTACGAGCTCAGCAAGGGCATTGCATGAGGCGCGGAGGAATAGGGGCAAGCGGACTACATGTATGCTCGGGAAATGACCAGATTATGCTCTCGCGAATGCTCGAGAAAACAGCCAATTACAATGCTTTTATATGCTTCACCAAAAAGACCAAAAGAACAGATAATCGTCATGAAAAAAGGACTCAGACCATTGTCATGTTGTGGACTGGGAGCTTTGTGGAAGTACAAGACAATAGTATGCAAGAGGAATACCAAATTCATAAGCAAACGCTGAACTTTTGGGAGATGTCCTATAGTGGCTGCTAAAATATTATTTCAAATCGACAAGAAGCGCTATGTATGATCCTTCAAAAAAAGTTCAATAGCTACATGTATATTGACTGCTTATGGGTGGCGCAGTTGAACGGTCACAGTATGAGTAGGTGTAGGTGATGGTGCAACGGTTGTGCAATCATAAAACCGGGATTCATTAGGTGATCGTTCTGGAATTTGAAATACCGACTGTTTATCGTGGTAAATCTAATATTGACTTCGTACTGCAGAGTGCAGTGGTGTCTTCGACTTCATTCTGACTTCGTACTTGGTCAGGAAATAAAAGCCTCGTAAAAGACCTCGGCTTCGCCTCGGTCTTTTACTCGGCTTTTATTTCCTATAGTGACCTCGTACTCAGTCAATATTAGATACATAATCCGCTTACCCCTAAGGAGGAACCATTGATATGAGTAGAGGGAGACCAGGCAGGCACAGCAGCTTGTACAGGAATGCCAATGCTGCCAGTGCCACTGTCCACCTTGCCTCGAGGCTCCGCAGTAGCGCGTTGGGCCCCGGGATGTGCAGGGCCCGTCGGACCGTCCAGGACTCGAGCTGTCTTGCGCAGCACTGCCAGCAGTCCAATGCGTGAGTCCGCCCGGGCGACAACTGTCCGGAGGTGGGCGGCGCCAAAGCTGAGCATGGAGTCAAGCGTGACTCCCAGGAGCTTCAGTTGTTGCTGCTGAGGGATGACCTCACCGACAAACGTTGGAGAAGGCACGGGCCAAGGCTGCCGATGGCTGGAGATGCGGAGAAGCTGAGATTGGGCCTCTTCTTTTCCTGGTGTACACGATCGACCTCCCACCAGCATGTACAAAACTCGCACACCAAATGCAGCCAGTTCGCCGATGACACATCACTCATAGCGACGCATTACACGCCTTAGGGATTTATCAGCTGCATTCCTCCAACGTGCTGTGGACGCAGCAGGACGATGGTTGAAGGATTGGCATCTCCTCATCAACACCACGAAAATCGTCGTCCAAGTTGCTGGAGAGGGTAGTGCAACACCAGTTAGTTCGTCATTTGGACTTAAGCAAGGCATTACCCGAAACACAATTTGCCTTCGGCAAGAAATGTTCTACGGAAGACGCCCTCTGTGTGCTGACGGATAATCTGCAGAAGGCGAGAGACAGTGGCAAGATCACAGGGCTGTGCCTATTAGACATGTCGAAGGCTTTTTATAAAGTGCACCACGACAAGTTGATCCAAGACGAACTACTTGCACCCTCCCTTTCAAAGTTAATAAACCACTCTTTCCGCACAGGTCAGATACCCGTGACTGGCGAGATGTTGTTGTTGTTGTTGTGTTTATTTTAATTCGCAAACCAAACGGGCAGATCTGCCCAATGAAAAGGTGGCGAATGCAGATAGAAAGCAGTAATAAGTGAAATTGGGGACTGATGTAATTAGGATAGAGGTGGAGAAAAACTAAGCCAGCTGATCATCAAACAGGACGTTTGGTACTCTAGGTGCTATAAAGGCCAGTAAGTGTGTGCGGGATCATGCTGGCGCGGAACTGGCGGAGCGTGGAGATGGCACGTATATCGCTAGATGCTTGGATAACACCTCTGCATTTTTTTATTTACTTGAAAAGCACATAACCACCAGGAAAGCTGACAAAGAAAAAAAGAGTGAGACAAGACAGATAAAAAGAGAGAGAAAGAGAGAGAGAGGAAGCAGGACAGATCCAACTAACTATCGTCCCGTCTCCCTACTATAGGTCACTTCGAAGATTCAGGAACGACTGGTACACAGGGCTCTATACAAGCATCTCGACACACCTGCAGAACAGTCTGGTTTCAGACAGAAGGATGGCACCGAACTCCAACTCGGACGACTTGTGCACGACATCACGCGTGACCTTGACGACCATCAACACGTCTATGGCAGCTTTTTCCGCCTTTCCAAAGCCTTCGGTCGCGTTTGGCATCCCGGCTTACCAAAGACACTGGAGCACCGATAAGGTGTGAGGGGCCAGGGTCTCTAGTGGCTCACCAGCTCCTTACTGATGCGCACTCCAACAGCCTCAACACCTCTTCCTGATATTTCTATAACTTAGAACCTTCCAAGTTGGAAGGCTGTTTGAGTACCCATCCGAGATGTGCTAGAGCTGATTGCCAGTTAGGTGTAGAACGTCAGTACCGTAGGTCAGTGTCGTGCAATGTTATCGCATGAGCTGATTGTAAAGTAACTGGTGGTGTTAGTGGATATTCTAGCGCCGGTAACTTGTAGCTCTTTGGTCCTCTTTACATTTTTAATTCAGATAAATTAAGTCTGACAAAGATGTACATGCCTGTGCTGTGTATGGTGTTGGTAAGCGATGGGTACAGTGTAACCTTGACATCGCTTGTAACTGCAAAATATTGAGCTGTGCACTGGTTCAGGGTTTCAACTTTCAACTAACTTGTTTTAAAACCTTAAAATGGGCCTCAGTGATATCATCGAGCCCCAACTACGAGGAGAGTTCTACCGGTCATGCACTCCTGTCTGTGCCAGGCACGTGTGGCTGTTGATCAGCACACTGCCATGTCCACCGCAAACACCTTTCTATAGAATGGATACTTATCAGAGCCCGAGGGGAATTTTCTGGAAGGGTGGATGGGATGAAAGGGAAGTGAAAAGAGGTCGCGGGATGACCTGGATTACTTCGTTTTTCTCTCGATGGTGCAGTTAAAAGCGATTTCAAGGTTACTTCAGTACTTTACAATCAGCTCATGGGATAACATTGCACGACACTGACCAACGGTACTGACGTTCTACACCTAGCTGGCAATCAGTTCTAGTACATCTCGGATGCGCACTCCAACAGCCTTCCAACTTGGAAGGTTCTAAGTTATAGAAATAGCATGAAGAGGTGTTGAGGCTGTTGGAGTGCGCATCCGAGACGTGCTAGAACTGATTGCCAGCTAGGTGTAGAACGTCAGTACCGTTGGTCAGTGTCGTGCAATGTTATCGCCTGAGCTGATTGTAAAGTAACTGGCGGTGTTAGTGGATTTTATAGCGTAACTTGTAGCTCTTTGGTCCTCTTTCGTCTTATAAATTAATCCTTGGCTCTCCACCCGAGTCTAATTACTTGTGAAAAAAATTGTTTTTGTTCTTGTTGTTTAGTGTTGGGTTTTCCAACAGATGTAACTTGCATCGAAACTGAGCTGAACCCGCGTCTTCGTAAGATATCAAGTTGTGACTAATGTGAGTCTTGTACATTGTGCTGAGTCAGTCAAAGTGCCAGTATAGTTTGTCTTGCCTACTACTACCGGTAGTACCACTCTTGCCTACTACTGAGAACGTTGACTTTGTCTCGCCTACTAATACCAGTGAGTTCTGTAGCAGAAGCAGAGCCAGCCAGGATCTAGGTGTCTCTGCGTGAGGTCCAATACGTCCGACCTGTGCAGAATCTACAAAGTGTATACACCTCAGAGTCCCCACCACATAACTCCTCTTCCTCTTGCTGGGCGAATCGTTTTTACGGCTACTACTACTACTACTACTTCTACTACTACTGCTACCGAAAGTGCTGCCAGTTTTGCACAAATCCGTTGAGGCTAAGTATGGATATTGCTGTAAGCACAAACAATGCTGTAGCTCATCCACATGACCATGATGGCAGTGAGTCTTCAGCTACCTCTGTCCAGGCAGTGAACGGTAATAAAAATGGGCACCCAAGAAGCACCGCAGCACATGAACCATCATCACCAACACAGGCCAGATCAGCAACGCTGTTAGATGGAACTGATGCGTCCAGCATGCGCAGACGTGCACAAGAAGCCAGG